CCGTTGCCTCGACCTGGCTTGCCATATTCCGCACACGAACTTCCTCCTCCAAATCCTTCTCCTCCTGCTCATCGTATTCATCCTTAGCATCCAACCAACGCTCCTGCACGTCACGCACGTCTGTCACACCCATGCCCTCCCGAACAGCGACTTGCCAGACGGTGTCGTTGGCGCCTTCGGCGGGACCGAAGGCATACCCGGACGCACGGTCGATGGCGCGCAGAAGACTCATCATGCTCTTTTTGTCCTCGACGGCCAGCGTCTCGAAGGCAACGAGTCCGAATTCCTCGACAAGGTCGATGATGGTCTGGTTCAGCTTGCCGAATTTCTCGTGCGAGAGTCGCGAGGACTCGCTTTCCAGTTCTGGGAGTAAGTAGGACAGATCTTGTACTTCGGTGTAATAGTCTAGGTTGAAAGGAAGCGGGGCGTAGTTGGCAAGGTTATCGATTTTAGTGAGGACGTTTAGATGTGGGAGGTCGAGTTGGAGCATGGCGCGGAGAGAGAGGAGGAGGGCGGAGATGTACATTGAGGGGAGGGTAAGGGTATAAGAGTCGACGAGGTGGACGACGATCAACTGTTCCATCGGGAGTCTGGTTAGCTGGGTCTTCTCTGTGTTATGCTTCGGGTTCTGCTGCCACTAACTCGGATGCCCAACTTCTGGATCTTGTAGAAGATGTTGCGTAATGAGGCGTGGTGCGTAAATAGCTCCACTTGGCCGGGACAATCAAAAAGAATATAGTCTTCTGAAAATTCATAAAGCCAGTTAGAAATGTATATGGCCAAAATGTGTCAGACATACCACCGAGCTCCTTCAGTCCGTTTTCCAGCCAGTCAAAGTTGTTTTCAAGCTCCTCAAGAGCATATAAGACACCACCATTTGGACCCAACTTATCCTCTTCCATTATATCCTCTAGCGTGACTAGATCACGTACGTCCAGCGCGCATGGATACGAGGTCTTGTCGTTGGCGGGGTCAAGGTTGACGATAGAGCATTTCCGGCCGATTGCGCCCAGGAACTGATGCATGCCATTGCAGTACGTGGACTTGCCAGCGCCTGGTGGGCCAATCACCAGCTGGGCAAAAGGCATCTTGTCAGTGTCACGAAGATGCGAGCAGTTGTGTTTGGTGAAAACAATGATGTCAAGCCAGTCTTTTTTTTCCTTATCGACGCAGCGCGGGGAATCAAAGGGCGGTGAAGATGGCAGAAAATGAGACGGCCAAAGGCCCCGAGGAGCTTGGGCGTTGATCTTCAACTCAGCAGCTCGCCCAAGATGACTTCTCGTGAGTAGCTTACTCTTCTCGGCATTACTTTTTCTTGGATTTGAACTGTGTTTAACTTCTCATTGCAGATCAATTTACCGTGGTATCCCCACCTACAGATGCTATCTCGGCTTTAAAGTTCTCCCCAGACCCCAACTCTGCGCGAATCGTGGTTTCTTCATGGGATAAGAACGTTTACCTGTATGACTTGCGAGACGAGAATGGAAAGGTTGGAGAAGGGAAGCTTTTGCAGAAGTTCGAGCACCGCGCTCCTGTACTGGATGTCTGCTTCGGTGAGAACGAGAACGAGATCTACACAGCTGGACTGGATTGGGACGTGAGGAAGTGAGGTATTCTCTCTGAGTTCTCAATGGGTTATACTAACTTGGTCAGGATCGACCTCAACACCTCCGAACAGACCGTGCTTAGCAGCCACGAAGCCGGCGTGCGCCATGTCGTGTACAGCCGCGAGCACAACCTCGTCATCTCCGCCTCGTGGGACTCAACACTACACATCCACCAACCCGATGCCGGCGCAAACCCCGACTCCCAGCCGATCATCGTCCCCCTCCCGTCGAAGCCATTCTCAATCTCCGCAACCGCCACGAAGCTGATTGTCGCGATGGCATCGCGCGCATTGCATATCTACGACCTCAAGGCTCTGGCCCTTCTCACCGCACAAGCAGATACCGCAGCCCCCAACGGTACCCAAGTTGAAGTTGAGCCCTGGCAGCGTCGCGAGAGCAGCTTGAAGTTCATGACCCGCGCCGTTGCCTGCATGCCTGATGATGCTGGGTACGCCTCGTCTAGCATTGAGGGTCGTGTTGCGGTCGAATGGTTCGACCCGTCGCCTGAATCACAGGCCCGCAAATACGCTTTCAAGTGTCACCGCCAAACCGCCGAGGATGGCGTGGACGTCGTCTACCCTGTCAACGCATTGGCTTTCCACCCTGTCTTTGGTACCTTCGCATCCGGCGGCGGTGATGGTGTCGTTGCGCTCTGGGATGGTATCTCTAAGCGCCGTATCCGTCAATATCAGAAATACCAGCACAGCGTCTCAGCTGTTGCGTTCAGTGCGAGCGGCCAGCATCTGGCTATTGCAGTCAGCCCTGGATTCGAAGACGGCCATGACGAAGTCCCCGAAGGCACGGTGAAGATCTACGTACGGGAGTTGGGCGAGACGGAGGCCAAGGGCAAGGGCGCAAAATAAGGCGGGGAAAAGCGTCCTTATCTTGATTCCAAACTGAAATGAAGCGTCTCTCGAATGTTGATACCACAGACCAAATCTAATAAAAAAAAGTCCAAAACACAATCGCAAACATTCACAAGTTCAATTCCGTCTATAGCATCTTTTCCAAGGCTTAACAGAAAGCAAAATCTTGGTATCATCTACAATATTTACGTAGTCTCATGTTCATTCACCAAAAGTCCAACTATATACATAGACATCTACTCGGCCTTGCGAACAGCGACCGTCCCATCAGACATACCGAAGTAGGCCGCAACAGGGCGCTGACCACCAAGGCCACCGGCAGCAGCAGCCTGCGGGCCGGTCTTGCCGTGGAAAATACCGACCTCAAGCACACCGATAATCTCCTTGATCTTGCGAGCCAATACCTCAACCGCCCACACACCATCCTTGCCGTTACCATCCTGGCCAGCCTCGATATCGGCCTTGATCAGCATCGGCTTGAAAGGAGCATCGATGATGAAGAAGCCCTGGTCGGTCTTGAGGGGACCTTCCTTGACGCTCGCGGACGGCCGGACGGCGGGGTTGACACTGCCGAGTTCCTTGAGTTTTTCAATAACACGGTAGGCGGCGATCGGGGCGACCTCGATGGGGATTGATTTCCAGCTTGTGAGGAGACGTGGTTGGAGTTTGCGGTGGTCTATATTGCGGTGTGAGTTAGTGGTTATCGATAGTTACAGCAAAGAGGAAAGAAAACGAAGGGTAAAAAAGAGTAGGCTCTATTTCCAAGCATCACCCAATTTAAATCCCCAATGCAAATTGAAATAAGATCTTGTTAGATCAAATCAGTCTCAACTCACCAGCAACACAGATAAACTCCTTAGCCTGCAGAGCGACGATCTTCTCCTGGAACAAGCATGCACCACCGCCCTTGATGCAGTTCAGGTCCTCGTCGACCTCGTCCGCACCATCGAATGCCACATCGAGGACAGTGCCCAGCGGAAGGGCATCGTACTCAACAGCCAGTAATCCGGCATTGACAATCAGCTGTTTGGACTGGTAACCGGTCGGGATGTACTTTGTATTGGAGGTGTCCACGCCGAGGTTCGTGATGGCCTCGACGACGTACACAATCGTCGAACCACTGCCGATACCGACCCAGCGAGCATCCTTGGGGTAGTGTTTTTCGACGGCGACCTTTGCGGCCGTGCGCTTGGCTTCTTCGACGGCGGACATGGTGGATTGGCGTCTTTGGGGACTTTGGAGGGTGCGAAGAAGTGTGGGGATGGTGGGGGTGAGTCTACGGCAGATGAAAAGAGGGGAGATGAGGGCTGATTGGATCATGGAATCCGTTTTTATGGACGGTCTTTGGAGCGGATTTGGTGGATTTTTCGAGCAAAAGGAAAATAGAGAGGTATTAACCAAGATATAAATCCTCTTCACCCTTTGGTTAGAAGTCTCCTGGCCACTATAAAGTCACGTTACAGTGGGGTTTAGCACTTGCAAGTAATTTCTTTCGCTATGAAACCCAGACTTAGGCACTATACAACATTTATCAAGGTTATATATAACATGTTCAAGCATTATCAGTCTTGTGTTGTATAAATAAGAGGGAAATGAGCCACGTCAGGTCAAATACTCCATAGTATATACTCCTTATACAATGAAGAACAAGAACCTTGGAAGGCCACAATGTATTTATGTTCATAAAGTAAAGCCCCGCTTGAATATCATAGCGATGGATAAAACAAAAAAGAAATTACACATATGAAGAATCCTTCAGCCGTATCGAGGCTGGCTATACCTCACCCCATTTCACATTGTAGTGCGAGTGTAGCAAAGGAGACAACAATATCCAACTTTCTTTTTTTATGAATGATTTGGACTTGTAAAATAGGTCAATTGATGTACAGACTTCCCCTGGTAAGGTGAAATCGGGGCAATGAGTGGTATAAATATCTCTTGTGGAGTAAATCGATGTAAGTACTAAGCTTCGATGACTCCGCGAGGATGTCCTGCATATTCAATCTTCAATCTCTCAGCTCCCCTGTCGTTACTGAGAGCTAAACTGGGCGAATTAGGCTAATCCTCATATAACTGTCAATTTCACAAATTGATGTGAAACAAGGGAATAGTTGTCTGCGCGGACTATATAACTAGTCAAGTCCACTAGTTATGTTAGCTAGGACTATACTGTTGTTGCCACTTGAATCTCAAAAAGGAACTGAATCAATCTGCAGTTCTAAAGAGAAAAATATCTCAGTATCTACATACATAATTAGCAACTTGAAACTACATGTGAAATATCAAAACCCATAAAAGATCCAGCAAGGCTCTCGTGTTAGCCTGGATTCTCAGGCACGACATGCGCTTACTAAAAACAGTCGCGCATCAACAAGTCGACATCCACTGCTCCATCATTTGGGAACTTGCATGATTGAAGAGCAAATACTATAAACAACAAAAGAGGAATCACAGACAGATAAACAGGCAATGGTTTGAGCCTCAAAACAAAGCTCTACCATCTCCCCCGCACTACTTGATATCCACCATGACGGATGCCTTCCCCGCCGCCCTGACAGGGCCAACCTCCAAGGAGCGCAAATATGATCGTCAACTCCGCCTATGGGCCGCAACAGGCCAGCAAGCACTTGAGGACTCTCATGTTCTGCTGGTGAACTCTGATGGCCCTCTCGGCCAATACAACACCGGCGTCACCGGTGTTGCTGGTGTTGAAACACTCAAGAACCTTGTACTGCCTGGAATTGGTGGTTTTACCATCGTCGACCCAGCCATAGTCACCGAGTCTGATCTAGGCGTGAACTTCTTTCTGGAAGGAGAGTCCCTTGGCAAGTCTCGTGCTGAGGAAACCTGCCGACTGCTGAAAGAACTGAATCCAGATGTAGAGGGACATTACTACATCAAGGTATGATTTCCCATGTCCCCACAAGTAGATGATCGTTGACTTACTTCTGAAACAGCGTGTCGAGGAGCTTCTCACAGACCCTGACTTCTTGCCCCAGCACAAGCTGGTGATTATTTCTGGCCCAATGAGACGCTCGACACTGGTACCCCTGGCCCAGGAAGCAAAGCAACTGGGTATCCCCGTGCTGTACCTGCACTCAGTTGGGTTCTTCTCCACATTCTCCGTGCAATTGCCGGCTGAATTCCCTATTGTTGAGACACACCCGGACCCAGAATCAACCCAAGATCTGCGTCTGCTAAATCCCTGGCCCGAGCTTGTCGGCGCTGCAGCCGGCCTAAACAACCTAGACACCCTGGACGACCACCAGCACGGCCATGTACCTTACCTACTTCTCCTGCTTCACTTCCTGGAGCAATGGAAACAGTCCCACGAAGGCAACGCACCGAGCAACTACAAAGAAAAAACCGAGTTCAGAGAGTTTGTGCGGTCCCAGGCGCGCACTTCTAACCCAGAAGGCGGCGAAGAGAACTTCGATGAGGCCGTTGCCGCTGTACTGAAGACAATTACCCCATTCAGCCTACGCAGCTCAATCCGCGAGATCTTCGAGATGGACCAGTGTCGACAGCTATCAGCATCATCCCAAGATTTCTGGGTCATTGCCTCAGCCGTCAAAACCTTCCACGCATCTCACGGCGTCCTTCCCCTCCCAGGCTCCCTACCAGACATGAAAGCCCAGTCCGCAGACTACGTGTCCCTACAAAACATCTACAAAGCGAAAGCGCGACAAGACGTGGAAGAAGTGACAGCAACAGTCCGCCATCTCGAATCCCAGCTCCAACGCCAAACACCCGCAATCCCAGACCGAGACATCGAAGTATTCTGCAAGAACGCCGCACACATCAAAGTCGTGCTGGGTCGCGAGATCCCGCAGATAAGCATCGACAGCGACGCGTCGACATTGAAAACCATCCGGAACGAACTGAGGGGTCCCGGACACCCTGATCCCGATATTTATCGCGATGCAGATCCTCGACTCGGTCGTGGACGAGATCCAAGCTAGCAGCCGTGAAGAGGACCGCTCTGTTGATGACGACGCGCTGTGGAATAGCCACACGGAACGTATCCTGGCTTTGTTGACTGGGGCGGATGGATCGGCTGTTTGTCAGGAGGCGCGCGCGCAGATCGCCCGTGCGAGTAAGGAACTGCGTCGGGCTGAGGGCGGCGAGTTGCATAATATCTCTTCGTTGACCGGGGGTTTGGTTGCGCAGGAGGCGTTGAAGGTGCTTACTAGGCAGTATGGTCCGCTTGATAATACTTGCGTCTTTGATGGGGCTAGGAGTAAGAGCGAGATGTACAGGCTGTGAGTGGGAGATGGGATTTGCTATGGACGTGATGGATGATTGCATTGCTGTATGCAAGCCAGCTACTCGCTGAATCCGTGGAAATGTTACTCTGAGGAATGTTATGATTTATGATCCAGTGATATTGTGGTTTGCGTATCTCAATGAGTAGTATCCGTGATGTAAATGCCTTGGTACTTTAAATGGCCTAGAAGATGTGATAAACTCATGAGCTTGGGTCGTTCATTCCGTGGGAATGCCGAGACATTTTCATGTCGTGTTGTAGGAAATGTAGATCTTCGCTCCAATATCTGACAGACCGGACCCAGACCAAGAGGGATGTGTCTGCCGAAGCGCGGTGACCACTGTAGGATATCCTCGCAAGAACAACGACAATTGCTCCAATAAGCGCGGAGAGCATTTCAGCTCTCTGTGATCCACCACCGAGCGTAGATGATATGAGACGGATATATGGGAGAGGTCCATCTGCTGCAAGATCAACAGTTCCGTTACCTGCATGCGCTCTCCAGCGACGGAGCTGTAATCAGCCAAGGGATGATTTGATAACCCGAGTCTCTCAACGTTTCCTCGGCTTCTGATTTGTACGGCTCCGCTTCAGGACCCTGAGGTCCACCCTTGTTCTCATAAAGCTTCTCCTTCCCGAACGCCGAATCAGCAATTCGCAAGTAACTGACCACACCCTGATCAACGACAGCCATGACGACATTGCGGTATCCGTGTCGCAGTCTCATGTACATCATACGCTCCATTTTCTCCCCACGCGGGGGGGTCAAGTGGCGTGCTTTCCAGCAAAGCACCAAGTTGTGTCATAGTGGGCATGGTGGTTTGGTCGCGTGTGCTGACAACTGCGATGCGGAAGTCTGGAGTTGGAGGTGCAGACTTTTTGAAGGGGGTTGAGGGCTTGTAGATGTGGAACACGACGCGGAAGGGTGGTGTGGTATCAAAGGGGTGTCTTTCGGGCGCGGTGACTGGGTCGTACCAGGGGATTATGGCGAGTTTGCGGTATACATCCACTAAGAAGTATGTCAATAAGGAGAGCTAAGATGATTACGCAGAGATTGACTGACTCACTGTAATGACGGTGAATACCGGTGCCGATGATAGGGCCAGTTGCCGTAGAGGCTGTGGAGAGAGGGTCATGGATCCAGTTGAAAAGTGACCCAAGTATACCAGCCAGGCCGGGGCCATGAAGCTTGGCGGGTGCTGCTTTGCTAGCATCTGAGACATCCGCATCCTGCGGCTCAATGTCGTCGCACCATCCAGGAGCTCGCACGAGCGCATAGCCCAGACGCTTCAGACCTGTATAAACAGAGTACCGCTCAAGGGTCAGGCCACCGCGGCCCATGAAGCACGCATATGCAGCCTGCAAACTCATCGGGACGGACAGATCTTCTTCTCCTGGACCCCCGGCGGACGCAGGTGGGCTAGGCCATCTGATATCCAGACTTCCTCGTTCAATAAGATATAAGGCTTCCTCTGGCAACAGCCAGACACGGCTCGATGAGTCGGCCTGGCCCATTGTCTTGAAGAATTGGCCCTTCGGGCTGGGCACGTAGACGCATGCATCGGGGGATATCCTGGCGGAACTGGGCAAAGGCCTCGCAGGTTTTGGGGTAGACTCCGAGCTCTTTCCGTCTTCTCCAGCTTTCGGTTTCGCGCGATCGGGTTGAGCTGGAGGAACATAGCCGTCGGGTGCGTAGAAAGCTATGACGCGAGTTTTGGCACCATGGAGACGGGGGTATGAGAGCGCATTGTGCATGGCCCCTCGCGAAGCGGCGAGTACATCGGCTTGAAGTTCTGTCGGATTGGGTTCGAAGTCCTTCTCGCCGCGGCGCGGGATACCGGGGGATGAATCGGCAAAGCTGTAAAGAGACTGTAGGTAAGCAATGCGTAATTGGAGAAGCGATGGAGGACACTGGAGATTGGGTGCACCATGTCATAGGATTAGGCCGTGATCATACAAATTTAAGTGGTTCAAGAAGCGGAAGTCCTGCGTCTCGTCGGACAGGTCGACCTCGGGCTGTGTAGAGGCATTTGCAGGGGCATGAATGACGTCCTCGTCTGCGTCTGCCATGTTGAGTTGTTAAAGAATAAATCAGAGTGAATTTTGAAGTCAGAGGGGATTAGAAAAGGTGTTATCGATAAGCGGGTGTTTTTTAAAAAAAACCCGGCAGAATAACTCCCGGGGGAATTTTCCCATCTACCTCATCAGTTTACGGAGTACAGTTTTATTGAATCCACGGATATTCCTGAGAAGAATTTATTCCCTCATTCAGCAAGTACCCTTAGTTTAACTGTTCGAAGAAGTCAATCTGTCCTTGTGGTTCATTTGTGCCCTAGCAATCAAGTCTAAGTTCATCTACCTTCTACGGTTTTATGAATTCTTTGTCAACTAAACAATTGTGGGCTATGAGAAGTGACAATTCAAGCTTAGACTTCTCGGTACTCAGTTGCTCCCCGCGAAGAATCTGAACACGGCCTGGAGAAAGTCTAGCGTATCTTCGGCGCTGCCGGTTGGGATGGCGATGGCACTCGCAACACTGCTAGTGGTATTAATGACCGTGCTGGACGGCGAGGCCTGACGGGCTTGGGTGGCGAAGGTGATCGCAGGCTGCACTGCCTGCTCGGTGCCAGCCGCAGCAGTAGTCTTAGCGGTAGCAGAAGTCTCGGAAACAACAGCTGGAGTGTTGGTATTCTTCGCGGCAGCCGTGGTCTCAGCAGCAGTAGGAGTCTTAGCGGCAGTGGCGGTCTCTCCAGTGTTCATGCAAGCGAAAGACATTTTCTTGGTAGTCGAAGAAGTAGTACCGTACCCAACTGCCTGCGACAGATCCCACTCCATACTGACATAGGGCCAGCAAATACGACCATCCGACATGGTGACCATGTCACCCGCAACATAGACATCAGGGCTCTTGAAAGCGTCACCAACCTTGCTACCGTCCGAGCTCACCTCCTGGAAGAAAGTCCCCGCAAACTGTCCCCGACAACCCATCGCAATAAAGTCGCAGGTTGGGTTCGAGATCTCCTCCCAGGTGACCAGGGCCGAGCTGGTGCCAAAGGTTGCAGCGTGGGCGTTAGAGCAGTCATTCGATCCTTGGGTCACCCAGTTGACCTGGCTATCTCCATCCTCGGTACCGACCACCGAGGTTGCCTGAGCGCCAACCTTGGTGTACTTGTCCGTGAACAGGGAGATGGCAACGTTTCGGCCGTTGGTGCGGTTTTGAACGTGAGTATAGCCATCGCCCATCCAGGTGCTTTGGCTTACGTCAATGGCACCTCGGGATACCCAGGCGAAGATGTACTTGGTGGTGTCTGCAAAGCGAGCCAGCGCGCTGTAGCTACCCGACATACCACCCATGGGCTCACCAGAGGCACCGTTGGTTGTATTCTCGTTTGAGATCTTGACTCCGCCGTTTCCCATGCCTTGTCCCTTGGTGTTCAGCCAGATAGCTCCCTGATCTTCGGCGCAGATACTGGCGAATGGAGGCTGCTCTGCAGCCTCGAACGCAATACCGGTATTATGACTGCATCCCCAGGAGCTTGATGCGCCGGCAATGGTGTCAAGCTCTCCGGTCTTAGTGACATATTGGATGCTGTCACCATAGTGACCGGTGGCATCGCCAGTGTAATCTGTGACTACGAAGTATGCGCCATAGAGACCTTCGCTTTCGGAGTAAACAAGGTCTCCGTTCATGTCCGGGGAGGCAGAGAGCCCGTCGGAGGCGTGCACTCCCGGTCCTCCGAGCCAGGTCTTCCAGGTCTGCTTGCCATCTGTGTAGCGGTACAAGACCGCAACGGGGGTGTCGCTGGGTGGTGCATTGGTGGTTCCCGAAGGCATGGCTTCGTTGGTCAGAAGAGCAAAGCCATCGTTGTGAGCGATGAGACCTCCGGCTGCATGAATCCAATCAGTCATATGCCTTTATCAACTTAAACGTATCGGATAAACGGGCTATCCCACCTTCCTTTCCGCCAGTGACGGTAACTGTAGTTCCCGTAGCCTCAAAGGTCGTGGGGTCCAATTGCTGAACATGAACATCGGTCTCGCTAGAATCCAAATACGCAATGTACGCAGACTTTCCATTAGGAGACACCGCGAAAGGAGTGCGGCGGTGGTGAGGATAGCCAGTCCAGTAGGCCTCCTTGACGGGATTAAAGGCGCTGTCGAGTGCCAGCACATCGACGTGGGTTTGAAGGTTGGAAGTGGTCAGACTAGCAGCGGCGCCCAGCGCTGCGGAAAGCAGAGAAAGAATGAAAGTCCCACGCATGTTGTGGGATGAAAGTCGGTGCTACTACTTTCTGGTCTGATTTACATGTTGATCTTCCGGGATCTACACTCTTTTTATACCTTATCCCAACGATTACCACAGAAGAGCCGAAAGGGCCTAGATGGCCTGATACAGATACCAATAAATGCATGAAGCAAATGTCATCGAGGTGTCTTGGGACGGCGAGTGTTTCATCTGCTGCCAAGAGCACCCTTATTGTGGATTATTTATAATTTCCCATAGTTGCCGCTGCCAGATAAGGTGTGAATGCCGGGCCCTTGTTAGACGTTGTCTCACTGTCATTTATACGGAACCCCCTTTAATTTTTCCACTAATACGGATGCTAAAGCTGGGTACATATGTAATCAATATAACACCTTCTTTCTTGACATATACCTATCGAGCCTATATTCTAGGTTCTATTGCTTCTCCAACATCACAACTTGACTGCCATAGTCACCTTTGAAGGCGAATTGCAGACCAATATTCATCAAGGTGGCACCGGTGTAAACCACACCCTCATCAACCTTGTAGGAAGCCTGCGGATCCAATCCCTGCAACTTAATGCGCGGCCATGAATGGTTAACGTTCGGAGCGACCTGGAAGACAAACAAAACAGCCTTCTGAGCGTCCTCAGCGATGAACAAGACAGCAGGCCAATTCGAGTCCTCCGGAAGGTTCAATCGCCACATATCACCATTGAGAATGATGGGGTTCACCTTCTCAGCGAGAGCAACGAGCCCCGGAACAGCCGCCTTGTCCTCCTCGTCCATTACAGCCGGATTGAGCTCCAAGCCAAACGAACCGCCCATCATCGCAACGTGTCCTCGAACAGCCACGGGCACTGTGCGTCCAGTCTGGTGGTTTGGCACTTCGGACAGGTGAGCACCCATCGCGCTGGGCGGGTAGGCGAGCGAAGTACCAAGCTGAATGGAGATGCGATCGATGGCGTCTGTGTTGTCGGATGTCCAGATCTGCGGGAAGTACTGCAGAACACCAGGGTCGAAACGGCCTCCGCCTGACGCGCAACCCTCCCAGAGAACATCGGGGAACTGGGTCGTGAGTTCATTGAATACGCGGTACATGCCGAGCATGTAGGCGTGACCTGTGGCTGGGGAAGGCGTCTCGTTGATGCCCCTGTTGTTATCCCACTTGACGTAACTAATATCGGCACTCTTGAGAACGTCTGAGACGGACTTGATGATGTAGTCTTGGACTTCAGGAAGAGCGAGGTTCAACACGAGCTGGTTGCGAGCTTCAGTGCGAGGGTAGGGTCCTGCGTGCAAGGCCCAGTCCGGGTGCTCGTCATACAGAGTCGAGTTCGGGTTGACCATTTCCGGCTCGAACCAGATACCGAAGCGCATGTTCGTTGATGTGTTGGCGGCTTTCAGGTCCGTGATCTTCTTCACAAGGGGCTCCAGGCCGTCTGGGAACCGGTCTGGGTTTGGGACCCAGTCGCCGAGTCCGGCGTTGTCGGAGAGACGTGGGTATTCCTTGCCGAACCAGCCATCATCCAAAACGAAGAGCTTGGCGCCTACTCCAGCAGCTTCCTTTGCCAGGTCGTAGATGCTACTCTGGTTGAAATCAAAATACAGTCCCTCCCAACTGTTCAGCAAGGTGGGACGGTCACTGGTGGCAAACTTGCTCTTGATGAGATGGTTGCGGTACAAGCGATGCAGGGAGCGTGACATCCCACCGATGCCATCCTTGGAGTATACCGAAACACACTCTGGGGAGGTAAGAGTCTCCCCGGGCGGCAGGACCCACGAGAGCTGGCTAGGGTTGAAACCCATCAGGGCACGTGTGAAACCCTGTGAGCCCTTCTCGACGTTGACGGTGAATGAACCGGTGTACACAAGCGAGAATCCCCATGCCTCTCCTTGAGACTCGGTGGTGGAGGGCTCTGTCAATGCCAGGAAAGGGTTATGGAGGTGACCAGAGTAGCCATTGGAACTTCCAAAGCTCTGGAGGCCGTATGCTACGCTCCTCCTCTCGCGCTGCGCTTCCCTTGCCCAATCTCCACGAAGATTAATCATGTCCAGGTCCTCATACGGCAAGTCCACGCTCAGACTGGCCAGAGATTCGATTGTGATATTTCCCGTTCCGTGGTTCGTGACATTCACGCTGCGCACAATGGCATCGTGCTTGGGGAAAATCGAGTAGGAGAGGTCCGCGGCAACATCACTGTACTTGTCATACATACTGATGACCAAGGTGCTCACATCTTCTTCTGAGCCCATGGTGGCCGGCAAACCAGGCAGAGCAGGCTTGCCAGGGATAATCTTGTGCGATTTATACCGAAATTCAGACACGGTATACCCTTCTGACTGACGAATGCTAATCGCAGGGACCCGGTAATCCCCACGGCCTTGGTCTGGGAACTCACGGCGTACACGTCCAATATCACTAACCCAGCCATTGACGTCGCCTATGACCTCCAGAGGGATATTATCCCCGACGGAGCCTCCAAAGTGGTCTCCTAGGAGGTCACCAGTGGTGTTGTCCACATGGAAGCGGTACGCAACATTCTTTCCATTGAGAGCAAAGTGAGTACCATCTGCCACAATTGCTATAGGATATCTCGTCAGATTTGAACAATTAGAAAAGAACAGAAGCAGGACACTCACGGCTTGCGCTCGATTCCTTAGCCGTAACGGCGGAGGAATGCGCAAGGAGAGCAAGGCCTGTGGCCACCACACCCCTTGTTAAGTAAACCATCTTAGCTGTGATTCTTGAGAGAATTGGAATTCAAGATCAGGGAAATACGTACATCTTTATATCTTTTTAGCCCGATATGTCTTACCCCGAGTTGTGGGGTGCAACAACGTGGGTATTACCAGGTTGGCTCGAACTATGTAGATCCCAATACATATGGGTCTCAACTGTATAGAATAGACTTTAACCAGTCTGGTGAACTATAACTAATGCAATGACGTCTAGCAGAAATAACTTCGGAGATATTAACAAGTATATATGCTGGGGGTTTACATATTGTGGAGTCGTAAATGCGGAGGAAACCCCAGGGAAACTCCGTGTCCCGGGCGGTTTTGCACGTCGTTCATTGGTTTTGGACCTTTCCAATCCCGACCACGTCTGTTGACATCGGATACTTATTGCCAATGCTCTTCTTCTTTAGGAAAAAATAATGCGACCAGCAAAGGCCTGTTCCGTATGCCGGTGAGCTACTCAAACCCCGTCCCCACCCCCACAGACCCCGTACTCATTTTTTAAGTGAACGTCGACGAAAATGCGACATTCCGGCACCCGGCAGCTCATGCGTCTACTGCTCCGCCCGGGGACTAGACTGTAATCGGAAAGACCTTTCCGTGTCCAAAGGGTCTTCTATACCAGAAGAGGCACCTGCGTATGTGTCTCTCCCCGAGAAATGCACTTTACCGGATCAACCCCTCTGCATTGAACTGGTGGAGCTGTATTTTGATTATGTGCATGACAAATTTCATTCCCTCTTTCATCGGCCAAGTCTGATCGACGACATACGTCGAGGAGCAACGCCCGAAATTTTAATATACGGCATTCTTGCATTATCGGCACGGTATGTCTTCTACCCGGCCCGAGTAAACTTGCGAATCTGACACGGGTAGATTTTCAAATCACCCTTCCTTTGCCGAAACAGATCCTCGAGAAAGAGGAAAACGCTATGCGAAAAAATGTGAGCAATTGCTCAACTTGAATGATGTCTCTTTGACAACAATCCAAGTTTGTGTTTTGCTCGGCGCCATTGCTATAGTGGATGGTAACGCTGCCTCGGAGACCATCTACTACTCAATTGCATGCCGTATTGCCCAACTCCTTGATCTCCCGAATTGCCATGCTCCGAATCGTGTGGAACAAGAAGTAAACACAAGAGGTTTGTAGTTTAAACCGAAATTCTCGAAAATACCGCATCTAACATCCAAATACAGTATGGTGGACTCTCTGCATGATAGACGTCTGGTCCTCAACAGGAGTCCGACTCCCACGGCTAATGATCCCGCAACCAAACATTCCCCTCCCAATGAATGAAGCGACTTTCCTCACCATGACCCGCGCCCAAGGCTTCACAGTACTAGTCTCAAAAGACCGCGCCTCATCCCTCCTAGCACAAATGGTCCTCCTAAACCGAATACTCTCGGAGATCAATGACTTCAACATCAAAGCCGCTACCACAACCCTCACCGAAGAATACAAAACAAAAACCATCGCATCTCTCTCTGAAGACCTCAATACCTGGCTCAAAAACCTACCAGCACACATGCACGACACGCCCTCAAACCTCCAATCCTACGCCTCCCAAGGCCAAGGCCAGCTCTTCGTAACCCTCTACCTAGGCTACTACCACTACGGCCAAATGCTCTTCTACCGCTTCCTCCACGAAGACGTCCGAGGCTACACACCACGCACGCATTTCTACGCACAGCAATGCAAAGAACATGCCGTTCGGCTCTGCGAGATAATCTACCGCTCCGAGGAAGTACCCGGCTGTGACGTGCTGTACAGTATGGTCGGACATGTGCTCGTTATTGCGTCGACGGTACAGATCCATACGTTGCTTTTTGGTGACGAGGAGAGTGTTGTTCGGGCGAGGGCGAGGCTGGAGAAGAATTTTGTTATTCTGACTAAACTGCGTGCGTTGTGGCCTACGCTTGATATTTGTATGGAGCGGTTGCAGGCTTTTCATCGGGCTTGTAGGAGCTCGGTTGATACTAGTTTTTGTATGGATGCATGGATGGTGAGGTTTTTGGTTGAGTTTGCTAATCCGATTAGCGATAAACACGGTGTGGAGAGGCCCTGGGCTTTGGAGGAGATTGGAATTTGCTAGCTATGGCTGTTACCTGTACATAGTGAGCTTGTGGATTGTGTCGTGGGAGAAAGGTTGTATATGTGGAATAGGCGGTGACGAGAGCGGTCAACCCAATATATATCGTGTGTTTTAGGAACACCCCTGAGCTGTTTAAGCACCGATTTTCAGAACATCAGATATACTGTTGGATAAGATCACATGGATGAAAGAAATCAGAGTATCGTGGACTACAACGAAAGTTTGCGCAAGGTATGTTACCCAATACGACCGCCAAGTGCAGGGAATAAGGGAATAACAAAAAGATAGATATCAAACAGCCTTGAGAATGCCCTCAAGACTTTTGGATCCTCCTCGAGACAGTACCAAACCATACTTGAAATGTTGAAAGAATGTCTCCGGGAAATTGAGAAAGAAAGTGAAAAGCAGAGCAAAGCCCAGGTGGTTGATGCGGACATGCTAAGCGTTGCCATGGGATTTTTAGAAATCGGGAAATAAAGCTGCATGTATAATATAATAACTACCTACATATGTACGGAGTAGGTAGAAGGCTATTGGGGTCAGATAGACAAACAGATGTTCCTGGTACTACATTGTATGTAGGTACCCGCTGCCAGCCAACTAGCTTCTCAACCCCAACGAGCTCCCATCGACCTCTCATATACCTCTCATCCACTTCTTATCTACCTCCCAACTACCTCCCAACTACCACCTTACTTCCAGTCGAAGTGGTCAACCTCTGGCAGACATCTTCATTCTACAGGAACTCAACCTCGACAAGTGCAAGCAGAAGCGAAAGGCTGCCTGGACGCAGAGCTGGTCCCGGGACCACATCCATGGATGTGAAGCACTCGCTTAGTCCAATATGGCATGCCACCCCGGGAAATGAGGGTGAGAGAAAATCATGAAGAAGAGCGAACAGAGATAAAGAGCTTCCAATGAACACGTCGAATAAACCAAGCACCACTTGCCTGGTGGTCGACCAACCGGGATTTTACCCATGCCGCCTTACAAACGGCGCTCTGCGAGAATTCTGAACAATGAGCGGCAGTCAATCCCAAGCCCAGCAACGGCAATCTGCTGCCAAACTCGGAAAATTCGACGACTTCTTTATCCCGGTAGACGAAGAGGACCTTATTGGAGGCCTACCCAACGTGGAAGCCAGGATTTGCGAGTTATGAATATTCCAAATCCTGACTCATTTACCCAGCTCTTGGTGAACGACAAAATATAGAGCAGACTACTTCGACGGTGTCTGACTTTCGAAACTGCCTGACTGCCGCCTAGTGACGATCACTCTTAGTATAAGAGACACGAAAAATGTCTATCTCAGCCAAATAATTATAAATAGCTGTAAATGCTTGAACTATAGGAAATTGCATGCATCGTGGTTATGAATCAGAGTTGCTGCTTGATAGTAATAGGCGGCTACATGTAAGGATTTGATAGTGTACCGAGCTCTTCCCACGTTGTAATAGTTGTAATAGCCTGCGGATTCGTAGATATCTTCGGAGGCCGTAAATCTGAGCGATGGAGATGGTTCCACGCTAGTTGAGGTTCCGGGGATTACCGGTGACCTTAGGGCCTGGTTCGGTCAGTTAGTGCCAATTGCAATTAGTTCTGAATTAAGCGTTCCCTCCTAGGACCACTACCATATGAGCTTTAACTTTGGGAGAAGTGGGCTTTGAGTAAGAATCGTTCAGAGAGGTAAAGTTACCCAAGAGAACCCCGGCGAAAGGAAATCACAGCCATGCCCAGGGGTACCATATAGTTCTCTATACTCCCGAGGTCCGTAGTTTATCCACTGATCCAAACTCTCGCTAAGCAGGGATAAAATAGGTCTCTCTCTCTCTTTCTCTTCTTCCCTGCTTTCACACTTACCCATACCCCCCACCTGTCTCTCTCTCTCTTTTTGGTAAACTGCCATGGACCCCAAACTTGCATCAAATATCAAATTTTTTGAACGTGACAGACCGTGAGATTTCACTACCTGTACATCGTTCAAAACTAATGAATCTCAATGTCCAAACACACCTAGGCCCCTCATGGAGATAGAACCCAACAGAGTGATGCCTCTAGATGACCCGAAAGGAGTCTGTTGTTCTCTTACCTCAGGCCTTTCAATTTCTGAGCCTGATGATCCTCGCGTGGAGAAATCCGAACGAATGTGAGAAAGGTTCTAACGTGATTTCTCGTCTTCCTTATGGCTGATGTACTCCCTTTTACAGCCCTGGAACCCCCTGTATAAGTGTGTTTCTAGAAGGCCCATCGGCGATCTCGAAAACGGAAAGGCTCTATATCATAGTAAAGATCACCTATGATGGTTTGACAAACGAGGATTGCGAGGCTATCTATGCTGATGCAAAGCCAATCATCATACACGAGTACCATTTTTCTCGTGATAACTTTCGACTACAACGACGCTGTCACGGTTATGGAGGGTTCGGACGACGATCATCCGCAGTGGACGAGCTATTTTGATGAAGAGCGGAATGAGTGCTGGATGATAGTAGATGAACCCGACGTTGAGGTCAACGTAACGGATTCTATGTTTTTCCGCAGCCTTCAACCAGGGGAAAGTCTTATTAGACGTGTTTTCCTTGGCTTTACCGATTTACACACTGATACAGTGGTCGGCGACACATATCGTTACCAGTACTGGGTTGGCTGCATTGACTGGACTTGGGGCGATGACGAAGAACATGCGAAGACAGTAGTGAAATTACCATGTTGGCTGAATGATCATGTCGTCGAGCCCGCTGATAATGATGGAAGGCCGGTGATAATGGTTCCCTCATCCAATTTCGTCGAGTTCACTGTCGTTGATTGATTTCAAATGGATACTCTTTGGTCTTGACCTAAATGCTAGGAACTAGAATAAACATGCTTTCGACTTATGCGTTGGTTTTCTTTTCATTCATCGAGGTATGTTCAAGTAAAATAATCTAAGCCGAATAAAAGCAAGTTGGCTATTTCCAGAGTCAAGTGTCTGATAATTTCGAGACCGTTCAATTCGCCCTCCGTTGCTAAAAGATGGTATGAGATTGGAAAGGGGTTTATGGCGTGAGCTCACCCCCACGTTGCATTCGCCTTGTTCGAATCAAGAAAATAGCCTGGAGATTACATATGGGTTTGAGGGTTCCACTTTAATCAAGTATACCCAATATTTTGTTGAATTATGACAAGCTAACTAAATTCAACTAAGAGAGGGGAGATTTCTATTCGACCTAACTAGGGCTAGGGAGCGCCACCAGTGCGGCGCCGGCATCAACCGAGTAGGCCGCTAAACTCTTCCTGGCTAGCCACCTCGAGCGACGTGGGCCCCGAATCTAGAGTTGACTAACTAGTATCATTTAGTGTTGAGATGTCTCACAATGTCGCTTATGGTTTACCCTTCCAGTGATCACATAGCTGTTGATCTATCACGCTTTTGCGAAAGCAATCAAAAGAGAGATCCAACTATGTATCTGTACTGTTATACCGTTTGTTGCGGACTAATACGAAGCCTGATAAAGGCACTGTATTTGTTAAGATCTACAGTGTAGATAAGAACATGAAGTCTTCACAATATGTCGTATCGTGGACAGTGTGAAAACTGTGAAGAAAGGAAGTAAGAAATATGTAAACAAAGCTCGAGTTCCTCCTAGATACGACACCAATTCCGGCGAGCGGAAACAAAAGAACTCTGGACTCAAGATTCCGGGGTATCCAACATTTGTGTAGTACTAGTATCAGTGGTTTGCTATGACTTTGGATATGTCGACATGCATACAAACCCTTCTGGCCAGTCAAATAATATGAAAGGAAACATAGCGGTCATCTCCTCATCAGGTTCTCCATTCATAATCATGGTCAATTACTACCTAGACAGTCAGGCGTCTTCCTATGGCCAAAATCCGCATTGCTCCCTCGGCTGCCTCCGTCAATAGCCGCTCTGTTTCTTCAATCGCTTCTTCAAGCGTTGACGGTCGTTGCAAAATCGATGCGAATGCATCAATTCCAATATCATGATTCACTTGAGCATTATGCCCGATGGTTCCAGCAAGGACGATAACGGGGATCCCGCGCTCTCTCGCTCGTAAGGCCACCTCCGCTGGGATCTTCCCCCTCGGGGTCTGGTCATCGATCGCCCCCTCTGCCGTAATAACCAGGTCGCAGTCGAGGAAAAGATTCTCCAGGTGGAAGTATTCTCTCAAAGCGTCGTACCTCGGACGCAGCTTGGCTCCAATGAGAAGCAGACCTGCCCCCAACCCACCTGATGCACCACTCCCTGGTGCGTCAGATCTTCATCCCAAGTGTGCGATGAATGACAACCGCATAAGTCTCCAGCGCCGCTGCGAGCAGTTTGGTCTGCGCAGGGGATGCGCCCTTCTGCGGGCCATATACTTCAGCCACTCCCTCAGGGCCACAGAGGATATTCTTCCAGTTACAGACCGCCTCGATTGCGACCTTCTTCAAACCAGGGTGCATCTTGGAGAAGTCAAACCCGGCAAGTGAAACGAGAGACTGGCCGCCACCTGCGCGAGGGAGGTCTTGACCGTCACGGCCTATGAGCCGGGCGCCTAGGGCTTGCAGCATTCCCGCACCGCCATCGCTAGTTCCGGAATCGCCGCACCCCATGATAATTCGTTCGACACCTTCGTCGAGGGCAGCGGCCATCAGCTGCCCGACACCGAACGTGGTGGTCATGCAAGGGTTACGAGATTCTGGAGGGATCAGGCTTAAACCGGCCGCGGCAGCCATCTCAATAACAGCCGTTTTGACAGTGGTGTTGCCCAAGATCCCATAGAACGAGTGTATGGGTGCCCCTATGGGACCAATGACGCGATGGCTACGAATTGTTCCACCCGTGGCAGCAACAAGAGCATGGGAGAACCCTTCTCCACCATCGGCGAGGGGCACCTTGCGGATTGTAGCGGTGGGTATCGCTCGCAAAATGCCTGCTCCAATATAGTCCGCTGCTGTTTCAGGGCTAACGCTACCCTTGAAGCCGGAGGGGCACACGAGGACCTTCATAACGGTGGAATGGATGGGGATGAACGAATGAATCGAGTTGATATGTTGAACGATCGAAAGATTGTTAACGAGGGAAGCTAAGCAAATGCTCCAAAATTGATAATGATGTCGAACTCATACCTGCAAGCGCGTAAACTGACGGCCTTCTTATAGACCACACGGGACTCGCCATGGGCAGAGACTTTGGAATCTTGGGAGTCTGGTTCAATGACATTCGCTTAAAATCCGGCATTTTCCTCTCATCGCTTGCCCTGCGAGGATACTTTGGAAATGCTTCGCCTCAATCTTGTGTGCTGGAACATCCCTCAAGTCGGTAAGAGGCCTCTCAGCTAGTGCTATGAAAGAACCCTATCTATTTCTAAAAATTGATTGTATGGCTGCCTGAATTTCCGAAAGGCTGGGCCTGCAGAGTCTCAGATATCTGCGTATAGCAAGTAAGTGTCCGGGGGGTCTCCGTGACGTCGAGCCACAACTTAGTTCTTCTCCCACTCATGTTCCCCATACAACGTGACCATCGAAGGCCAAATTTAGCATCAACCTTCATTCTCCACGAGCCCAGTTTCCACTTGGGGCTTAGATGATCGGCGAAGTACAATTTGGGTTTTGACTTTGAAGAAGGGTCCGATACCTTGTTGCCTGGCAGGCCGTTTGTCACAGTTCTTGGATCTCATGGCTGAGACTACACCTGCGCCACAGCCAAGTACCTGCAAGGCCCAAGATAATGATGCCGAGATGGCTCGCCTAGCGAGGGGAGAGTGGGAATAAAAAACGATGGTTGCCGTGAAGCATATAAGAGACTCTGTTCCTCAAACATAGACCATCTCATGTATTTCTGTGTTACTTCATTCGCTATTTACTGCTTTAAGTCATTCGTTCAAAGACTGCATAATGTCTTATTCGTTTCTGACTCCGAATCGCCAAGATGACCTTTCGCTACAGGAGCCCGAGCAGCGGTCTGTCGCAGACAGCGACGGCAGCTTCCTCATTCCCTTTTGTTCGGACCCTGAACTAAAGCTGGTGAGTACAATCTTTACATATTCCTCCCAGCTTACAAGCTCACAATCGATCAAGGTCACTTGGTCTGGCTCTGAGGATCCCACCAACCCATTGAATTGGAGCCACGCGCGGAAATGGTCCGCAACTCTCTTGGTCTCCTGCTTTACCTTTATATCCCCAGTCTCCTCTACAATGGTCGCCCCAGCGCTGGGCGAGATTGCCCATGACTTCAACATCACATCCGACATCGAACGATACCTGGTCATGTCAATATTCCTCCTCGCGTATGCACTGGGGCCCTTCATACTTGCACCGCTGTCCGAGATGTACGGAAGAGTGGTGGTACTGCAGTCCGCCAACATGGTATACTTGATCTTCAATACCGTGTGTGGCTTCGCAACCTCGCGCGAGCAGATACTAGCATTTCGCTTCCTTAGCGGCCTCGGAGGGAGTGCACCCCAAGCGGTATGTAGAAAGATAACTGCGTTGGGCACGCAAGCTGACACTGTTGCAGATTGGTGGGGGCGTCCTAAGTGACTGTTGGAGAAAGAATGAGCGAGGAGCGGCGACTGCGGTGTACAGCGTGATGCCATTTCATTGGCCCGGCCATTGGGCCGATAGGTACGATACCACTTTACACTGCAAGAGACCCCGACTAATCGTACATGCAGCCGGTGGTTACCTGACGCAATATATGTCCTGGCGATGGATCTTCTGGATTGTCTCCATGGCCGATGCCGTGGTCCAGATTCTAGCCTTCCTTTTCCTGCGCGAGACCTACGCGCCCAAGATCCTGGCAACCAAGAAAAAGATGCTGCAACGCGACACACACAATCAGTTGCTGTACACCGAGTACGATGAGCCAGACCGCACATTTCTCCAGCTCCTTCGCAAGAATCTCGTCCGGCCCTTCCGCATGCTCTTTACCCAACCTGCGATTCAAGCCATTGCTCTCTACCGCGGATATCAATACGGCTTGATGTATCTTGTGTGCGTATTTCCTCAACACTGAGGCCATTGGGTGCGCGCGCTAACACAACTCTAGTCTGGCATCATTTCCAACGGTATGGGAGGGAAAGTATGGCCAGAGCAAAGGACGCGCCAGCTTGAACTACATCTCACTAGGCATTGGTTTTGTAATTGGGCTGCAGTTCTGCGGTCGGCTCATCGACATTGTAAGCTTCCTGACTGATATTTCGCCTCAGTTCGCTGACTTACCTTACTTGCTTAGGTATATGAGCGGCTCGCCAAACACTATGGCGACAATGGCCGGCCAGAATACCGCCTTCCCCTGATGATTCCCGGGGGGCTTATTGTCCCCACGGGCCTGTTCATCTACGGCTGGACAGCGGAGTACAAGACCCACTGGATAGCGCCCAACATCGGCGCCGCGGTGTTTGCCATCGGCCTTATCATCTGCTTCCAGTGTTGCCAGACCTACGTGATCGATGCGTATACACGGTATGCGGCGAGTGCCACCGGAGTGACTGCCTTTGTGCGGACGATGGCTGGGTTCAGCTTCCCTCTTTTCGCGGACAGCTTATACCGGTCCCTGGGACTGGGCTGGGGGAACAGCCTTCTGGGTTTCATCAGCCTGGGCATGGGCATCGTGGCTCCAGCACTTCTCTGGTTCTACGGGGAGTGGATGCGGGCCAAGAGCCCTTACTGCGCAGGCGATGAGACGAGCCGTGTCTGAGTCTTGCCCAGATTGCTTGGGACAAGCGGTGACCAGGTGCAGGAGAGCAAGGGAATGACATTAAATGATCAATTGATTGGTAGATGTGATGATTTTTATTATAGACGACCAATGCATTTGTTGTGCGTTAGACAGGGCTGTGCAAACCTTCGTTGAGAGCGGACTGCAAACACACATGGAATAACGCCCAGAAATGACTGCCGAGATCTAGTTATCGGTAATGAAGACTCGGCAATGACTTGTAATTTCTTGGACGACCTATGAATTTCAGCGTGACAAGGTTCCTCCGAGTCATTCCTCGTGTTTCTATTTAGGATCCGTTCCTTGGCCTTGCAAGCGAAGAGGCCAAGGAGACTCGAACTGGGCGAGAATGGATATGACATACCAAGAAGCGGGAAGTTGAGCACTGCCTTCGTTTCAATGAATGATGATTTCATTCCCTGGCGACATAGAAGGGAACTCACGTCGGTGAGAGAGTGCCAAGTACAGTGACTTTGTAATCTCAAGACCCGACCTCGGGACCCTTGGCCCCCCGCATTATTACATAATATTCTGCTGATTATTGGAGTCTACCGCCTTCTTCTAAGAAAATAGCCTTGGAACCTTATTGCCGGGGCGCATTTAAGGGTCGACAGCAGATCCCGAGGTCGACTACTCCGTATACTACATGCAAAACCCGATCACTTTCGAACCTCGGATTTTCTTTTTTATAGTAAAAAGTGCCAAGACCTAAAATTAAGTAGAATGCCCGTTTCACAAGCTTTCCTATGTCCTAGAGTACAGTTTTACAAAAAAAATATCGTTGTTTGTTGGCCAGGCCTTTAGCTACCAATTGACTTTTGCTTCCTGTTTTAGATTTGGTTTCTTAAGGCCTATGCTTCATACAAGACAGTTGCGACCGTGGATACTATTTAGGTACGTAAAGACTAGATATTGAAGAGGGGAACGCTCAACGCTGTATGCTCTGCGGCATACGGGTCAATTCAGCACGCGTAGGTCAGCTTCATGCCCTACCTTGCATACAGAAGAAGGACCTCGGAGCGCTGTCCAAGAAGTGGATTCAAAGAGGTGTAGGAGTGTGTTATTCCAATCTGTATCTATCTGCTACTTGTAACCTCAAAATCTCAATGCTCGCTTACATAACACATGAATCAAACCTAAGAAATCAGGCAAGGGTGTTGTGCACCGTTAGTAGTGGAGAGCCTATCTCCCCACTACAATATCCAGCTTTTTGCCCTTCAGCAATATAGCTCTGGCTCTTCACAATGCTCGTACTTCTCTGGTTTGATTGGTGTACTACGTAGTAGTAGATGGTGTTCTCTATCCCTGTCTCGACCCCGTCGAGCTGGACCAGCGTAATCGACATGACGCCATGGATAGAGACAGCTGTCACTTCTGCAGAGCTTTCCCGGAGGTTGGAGACTCTTGTTGAGGCTCTTCCCGAGCGCTTTCGTCCCAAGCTGACTGAAATCCGCGATCAACTACCGCTGATCTTCGCCCCTAGACTATCCGCAGGTACTGAACCATGCTGACCTATGGGAAATGAATATCCATGTCAGCCCGAGCACAAGAGCCATCACCGGCATGGTCGACTGGCGTGATGCTACCGTTGGGCCTTTTGGGTTGTCATTTTGGGGCCTTGAGACCTTGCTAGGAACCTTAGGTGCAGATGGCTGGCACTTTCATGCCCGCCACCTCGACTTACGGAGTACATTTTGGGAGATCCTCTACGCTACCGCAGGAATTGTCACGGAGTCCCAAAAGCAGGCAGTCAGGGTTGGAAGGATGGTTGGCATCTTCCAGGCGTACAGTCTCAGTAAAGGGGTGCCCGTGGAGACAGGAAACCTGAGTCTTTCGGTTCTTGAGGAAGTCTTGTCGGTAACTGAAAACTGAGTTCCAGATTTTGGTGACTCATATTATAGGGTAAGTCATCCGCTCATTATCATTTCCGGTAAGCCCGCTAGCTCGTTATATGCACGTAGGACTAGTAAAGTATCTGAGTGCGGGCAGCCCGAGCTTTGGCTACGAGTGGATGCTCCAGTCGATACTGACATCCACGATCGTGGAAACAGTGAGCATATAGTTACAGACGAGAAATGGACGAGACAAGGTCATTTACCCAATTTGTGTTGCGCGAAGTGGAAAACAGCCGTAGCCGTTTCTGGCCTCAAAAGCAGTTATTTTCGGCGTCAATCTCACCGTTCCTCATATTCTAGTTGTAAATGCGCAATGTCTTACTGAGAAAAGAAACTAGGTACAATTCATTAGCTTACCTACGCTCGAATTTGATATATCCCACAGAGTATTTGTTTTTCGTCTTTTTTTAACACCGTTAATATGCCCCCCGATATAGACTTATCAGTCCCGTCTTCTTTCGCCTTTGCACGAGTCTGGTATCTTTAGATACAGCCCAAATTTTACTGTATATTGAGTTCTTCCCCTTGGCAAGCCCCGGCAATCGTCGCCCTTCGGCCGGTACTCAGGGGATCTGGTTATACGAATGTTCCCTTTCAATACCTGTGATGCAGTCATGTATAACTTGGGCCGAGTCTACCTGTCGACGCCAACATTGCATAACCATAGCTCCACAAACGATAGAGGACACATCGGGAAATTGCTGGACGTCATAGAGCTTCTCAACCTCATCGCTAGAGACGTCTTCGTATGGGTAGGAGCCAGTCATTATGAAGTAAATCAATGACCCCAGACTGAATATATCATCCCCAAATACCGGGGCAATATTCCAGTCGTAACCAGGATGTTGACCCCGTGACGCTGGGGTGGCTGAGGGATCCGAACCGCACAGCGACGCGCCGCCAAAATCAGCAATCCTTAAGTCGAGCTGCGAGTCGAGAAGGAAGTTCCTTGGTGAGAGATCGCAGTGTATAATTTCGACGCCATGGAGAACAGTCGACGCTTCGGCAGCCTGGCTACTCCACCGGAGTCGAAGTTGAGGAGTTATATTCTGGTGGTTTCGTAGAATATAATCCTTGAGATTTCCTTTCTCTAGATATTCCATTTCAAGACAGCATGTTTTTGGGTCCCAGTGGATTAATTTGGGCACACGTGCATGTTCCCCAATCCTTGCGTAGATTTGGGCCTCAAGGCGAATGTTTCGGCGTTGACCCTCCTCCTCAGCTCGACAATATGGATTTGGAATTGGTGTCTTCATAACCGTGCCAGATGGTAATTTTTCGAGTATGGGTGGAACTGGTGTCTTCATAACCGTGCCAGATGGTAATTTTTCGAGTATGGCAGTTCCACCCCAGCCCAGCATCTTGCCTTTGGTGACATATATGACCTCGCCATGGCGTGGTCGGGGAATTTCAATGTGGTCATTCTCTCTCCTGGAAATGCATATGTATGTGATACTATCGGGATATTGCTCTGGGCTTTGGCTCTTCTTCACCGTAGATGACATGGCCGCATTCCTCAAATAAAATGGTGAGACACATGCTGGGACGGAGTTAAGCCAGACTACCAGTATGCTGCACACACGTGATACTGGCATAATTGCCCAGGTGACTTCGGTTAAGAAGGGGGCTTAAACCGGCGTCCAATAACGCCATATTAGGTAGCCGACTTACCGTCAGTTAGCGTTGTGGTGTAGGACTCGGTCAAACATTTTCGTCAGCTGCTCCGTCAATATCAAAGGCTTTATCAGCACGATAGCTTCCCTATAACTGGAGTATCTACTCCCCGATTCCGACCTAGGTTATTCCGAACCAATCTCCTCCACTGGGGCCGCTATGCCAAGCACTGCCGCCAAGAGATGTATGTCTTGGTTGAGACCCTCCGCGGTTGACGTAGTAGCTTGGCACCGTCCCACTAGTAGTCTTGGTGCCGTGCGGCGCGGAGGCGGAAGCGGGGACAGATATGGAGGCGGGGATGGGGGGAGACATCAAACCAGCATAAGTTACGTATATACACTTGATAATTGAATTTCGGATGGTATTGAGAGGTTATATGTCATTGGGCGGCATGTGTTGAAGCGATTCTACATTCCAAATGACAATATACATAGCCACAGATAGATGATTCCTGGATCCGGAATCCATAGATCCATCGGTACACAGATTGCATCACCTTGGGACAGATGCGTGACTGGACCATCACGCAGATGAAATAATCCGTAAATGGCCAAGGCCAAATACACGTATGTAGCGGGGAGACATAGGACAGAAGTCGAGGAGGCAAGGCGACGATCGACTTCCCCGATCAAGTCCCCAAACAGGTTGTCCAAACACCCCGTGATCCCCGTTTTTGCAAGAGACACTGAACAGCAAACAACCATCTTCCAGGAATGCCATGCAACCAACTCCAAAATATATGCATTCGTAAGACATAGACATGTCGTGATATAGCGCGGTTTTGGAGGCGTCTTCAATCTCCGCACCCGCTGGGGCATCAAAAGTAACGGCAGCCGTCAGTCCCTGTTCGTGGGAATGCCGTTCAGGAGTTCCGGCATCCAGACGTGGGGATTTATTAATTAGTTTCGTCATTGTTAGTGTGAAGAGTTTGGTCGGCTCCCATCTCAGTCGATCAACGGTTTCTTCTGGTTGCCGACAATAGCGGCGCCTAGATGGCTGAGGGCATTGTGGTCGTTTGGTCGTACAATTGCTGGAAGAGGTAGCATGGGGTTGTCCGGGTTGACGTGGGCGGCGTCTCGTGCGGCCTGCTCGATGGCTTCCATTTCTTCTTTGCAGCCGGCGTGGTCGAGAGGGCAGACCACGATTGGTTGTCGGATGGTAATGTCTCTTGCGGAGGTTAAGTGTGCCTGTTGTTGTGTGAGTTTTGGGAATGATATACTATGGAACTAGGGAAGAACAAACTCGAACTGTGAGGTAATACTCGATTTTATATAGACTTGCTGTGGTTGTGAAGCCGCTCACACCGTACGTTGGAAACGCCGCCCTACTTCTCGGCAAGATTCCTTCTGCATCGCGGAGGTCCTTGGCGGGGAATACCAAGCCCAGGTTTGTTAAATATCCCGATTGGGGCAGTTTCACGCCAATGTTCTCTGTTTTCTTGGCTAGAACTTTGACTTTGCGCTGGGGCTCATCGCCTTCGTGGTTGTAGACTATTTCTTCGTCGATCCCAATGGTGATCTTGTTGATGGTCACTTTACGTGCCTTGCCCATCCAGCTCTCGTTCGGTGACAGTTTGACATATACGCTGACCGGGTCGAGAGGACCGTAAGACCACCGTGGTAGTGAGATGGCTAATGTGACCAGATGATCTGATACACGTTCCGCCGACTCCGGACGATTGTACATGCCGAATGTGGAGAGTGTGTCGTAGCGTGCGATGGGGACGGGGAAGGTGTATTTGTGCTGCTGCTGTTGCCCTTGTTGGACCATCACCACCATCTCGTAGTAGGTTTCAGCGGTGCGACTCGGGAGCTGTACACTAGCTGGGGGTACACGGCGAGAGGCATCACGGCCCCCACGGCCAAATGGAATAAAGAGAACGAAGGGCAGATCCATGGATATTACTTCTTCATATTCTCGACCGGCTGGACATCGAAATAGGAGCATCTCTTTGCCGACGATGTCGGTGATCTCTTTCCGCGGCGGAGCCAGGCGCTTCTTCGTGAAGGTGTCGGCGGAAGGGTGGATTGTCTCGCGGCGGAGGAGGGAAATAGTGACGAGCGAGACGTTGACGGGAGCTGTAATGCCAGCGCAGGGTCTGATTTCGACTTTGCCCTCAATTCGTGGCTTGGATTGTCAGTCAATGGGGGCTGCGTGAGCAGGGGGCCAGACCGGCTCGCCGCATGTATCGCAGGGCGCTTACCATGGTCGCAGAAATGCCAGGGTATCCGATCAGAAAATTGCCATTTGGCGGGCCTGATACGCGCACAAAGGCGGCCATCTCGAGTCAGCCGTGCCTGTCGCACCATAGACATGCGGAGGTTGGTCGAGTTGTGGGGAATATGCGAGTGGACGGGGGGGATCCTTTCGCACGGTTCATAAGGGTTGAACGGTGGGTTGAGTAAACTGTGTGCAATATAGATCCCTTGAGTGTCAGAGGGTAAAATAGGTCAAAAAGTGAAAGTGTCCAGAGGTCTAGAAGTCCAGAGGTTTGAGATGGGAGAAGTGAAGGAGCTGAGCTTCCAAAAGGTACGGAGTACAGTGGTGGGGAAAAGTGACCTGAGCCCCCCAACAGCCACAATTAACTTGAGCCTCTCACTTTTGGGCTATTGGGCTATTGGGCTGAGGTTCTATATATTAAATGGTCTAGTATATATATATATATATATATATAACTATCTCTCATATCTCTACAACATACATACCCAGACGTAATGGTTATCGCGTGGGTAATATTCGCCCAGTTTCCAATGCCAATGTCATCATCGTCATCACACATGGTAACTTCATAATTATATATTAGAATATATACCCATATAGATATGGATTTATATGTTAATGAATATATATATATCAAAAAAAAAAAAACCTACCCAATTAGAACCATGGAAGACTAAATTCCGGACCTCAGCAGATTTCCCAAGATTGGTTGCCAGTGCAACCATGACATCGCCTCCTTCTCCACCTAACTTCTTCCAACGTTGTTTAATCCCCAGATCTTAAAGACTACACTCTAGATCATTATGCCTCGTCGTGCAGCAAATAAACCCGGGTCACAGTCGACACTGTCATTCGGCGCCCGTGGCCGAGTCACCAAACCAGTCACCGCACCATCCCACAAAGCCAAGGCCCTCGACTCAACTCCAGCGCTCTCCGACCAATCTGCCTCCGCCACCCCAGAGCCCCAGCAGCTGGCCGTTACCCCGAACGAGCCCTCAAAGCCCCATGTCGCAGAACTAGCGGTGCGACAGCAGGCTGCAATCGAACACCAGGCCCCTCAATCTGAAGAGGACAAGCGGGCACTCAAGTTGAACAAGCAGGATATCTGGCGATACTGGCAGGCTCAAGAGCAGACCCGCAAGGCACCTAGGGGTAAGTCGGGTTTCCCACACAGCCCATTGGTATGAATAGAGGCTAATTGCACTCGGTAGCCCATCAGCAGGGTATGGATGTGGAGGAGAAGATTCTCCGGCATTTTGATCTTTCCAGCCAGTACGGGGTATGTTGTCCTGGTCGAGAAATCTCCTTTATAAAGAAGTCATCTAACATGTCTTTCTCTTTAGCCCTGCGTTGGAATCGCTCGAATCAAGCGCTGGAGACGGGCTAATCAGTTGAAGCTCAACCCACCCATCGAGGTCCTTGCGGTTCTTCTCAAGGGGAAGAATGTAAAGGAGCGAGCACATATGGATGAATTGTTATCCTGAGGACATATGGGACAATGATTTGGTGTTGACAGATTTGCATGGATTGGGCGTTTTCGGGAGGTATAATGAGATACGAATGGACATATCAGTATTCCCAGGCTTCAGGCGTTGTAAACGGTTCGCTTTCCACAGGCCGAGTTGTATCCGAGGAGTCGTATCCGAGTTGTATATTGTAAATGGCGGACCTCTCTCCAATGCTCCAGATGTCCCGATATAAGAGGCCCTAAACCTGATTATTTCAGATTCCACTGTAGAGCTTACTATTTCTTTTACCTTCAATGATAGACATACCCCTACATGGCTAGAATATTTACAACTTCTCTTTGATATTCGCTTCTTCTACGCATATTTAAAGAGATGTCTTCAACCTGATCCATAAAACTAAAACTTGTGGCCCCCAGGGGCTAAGGTCGTGTGTATAGTCCTGGCTACAGCAGTGTATAGCCGCGCCATATGGTATTTTCCCATATTAAATTCTGGCCGCCTTCTATAGAGCTAATTCATAATATCTCGATTTCTATAGACTAGAAATTGTAGGAAGCATAGAAAGCATAGAGATCATAGAAACTAGTAGAAATGCATTTGGAAGATGGAATCGGTAGTGCTTTACACGCCCCTTCGCGAATGTGGGAGCTTACGAACATGTGCCATTGTTTTTGTCGTGCTTATCTTGCGTTACGATTTCTTATAATTAATTGTGCTTTTTCCGTGCTCTCTTTACCGAAATCACTGGCCTGAATGTACTACGCAATCATTTTTGAAGGAGAACACGTGTTTAATCTTATTGATGTTGAGTGCTGCTACTCTGGATTCCCAGGCTTTCCAGAGGTAAAGCAAGGGCTGGTCCGCATGATGGATATCCTTGATTTAGGACTGAACCATGCCATCTTGTGAATTGTATGTGATTAGCTCCTCTTTCGATTGTAGTTTTCAAATCCAGATATAAGTTAGCTTGACACCTTTGGTATATCGAACGTGTGTGGGTGGGCGTCCCCGTAGGTCGAACGTCACGGCTAGTTATGTTGATTTTGCTCAGTCTCGGGGTAGGCCGTGATGCTACTCTATACATTAGTGTATACTTCGCCAATGGGGACAAAACGCGGGGTACGGGGCCGCCTCGGCTCTTCCTCGGCTCTTCAGATCTAAAATACTTTCCATTGCAGGGTTCCAAGTTTCCTCAGGGAAATGATATTCTCATCGAAGGCTTGGCGATAATAAAAGGAATGAAGTTTTCGGTATAGCTCAGACCGAAACTATGAAAGATGATCGATTCGGTCGCTGAAACACCGAAACACGTCAATGCGGGGTTAAAATCCCATATTGAGTTACTTTGAATGATTGAATGAGATAGATGATCATGGATAATGTTGGTATAAATTGGCTTCAAGCACCTATGCATTCTTGTTGGTAGCAATATAGGATGGCCCTTTCACTCTCGCAAGTTTCGTTCGAGCACCATCGAACTGCCCTAGGTATAGGAGAGACTTCTCCTCGGATTTCCTGGCGTTTCGATGGGCAAGTCTCGGACTGGCATCAAAAATCCTATGATATTGAAGTTCAAAAGCGAGGAGGAGCTGCAGAGACTTTCCATGTAGATTCTGCGGATTCCGTTCTTGTTCCATGGCCCAGTGATCCCTTGAAGTCAGGAGAACAAGCGACTGTTAGAGTCAAATCGACTGGAAGCAGTGATAAGGCTAGCACCCCATGGTCAGACCCTATCCAGGTCGAACCGGGGCTGCTTAGCCCCGAAGATTGGCGAGAGGCGGCTGTGTTGGCGTCGGATCGAGCTACTGAAATTAACGAAACGCATCGACCTATCTATTTCCGAAAGGATTTCGCTCTGAGACCAGGATATCCTTTCAGCAAGGCTGTATATCACCGCGCTGGGGCTCTATGAGGCCCGTTTAAATGGTCAGCGCGTTGGTGACCATGTTCTCGCTCCTGGTTGGCAGTCATACACCCATCGCCATGAATACAATACCTACGACGTCACTGATCTTCTGGGAAATGGTGATAATACTATTGGTATCATTGTTGGCGAGGGTTGGTACTCAGGGCGTCTCACATGGAACAGCTATCGGAATATCTATGGCGATACACTAGGCGCGCTTTGTCTGCTTGTAGTCACCAACTCCAACGGTTCAAAGACATACATCTCTAGCGACACCACATGGAATTCAAGCACGGGTCCCATCATTTCTTCTGAAATTTACGATGGGGAAACATATGACTCTAGACTGGAGCAAAAGGGGTGGGATTCTCCGGGTTTCGACCAGTCGAATTGGCTGGGGGTGCGCGAGCTCAACTTTTCCAAGGATGCACTGGCAGCCCCAGATGCGCCGCCAGTAAAGCGCGTGGAAGAGCACCCGTTCGCAGACGTATTTTCCAGCGCCTCAGGAAAGACAGTTTTGGATTTTGGACAGAACCTGGTCGGATGGCTGCGAATTCGCGTCAAAGGACCAAAAAGGCAGAACATCACTTTTGTGCACACCGAAGGTATGATACAATGATGAGCAAATCCATTGTCTAAGCTGACTGTTTGTTTAGTGATGGAAGATGGAGAGGTTGCGACGCGTCCCCTCCGTACCGCAAAGGCAACAGACACTTTCATTCTTTCCGGCGAGGAGGATGAATGGGAGCCGTCATTCACTTTCCACGGCTTTCGATACGTCCAAGTTGAAGGCTGGCCAGACGAGACCAAACTTGATAACAATTCAGTCACCGCTATCGTTGTTCATACGGATATGGAGCAGATTGGATTCTTTGATTCCTCGAACTCTCTCCTTAACCGCTTTCACAAAAACATTCTCTGGAGCATGCGCGGTAACTTTCTGAGCATCCCCACTGATTGTCCTCAACGTGATGAGCGCTTGGGTTGGACCGGCGACATTCACGCGTTCAGTAGAACCGCAAACTTTATCTATGATACAACTGGCTTTCTTCGAGGATGGTTACGGGATGTGCGTTCAGAGCAAAAAGAGAACAATTGTAAGCTTTGCCCCGCTATACAAAAAAGCCTGTTGTACGTGCTGACCAAAAGCCACAGTCTCCCCACCATCCGTGATTCCAAACGTGATGGGAGACTCTCCACCAACTTCGATATGGGGAGACTCTATCGTGGCTGTGCCTTGGCAACTTTTCCAATCTTTCGGAGACAAAGATATGCTGCAAGAGCAGTATGCCGGAGCTAAGGATTGGATTGATAAAGGAATTCCCAGGAACGAAGTGGGCCTGTGGAATCGTTCGACCTTCCAGTTTGCAGACTGGCTGGACCCGAAGGCTCCTCCGGACAGCCCAGGCGATGCCACGACTGACAAATATCTCGTATCCGATGCGTACCTGATTCACAGCACCGAACTTGTGGCTAACATGTCTGCCCTTCTTTCGCATGCTGAAGATGCCGAGGAATACACCAAGTCACGCCAAAAGCTCACCCAGGCCTTTCAGGATGCCTGGGTATCACAGAACGGAACTATGGCAAATGAGACTCAGACAGGCCTCACGTTACCGCTTTACTTCAAACTCTTCTCTGAGCCGGAGCATTACACCTCTGCCACCAATCGGCTTATCGATCTTGTCAAGGAAAATGAATACAAAGTAGGAACTGGGTTTGCCGGGACTCATATCCTCGGTCATACCCTCTCTGAATATGGAGCGGCGGATGTCTTCTTTGGAATGCTGATGCAAGAAGAAGACCCGGGCTGGCTTTTCCAGGTTGTGATGAATGGAACTACTACATGGGAGCGTTGGGATAGTATGCTGGCAAACGGAAGCGTGAACTCAGGGGAGATGACATCTTTCAACCACTACGCTGTTGGATCGATCGGAAGCTGGATCTATGAAAACATCGGAGGATTGACCCCTTCTGAGCCGGGTTGGAAGAAATTTAATGTTGAAGTGCACCCCGGCGGTGGGCTGAGTGAGGCTACAACCAAGTTCACAAGTCCATACGGTCTTATATCCACTCACTGGGAACTCGATGAGAGCCAAGAAGATGACGACTGCTCCAAAGAAGAGAAAGCGTTTCGCTTGACTGTTCAAGTGCCTCCTAATAGCCAAGCAACGATTTATCTTCCTTCTTCGGGTTCTACGAAAAGGACGGTTGTGGTGGGATCGGGAGTGCACAAGTATAGTAGCTGTGTGGCCTAGTCAGAACCAGTGAATTATCACGAAGACTTTATAACTCAGAATGTTATCCTTCCTTGTACACACACACACACACACACAAAATTCATTAACGCCTGGCGGCTGAGCCGAGAGGGCAACTATCGCTAATCTACCAGTACATGTATGTTTGAGCAAACGCCGTGTCTCCTTGGAGCCCATACAGTATCTCCTTCCGTATTTGGTATTTTAGCTTTTAATCTCATAGCTGGTCCCTGTGGGTTAGTATTGGTTAGTAGACTGGCTTGAAGGCGTTTCTCCAAGTGTTCAACATCCTATCCTCGGCAGCTGAAGCGCGTCTATCGTCTGTCATAAGGTGTTGGGGGTTAGTAAGAAGAAGTATTCTATCAGTTCGTCGGCAAGTCTAGGTGGCCTTAAGTCGGCTAGTAGCGATCGCAAATTGTATTAAGGCTCGCACTGCTTCCAAGTTCGGCTTCCACTTATGATCATCGGAGGGTGACTTCCCTCCTAAGAAGAAGGACATGTTACTTCGGTGAGTGTGGGTGCATTGTAGCATTTCCGTCCGGTCCGGCTAAGGATCTCCCAGATGGATGGATGGACCGGAGGATGACTAACATCACTACACGGGCAGGTGTAGAATACTGCCCAGGTGGTATGACAGAGTAGTGGGCGGTAAAGGGTTGGACGGGCAATGTCAGTTACGGGGGCCGTTTCGGGCCTCAAAAGCAGTCATCTTCGTCAATCCCACAGGTCCTTATATTCTAGTTCTAAACCCATCGGCACTTCCAGGGCAGCCCAAGGGCACATGCAACGTTCCAAGGTCAGATAGAAGCATGACTGCTACCTAGGTACCTGCTTGCTAGCAATTAACTGTCAACCATCTCGACTTCCATGTGAGCAAACCGAGGCAGCTTTATGGAGTACATTCTTAAACTGAATGAAGAGAATGAATGTCCTGGCAATTTCCGTTTATACGCGACTTGTACATAGAATTCCCGGGCCTAGTCGAGACGTCGATCCTCATTTCAAGCTATCATCCTTCAAAGTATATCGCAATTGCTATATTTATCTGGGATTGGACATGAAAGACTAGGATGTTTATAATCTATTCCGATTCAGGTCCGTGTTATCCCCGGACTCAGACAATGGGTCTGTCCGGGGACCCCGCGATATATTTGCTTTTTCTAAACATGACTTGATCTTCTCTGATATATGAGTCTGCGCACTATGGCTATTAACTTGTCCACTGCAAGAGTTTTCCGCGTTAACGCCTCAACAGTCATAATTCTACCAATGAAAGACTAAGCCTAGTTTAGATATTTCGCCCGGCCAATGCGCCTTCTTTTTCCTTCTAACAGTGACCATCAAGTGGACAGGATATCTTACTGGGCACAGAGTCTCGCCAAAGTCCTCGGTGGCGACACTAAGTCTTGTTTCCCATGTGATCGGTGCTTCTTGCTTTTCGTTCCTGATTTCCTTTTCTCTTTCTCTAGTGTTCCCATTCTGGTGATTGACCCCAACCCCACGCAAATCTTCGTCCTGACTGGGCCCACCCCCGCTAAATGTCTCACTTGGGTGGACCCTTTTCCCAGCCCGTTCTTATCCTACGTCGATGTTCTTTTGCTTTGAAAAAAACAACAGTCTATTCGGAAGTAACATCTTGACTCTATTGCCACTCGGATTGATCACCATATGCAGGTACAATATTTCATCGAGACACTCGGAGGATGCTAACCTTTCGGTAACTTGCTCTGTTGTTAGCCCGGGAGATATCAAATGACCATTAAGCTCAATGAGACTCTGCAAGCGCCCCGGGTATCTTTGAGGCCTTTATTTGACCCATCAGAGATACCGTACAACGTTGTACATCCATAAATCCTGTATTGGATAATAAGTTAGCTCACAGGGGTCATGGTCTCCTGAGTTTGGGCCTTTTGCAGAACCTCTTATTATTTGAGGAGCCAAATTATCTGTGTGTGACCCCAAGCAATTTTAATCAAGATATATTTATATGTCGTATTATTGTCATATTATATTAAGTATATTAATTAGACAATGCGTCGGCCCAAGTCCCAATGTGGTATAGTTCGATGCTACGCTCTCTCGGGGCCTACCGGGGTCCAATCTTCCCCGGATTTCCCTCAAAACAGAGACTATGGGGTTTGCCACTTTATGATGTTTGTCAATAATCCTGTCATACATTCATGCAATTGCTTTGGTCTGCATATCTTACGTTTGATTGCTTTGTAGCAAACTTCAAGGTTCTAGCCCGTGGGAACGCTGCACAACCGCTACATGTACGAAGTACTGCAACCTGTACCGTACCGCCATCCAGGCCACTAAGAGTCTAGCCCGACACAGTGGAAATTAAAGCCAGTGACGCTATTTGACCGCATGATAACTTGCAAATGAGAAATGTACTACCAACATTGCCACTGGTCCAGTCTTTCCGGTGGCTTGCTCGCTTGTCTGGTCTAGTCTCGACTTGGCCATGCGGGCATACGTACGCCGTACGAGACAATAGACCAACCCCCATCCTCGCTCCAATGCTAGATCGGCTGCGGGAACCCAGAATCTGGCGTCAGCCTTCAGGCTTGGCCATGCAATGAGCGTCCGGGGTTCTAATCCGTGGTAATTACGGATCTGAGTCAACCGCGGCCTTGGCCTACTTTCGGTGGATTGTCTCTCATTAAGCATGCGGAGACATGTGATGGTCCCACGCCCCAACCTTTGAGTGCAACCCTTGCCCACAGGGCTTTCCCCAGCGGGGGAGGTGGAGTGTAGAGGACTGGCAAAGCTTATAAAAAGGCCATCTCCCAAGTCCAGACCTGGCTCTTCTTCTCAACTCATCCGCACTCGCTATACATACTTGACTGTCTTTTCCGGCACGCCGTTCATAATATCTTCTATTTTTTAGTCTATCAAGATGAAGTTCTCCACCTCTCTGATTGCCCTCGTTGCTGCCGGCCTCGCCAGCGCCCAGCTGCCCGATGTGCCCGCCTGCTCTGTACGAAGAGAACCAATGCCCATATCACAATATGTCTACTAACACCTTCCTCTAGCTGAGCTGCTTCCTCTCTGCCCTGCAGAGCGATGGTTGCTCCGAGCTGCTCGACTTCGCCTGCCACTGCCAGAAGACCGAGCTCGTGAGCAGCATCACCCCCTGCGTTGAGAAGGCCTGCGAGCACAAGGACCAAGTCTGTATGTTTAACCCCCACCTACTCTCCCCGCCCCAAACACCCCACTAACCCACCCACCCAGCTGTCTCCAACGCCGTCGTTGACCAGTGCTCCTCCGCCGGCCACCCCATCTCGATCCCACCCATCGAGACCACCAGCGCCACCCCCTCCGAGACCCCCAGCGCCTCGAGCTCCGTCCCCGCTGAGACCACCGCCACTCCTACCGGGTCCGCCAGCGAGAGCTCCAGCGCCGTCGAGTCCTCCTCCGCTGCTGAGACCGACAGCACCACCACCGGTACCACCGCCACTGGATCCAAGCCCGTTGGCTCTTCCTCCGGTGCTGCCACCTCCACCCCGCTGGTGACCAAGACTGACTCGGCCACCCCCTCTGCCTCGTCGCCCGCCTTCAACGGCGCCGCTAATGTCAAGGGTAACCTGGCTGGTGTTGCTGCTCTCGCCGCTGCTGCCGCTTACGTCCTGTAAATATATCTATACCTAATCTGAGGCTGTTGTCGGTGTTTGCGACTGGCTTTTGTTGGTAGGGGATTTCATTCCTTTGCTGGCTGGGTTGGTTGTGCGAGACGCCTGAATGGGTCACTTCCCTGTATAGTTGATATGCTTAATACAATACGTCTTGTTTTTGCCTCTTGGTAAAAAGGATGTCTATGATTTGATTCTCTGTCTGTTTAGCCTTGTAATGGTTGAAATGAACATGCTTTATATCAGAAAGGCGTATGTTATTGGGCGATATAGACATCTAATCATGGAGCTTGGTCACATCACTATAACTTGTTAGGATGTAGTTATATATTCGAGAACTGCGTATCACAGCGCCAATGGATAAACATTTTTACGTTGGTACCTAAATATTTGCGACGCATGGGTGGAACTAGCCAAGGCCTTCGATATATATTGCCATATTAAGCGTTGTATTTATGCAAAACCCTAGTTACAAAACTCTTCCAGCGATGTTCGCGTTCATTGAAGTCATGGCAAGTAATTCCATTTATATATCATCAAAGAAAACGTGAAAATAATCACAGTAGAACAGCCACAGCAGCAGCAACCATAGGAGCAGCCGTAATCAAAGCAGCAGGACCAGCAGCCCCACCAGTCGACTGCGTCGTCTGAACCTCCGTGGAACTCGACGGCAATCCCGCAGTTACCGTCAACTGGTAGTAAGAATTCGACATCGGCGCAGTGGTATAGGTCGCCTTGCTAGAAGTGGAAGATTCATATTTCGCTCCGGCCAAGGATCCACTCTTGCCAACACTCATAGTGCAGCTAGCCGACTCGGTCGAAGCTTTCAGGGAACACTCGTACGACTGGGTGAGAGTGATATCATAGCTGGTCGACTCGCCCGAAGTGGATGCGATATATTTCCCCGTGAAGCTGACGGTCTCCGGGCCTTGGACGATTGTCCATGGTGTCGGGTAGTTGCAGTCCGTCTTGGGGGGCGTCTTTCAGACAGCTGACGTGGTATGTCGCGGCTGCGCTGTTGTAGGTGACGAGGCTGGCGGCTGTGCTTGTCCAACCGCCGTACTGGAGTAGGCCTCCGTCCCAAGAAGGAGAGAAGTAGCCGATGACGTCGGTGCTACTGTCGTCCGCTTGGGTGCCCAGTGTAGCAAGGGCTGCTGCGAGGAAGAAGGAGGTACGCATGTTGATGGTTCTCGGTTCTTAACGCACTATAAAGTGGGAAATTGCAGAAGGTGCAGAGAGATGGAATTAGAAAATTCAATTGACGAATGAGCCCCTTTAAACGAAAAGAATCAAGCTATTTACTTAGCTTATGGAGCTTGACTCAATGCAATGAGTAGCGAAATGGGGAGATTATAGCGAGTTAACACTGGAAGCCCTAAATTTTATGAAGCTCCCTTATTGGCTTGAGTCCGTTTGTCTGCTTTCTTTGATCACACTCATTGGATGTTGAAACGCTGTGGCTGATTGAAGACAGTGCTAGTAATCGACAATATTACTAGCGTAGTACGGAGAATGAGTGAACTAGGGGCCAAAAAAAAGTATCAAGCGGCCTTGGGCACTGGCATAATAGTCAGATGTGGACTTTTGTTCACATAGCATTGATAAAGGATCTTGGCGATGGATGGATGTCCTGGAGGCTTTTCGATAATTTCGGAGACCCACAATTAAGGATGAAAATCTCCATAGCCAATCTCCTATATTTCGAGCTCGATTTATCCATACGGAGGACTGTGCGGAGTAATGTCTCAGTACAGTGGGACCTCCGAAGTATTGGGCTAAACCTTTGTATAGGGCGGTAATATGTAGGTACGAATGTTTAGCCCAATATTTCGGAGATCCCACTGTACATACATATAGGTATGGGGCTAGAGTGGACTCCACTGCGTGCAGGGCCCTCTCCCGGACCTCCCGGCTATGCTAAGGCTCTCTGAGTCACTCAATTATGGATCACCGGGTTGGTGGCTCCACGAAGCAACAGTGTTGAACTCATTCTTTCATTATCTGGATATTTCTATCGAGTCAATATAGATACAGCGCTAGTACTATAATAATATATCTATAGCGGGTTAGTCTATGATAAATCCTCGATCATTTGATGCAGGGGGTGGAACATACAGTCCTAAATGAATAGCGCCTTTTAGATAAGTAAACAGTCCATATCCTGTTGTAAAGGCGGTTGTAACTGCCGTGATAAACAGAAATACTTCCAGGAGGACATCAAATTCGAGCAACATGCGATGACCGATACACACGCTTGCAATAATAAGGATAGGGAGGTTGAAAAGCCCCACGCCAAGGGCTGTCTCAGCGGTTAAATGCATAGCTAGCTCCATTCTGTTGTCGTATGCGATGGCACATGTTTTGGCGAAACTTGATAGACTGCTCGTAAATGGAAGGAGTGCCGCTCCAATAAAAATGCGCGACAGTGAGGTGTCCTGGACGAATCTGGGGATGTCTTGGATCAGATAAACCGAGCATTGAATCGCAAGGACAAGAATGGCAATGAGCCAAATTGCATAATTGAGGCGAGACGCAGTGGACAATTCTCCTTGCCCCGAAAATCTTCCATTTACTGCACCAGAGGTAGGGGAGCCGTCATTTGCTGTTGAACCAGCGTTGGCTTCTTCCAGCTTTTCGAAAAGCTCAGCATGGGAACTGTACCTAAAGCAAAGCCACATCGCGTAGATAACCAGCATAACGATGACGTCCGCAACGGTCAGAGTAAAAAGAGCCCTGCTGCGCGGGTATGCTTCGTACAAAGGACCGATAAACATAGGCGGGATGAATGGGAAAACAGTAATCATGGTAAGTGATACTATGCTTTTCATAGCTGTTGTAGGCGCGGTTTGCTCCCTAAATCGAAGCCCACCGACAAACCAGCTTAGCCCAGTACCCTGCGCGGATTAGCCTTCTGTTACTGAGTTTGACACACAGGTCATGTACCATGAGGAGATTTGCAATCAAGCTACCAATAATGAATGATTGGACAAGAGTAATCTCTCCGTAAACAATAGCTGTAATCCCGACCTAATAATTGATTAGCTGAATTTATCCTTGGCGAATGTTAAAGAGAGCTCACCATCAGGGGGAAAGTATGTGGTAGAGCTTCGGCAACAATGGTGGTCATGGTAGAATCAGAGAACAGCCATATCCATTCTGCGGTGGAAATGAACCTTGACTCAAGAGCAATCAAAGCAAAGTAATTGAGAGCAAATACCCATCCAGAGACCCACCCCTGTGGAACTCCTAACAACGCGAATGGCAAGGAGATAAGAAGGGCCCAAGTAAAGTCCTTCCAGACAGTGGAAAGCAAGTTGCGAAAAATGGTCGTCGCCAGAACAATCTGTTGTGCCGGCATGCGGACCCACCAGCGATGGTCTTCAGCCCATGGAACTGAACTGTTAAGATTCTCTCCAAGCAATGGCCGTTGCTCGTTTCCTTGGAAGTTGATCTCTGTCGGTCTTGACACCAACATTCTCGATGTAATTCAATGATGATTGAGCCTGTTGAATGGCTCAAGGTGTGCTTGAGGAAGTGGCAGAACTGAAGTTGGTTGCGGAGGACATTAAAAATCTGAACCAAGATCTTACGTCCAATACGCACAGCAGCCGAGTATTATCGAGGGATGACCTTGCGATCCTAGCCCTTGCTGGCAAATGCAACTCGCTGGCTGACGAGCTGTTACGAGAGCTAAAACCATTAGCCATTCCCCCTGACCCGTCATCGGCAAGCGGTCATCCAAAGCTTGACTTTCAAGGCTATGAAGAAACGACAAGATCAAATTGACACCGCACATTTCAAGACGCTACGCTGGGCTTTTGATCGATCCAGGACGAGCTTTATGCAATGGCTTGAAGAGCAAGGTGGAATATATTGGATCAGTGGACAGGTGGGATTGAACAACCCATCCATAGAATGTGCTATGGATGCAACACACGCAGCTAACACACAATGTAGGCGGGTAGCGGCAGATCCACACTCATGAAGTACTTATCCGACCATAAAAACACCAGGGATGCTCTGAGCTGCTGGGCCGGAGAACAAAAACTGTTCATCGCCAGCTTTTACTTTTGGAACGCGGGAGTCAACATGCAAAAGTCTCAGCTCGGTCTCCTGCAGAGCATATTATACCAGATTCTTCGCGTTGAGCCGCGCTTGGTCACTGAGATCTGTCCTGAGCACCAGGGGTCAGAACCTTGGGGCATTACCGAATTAATGGGGACCTTTTCCCGTCTAGCTGACACCGCATGTTCTGCAAAGTTTTGCCTGTTCATCGACGGGCTTGATGAATACGATGGTAAGGAAATGGAGATCATTCATGTCTTGAAGAGTCTGGCCCAATCCGAGAACTTCAAAGTATGCGCATCTAGTCGGCCCTGGACAGCCTTCGAAGAAGAGCTGAGCAGCCCTGACTGCATGTTTGTGCTGCAACATTTTACCAGGGACGACATGAATAATTACGTGGAATCCATGCTTACTGAAAACGACAAATTCAAATCACTGGCGGCAAAAGACCGTCGCTGTAACACTCTCATCTTTGAAATTTCCCAAAGAGCAAATGGAGTCTGGCTATGGGTATTTCTGGTTGTCCGGGACCTCTTGCGTGATATCACTGCCAAAGAAACCTATGATACATTGGAGAAACGTCTCAACAGCCTGCCTCAGGAGTTGAACGCCTACTTTGCTCGAATTATGGATCGAATTGATCCGTTTTTCCGCGCAGATACAACCCGTATATTTCTCATTGCCGTTGAGTCTGTGCGGCCTTTTCCATTATTTGCACTTGACTTTCTGGAGAAAGAGTCAAAAGACCAGGATTATGCCCTTAATATGGAAGTGAAAGCCGTCACTGCTGATGAGCTGTCAGCCGTGTGTATGGACTGGAGGCCACGACTTCAAACCCGATGTGGTGATCTTTTGAGTGTCCATACAGATTACTCGGAATCTGCATTTTTCAGAACAACCGTGGATTTTATTCATAGGACTGCACGAGATTTTCTTCGAGACAATCACCACGCCATGTTTCAGCAGTTTGTACCGAGGGACTTTTGCGGCAAGGAAACTCTCTGCAGGATGCTCCTCGCGATGTTGAAGATGTATCCGGTGGAAACCTTTCGTAAGGCCTCAAACAGTTTGTTTAATTTGGTCGATGAAATACTCTACTATACATATGAACTGGAGCAAATGAGCAGAACCACCTCTCACTTCCCTATCCTGGATGATATTGATGCTGTTATGTCGCTCCATTCGCAGAAAGAGCTCAATCACTGGACAAATGGTCGGGATTCCCCGACGAATACTAGATTTGTTCAATGGATCGAGCGCGGACAATGCTCATTCCTTGGTCTGGCAATACAAGCCCGCTTGCGGCTATATGTCGAGCATGCTCTGGATATCGATCCATGTCGATTAAAGAAAAGAGGTCGACCACTGCTAGACTATGCTCTCCGACCGACCAGAGTCACACCAAGCAATCTTCCCTACTCCCATGAACGAGAATACGCGGGCATTGAAACGGATATTGTAGCCGCACTGCTGGATCGCGGTGCCGACCCAAATCAAGTTGTTCACATATATGGAGACCACGCGCCCTGGCAATTATTTGTCCTGTTCTGCTATGAACGGTGCAAGGACGTTCCTGCCAACGACAATCCATATTTTGATGTTGCGAACTTGTTGGTCCAGTATCATGCAGACTTGAACCAGATCATACATTTACCTCCCATACAGACCCGTGCCGGGACAACCGCTCGATACAAGACACAGGTAACCATCGAGAAGAGCCAAGCAACAGCCTGGGAACTGTTAAGTGAAGTATTTACGTCGAGACAGATGATGGACCTGGAGCGCAGTATGCAACAGGCGAGACTTGAGGCGCAAAGCCGGGACCCGGGATGGCTGGGATGGATCAGCGACATGATCACTGGGAAGACCTTTGGTGTCTGATCTATCTTATGTGTTGCTCGGTGTCCGTTAATAGTGACCGATGCAAACTTAACAACTTCGCAACTTGACAACATGGCTCAATAATTGCTTTATTGTAAAAGGGCATGATGAATGGAGTGACCCGGCTCGCAAGAAGTAGCCTAGGTTCCTTTTATAAGGAGGTCCTACATAGCGAATTCGTTGTAGAGTAGGAGGTTAATTAAGGCTAAGATCACCTTTACGTGTTCATTTAATTTGAAAACACCTAGTTTCTATATACAGAACTGTACCTTGTTCACTGAATCTGTGCTGTGGCGAGAAGCTTGATAGCTATGACGGGGATGGACCCACCTATGTCGTACCTACCTAGGTACTTGGGACATTCCCCTTTTCATCTGTCTCTCTCTTCTTTTTCCAGATTCAGTTCTTTCAATATTGTATTTGATATTTATTCGATATGTCAAACTCCAAGTCCAAGTTTTGCAACCTACCGCGCGCCCCGGGGCCCCTGACCTGCCCATACAAGGTAACGACACACCTGCGGCCTTGTTATAAACTCCGATTCTCACACAGAAATAGGGAACATCTCTCCTCCAATCATCCCAATTAAACAAAGGCTCAGCCTTCCCAGACCATGAGCGATCAACATTCAAGCTCCACAGTCTCCTGCCACCAAACATCCAAACACTGGATGAGCAAGTCCAGCGCGCCTATCAGCAGTATCAAAGCAGACCAGATGACCTAGCCAAGAACACCTTCCTGGCTAGCATGAAAGCTCAGAATGAAGTGCTGTATTACAAGGTCCTTACATCTTTCCAACGAGACAAATATCAGCATGTGCACCATTACTAACATGTGTATAGCTCGTGCAAACCCATCTCATGGAGATGTTCAGCGTGATATACACGCCTACGGAAGGAGACGCGATTCAGAATTACTCGCGGTTATTTAGGAAACCGGAAGGGTGTTTCTTGAATATCAATGACCAGGATCACTTTGAAGAGTATCTCGCTGAGTTTGGGACTGCGGACGATGTTGATTATATCGTCGTCAGTGATGGGGAAGAGGTAATTATATATCTGCCCGAGGAGAACACTGTGTGACCTTGCTTATCATTGAACTGTTTGCAGATATTGGGAATCGGGGACCAGGGTGTGGGTGCTATTCTCATATCGGTTGCCAAACTGGTTATTACCACGCTCTGTGCTGGAATCCATCCTTCCCGACAGCTTCCTGTTGTACTGGATTGCGGGACAGATGTAGGTATATTTGTTCTCTAGTTAAATCTATGTTTGCTAATACCATGTATAGAATGAAGAGCTGCTCAATGACGAACTTTATCTAGGCCTCCGACAGCGCCGGGTCAGAGGGGAGAAGTACGATGAATTTGTGGATCGATTTGTCCATTCTGCCCGCAAACGATTCCCCAAGGCTTACATTCACTTGTATGAGAAATGCCTCTTTCTATATCGTTCGAGGCACGGCTAACAGTACCAGCGAGGATTTCGGGCTCCACAATGCACGGAGAATACTCAATAGGTATCAGGAACAGATACCCTGTTTCAATGACGACATCCAGGGCATGGGGTGTGTAACTCTCGCTGCCATGTTGGCTGCCCTTCAAGTCAGCCGAGTCGAACTGGAGGACGTACGAGTAGTGATTTTCGGCTCGGGAACGGCAGGTATTGGCATTGCCGACCAGCTTTTAGATACCATCGCCACCGAGACGGGAAAACCAAAGCATGAAGCATCTAAGCAGATCTGGTATGTAACCGCGCGCACGAGAGAGGGAGGTAAGGTCCCTACTAACACTGCTCTTTCATCTAGGTGTATTGACAAGCCCGGTCTTCTTATAAAATCCCTCGGTGACAAGTTGACTGAAGGCCAGCAATCTTTCGCACGGGATGATGACGAGTGGTCGGACGGTGATCGAGATCTTCTTTCCGTCGTCAAAAAAGTACATCCCCATGTGCTTATCGGGACATCGACCAAGCCGGGAGCATTCACAGAAGATATCATTCGTGAGATGGCAGGGAATGTAGAACGACCAATTATATTCCCCCTCAGTAATCCAACACGACTCCACGAGGCGAAGCCGGCTGATCTCTACGAGTGGACCGATGGAGGAGCCCTCGTTGCCACAGGCAGTCCATTCCCACCAGTTACGCATAACGGCACGCAATATGAAATTGGTATGGCTTCAAACATCTCAGATATTGACTGTTCGGCATATTAACCACGATATTTCAGCGGAATGCAACAACTCAACCTGTTTCCCGGGAATTGGTCTTGGAGCAGTGCTCTCGGAGTGTCGTCTCGTGTCTAAGAAGATGCTAGTCGCTGCCGTGAAGGCACTCAAGGCACGGTCACCCGCCTTGAAAGCCTCCGATAAGCCGTTGCTGCCCGATGTGCAAGACGTGCGCGAAATCAGTGTGGAGATTGCCGCGGCTGTGATCTTGTGTGCTGTCGAGGAGGGACTTGCACAGGCCGAGGACATTCCTACCATAGACTCCGACCTGCGAGAGTGGATTCGAATCCAGATGTGGGAGGCTGAGTACCGTCCTCTGGTCTATACGGAGTAATACCAAGGCTTTGATGTCTATATTGGTTCTATTGATGTGATCTTTTGCCGCTTTCCCTTTTCATAACAACTATTAAACCTCCATTTCCCAGATAACCAGGGGTTCTCCAATCAAGACGAGAGGTATTGACCCGAAGTAAATATGTAGTTTTGCCTATGGTATTTTTTGAAAAGGAAGGAAGAAAGAAGAAGAAGAAGAGGGAAGCCAGCTGCAGGGTTCGACTACGTGGGCGAACGTCCTACATACTAGGTAACTACAATGAAATGAATGGTCTTAAACGTACCATCATCCACGCGATCCCAAAATTGATCTCATAGATGCGTACAACTAGTAGGTGAAGGAATGATGGTCTGAAAAATCGCTATACGAAGGAAAAGTCATCATGTAAATGTGATTGATATGTTACAAACTGTTCAGTAATATGGAACCTACGTGAGCCGACGACATAAAAAACAAAGCTAAAAGCCCGAGCGATTGAAACAAGTTGACGTATGTTTATGGAACCCATAGACGCATGAATCCTACGACTTCCTGGCGACAAGTCACGCAACTGCCGAAGTTGTTCATGGCAAGGCTAACGCGACAGTCCTCGCAAATGCATAGACAGCGACAGGGCCAGGTGATGATAGCGCGTGGGCTTGTCTGGCAGACCACACAGGGTGGACCATTGGGGCCGAGGCCTGTTGCGCCGGATTCCCACGTATGGGCATCGTAACTGCCCGAGGATTCCGAGCGACGGGCGAGGATGAGTTTCTCGAGGAGTTCAGCTTCCTCTTCCGGGGTAGGTTTCCGCCTCTCGGATCCCGAGTGCATGGCGTTGAGCTGCTGGAGGCGGGAGGAGAAGATGATCCGGGATCTCTCCTTTTCAACTTGTTTCTGGTAGCGACTGCGCGTCATGATTTGTGGATTGTCCTGGTTTGTTTTGAGATGCGCAGCTAGAATCTTAGCTTCTTCTCTACTTTCGCGATCGCGTGGGTCGAGGAGACGGGCAAGTGTGCTCATGTCGATCAGGGGATCTTGGAGTGGTGGGCTTTCTCTGTCTGCGTATGGTTCGAACTGGGTAGGAGTTCGACGACCATCTTCCGATGGGTAATCATCCCATTCGGACTCCGAGGCATTGGTAGACATGGACACCATGCTAGTGGTGTCGAAGTCGTCAGAGGGCGGGGAATAATCAGAGGTTTGATCCTGATTTCCCCATGCACCGCCAATTTTCCACCAACTGTACAATCTCTCGTCTAACCGACTTTCATCCGAGCCCATCCAGTCTGGCCGATTCGCGCGCTCTCGCTTCCTCATCTCGATCTCGACGTCAAAGTCATGGTCATCGGGGAGCTCAAGCTCTCCATTTTCCGAGAGGATCCAGAAATCCAATGGCTGTGATGAGTTCGTCTTGTCGATATTAGACTTCCTTCCGCGATGGCCCACTATGCGTTTGAGCCACATTGGCCGAGCGCTTATTCCCAGTCGATCAAGCACATTATTGAGCCCGTATGCAACCCAACGGAGAATTATGAGAGAAATTGCCCGGAAGAACGAGAGAACATGCCACAATCTGATGGATACTCGCACTGCGCCAACTCCCCCAAGCTCGGCTCGAGATTGCACGGCTCGAGCGCCGTTCTTCGGTTTCTCAACCTTCTTTTCGCGGTTGTAACCACTCTCCCAAGCCGATTGCTCTGGCATGTCGAAACTTGAGAAACCCATAGCTTCGATGGGCCGACTGCTAGGCTCACTCTGCCAATCCCCATAAGATGAAGTGTAAGATGAAGACTTTCGCCTTGAAGCTTCAATCTCAGAGAGTCGGTCCTCTTCAAGCCACGTCATCCGCCGTGCAACGACCGATTGGCCCTCGTTCAAAAAGACAGCGTCACTTGCCGCTGTTAGGGCGACGTAGCCGATTCGAAGCAGTGTTGTATAAAAGTCTTCGTGTCTGTTTATACGAATGCTTCTTATCTGGTTCGACCCTTGCATATTCTCGTGCGCCATCAAGAAACGGTCATAGACTGAGACAGGTTGATCGTCAGTAGGTAGCGAAACAGCTGTGATGGTAAGTGCTAAGGTGTATATTGAAAGACAAATCACGATGCCGCCCAATAAAAAGATGTGAGGGATGAATCCCACAATGCAAACAGTCGGGAACCTGAGAACGCCAGTTTCGAGGCTGACGGGTGGACCGCCATCTAACCCCCATAACATGGCTACCATGAAGCAGGCACCCCAAAAGGCGGTGCTGAAAAACCGATATTTGCTCTGCTTCCCGAAGACTTCTAAGATGTGAGAGGTTGCACTATTGCAGCACGAGATCAATACAATAAGCAACAGTTCAGGTGTGACATTCATGCGTTCCAAGACTTGCGATCTTGTGAGGAGTTCAAAGACCGAAGTTGAGTTGTCACCAGACCCACTCGAAAGCGCACTGAGGGGGGCTTTGTTTAGGAAGACCGAACAGGCCTAGTCCGATTGATTTACTGATCATCGACTCGGCTTCTGCGAAGGCGATTGAGTGTTCGAAGATGGACATCCCCGTCTCAGTCATCACAGGCCTGCCTTGTAATGCGCATGAGAGCGTTTCAATAAAGTGGCTGAAACAAAAGAGCATAAATGTTGGCCAGAGTAAGGAAAATGATCCATATGGGATGCCCGGGTTGGTTCCGCGCGCCATCTTCACAGCACTGCACGACCGTTCCTCAGATTCCCATCCTAACAGAGTCGAACTAATCGAGTAAAGAACGCCCCCGTCACTGGAATAGTCGAACACGAGTTGCTTTCCGGGATATCCGTAGCGCATTGTTGAAAAAGACGGCGATGTCTGACATCGGATTCCACGGAGCAGGCTGAGGATTTGGGAGGCAAATAGAACGATAGGAATCAACCGGAGTGCCGCGCGCCTTTCCCAGCCTAGTCGAAGGTGTCGCCGTGTGGATGCATAGATGGTAATTCGGTTGAGGATGAGCGCCTGAGACCTATCAGCATGGTAAGTGTACAAATCGGGAGCGGAGCCTCACCTCTACCAGACAGGCAAATGACCAAAGGCTTGTCAGATACCCAAAGAATCCACCGAGCTTCTTCATGGCGCCCAAGAACTCAGCAATGTAGTAGCCACTCTCCTGGCCGGCTGCATCGGCGAACTCATTGCCAGCCATGTCCGCTGCATGCGTTGCGGCCGTGCCGCTGGCTCCAGCTGCTGAACGAGCCCCGCTCCAGATGTTTTGGCCAAGGGCTTTGATCCCGGTTATTCTAGCGAGAGTTTGGGGAACCGTTCGGAGGGCAAAGGTCTCGGCGTGTTGAAAAGCGCGAAGGGGGGAGGTCAAGACTTGATGCGGTAAAGAGGACAAAGGAGAACTTTCCGGCGATAGTGTTGTATTCATATGTTGCAAAAAGGCTGCGCTAGATGTGGTTGGTATCGTTGAGGGTTCAACAATGCCTGACATGATGAGCCGGTGTATGCGCCTCTGCGGGTGACCCTTATCGGTGATCCGGGGGAGATGCAATCTAACACAAAGGCCAGTGCATCCGACTGTGGGCACAGGCAAATAGAATGCTCAATAGTCAAGCGATGTTATGACTAGATTGGAGACCACAGTGAGCAATGCTCCTGTGAACTGCATCCCGCAAATCCAAACGTATGGAAGAGTGATCTTCACGATGGCGGGCACTTCCTTGGAAGTTCGCCCCGGTGGAGCCGGCCCCAGCCCTCGGTATTTCCAAGGCTGCTATTCGCTGACTCAGCCGGAATATCCTCCAGGCCTTCAGGGCTGGGCAAGCCCGGAGGGTGCATGTTGATATACTCTGGCCATCTTAACTAGTATAGAACTTATGACATGGATATGATTTTGTATTTTATTTGTCTCCTATGATCCAAACCCTTTACCGGTGGCATCTTGGCAAGCGCGTTATCATTGGAAGTGTTGATCTGCCATCATCTTTAGACAAATTCGGCCATAGAGGTAGTAACCGTTTGCATATGCTCAGATGGGATAAGTGTTCTTGTAGAAATCCAGGATACTACTACGGCAAAGAAGAAAACATTTTCAAAATGTTAGTCGTATTCGATCCCATAGAATACATGCCACGACAAGACGCCATGACCAAATGTGTGCATGTGAGCTAGTCCGGAACTCCCCATGGTATCGTCGTAAAAGTCGAATGTCTATCATTGCGCCGTGAATCATTTCAAACCGATGTGAGCCGAAGCAAGGATGGATACCTGAGGTCTCAGTCAGGGAGGTATAAGAAACCAAAGGCCCAAGGTACCACGTGGAAATCAAGTATTCAAGAAATCAGCAGCCATCAGGAGTTCCAGGCATAACTCAGGTGGAATATCCATGTCTGGCACGTTAACCTGGTCCTTGTGCTTTTCATTGTAGCAAAAGTATTCGCAGATCTTTTCGACAACGACCCCACTACAGAAACAACTTTGTTAGCAATGTCCATCGAAGAGATAAAGAGGAATATAAGCGTGAGACATACGAGTAGTCCTCCAGCACACATCTACCGGTGCGACCCTCAGGGAAGTTGGCTGTGGGTGGTTAGTACAACCCATGCAGCAATGGATCTTGAGTCCACGTACTCGAAGAAAGCATGAGCCGGAAAGTCTCTGAGACGCAAGCTGCGCTGCGAGGGATAATGAATTCAAATCCGTCGTTTGAGACTATAGTCACAAACTCGGAGTCCGTGGATGGCGCCATGACGCGTAGTTGTAGGAAAGTGGCCGCTGTGGAGCGAAAGAGCCTTTTTGAGGTTGGCTTGTTGGTCCGTGCTGAAGCTGCCAGTGACGCACCCGACCCGATATCGCGTTCCTCTTGGAGTTCAGACAAAGTAGAACAATATGGCGAGTTTGAGAGTTCCTCTGATTCGCTTGCGAGTGCCTATCCTGTTCCTTCGAGCCTCATCGAGGCCTATCAATTCGCTCAATGAAGGCTACGTTAACAGCCAAATATCAAGTCACCCTCTGGGGTATATAAAGCGATCATACTCATCTCAGCCAAATGGAAACACCCCCAACATTTCATTCCAGCCTGGAAATCGACTTGCAGGCCGAAAATGCATGGTCACCGGTGGGACATCCGGCATCGGCTTCGCCATTGCCGAACGATTTCTACAAGAAGGCGCATCGACCATAGTCCTCGTCAGCCGATCCCAAACACGTCTAGAGGAAGCAGCCAAAAAGCTTGAGTCTCTCGCAGTTACACTGCCAGAGCTTGCTGAAAGCAACGATGAAGTCGCAACTCGCGCCCCAGAAGAAGACAACCAGCAAAGCACGCAAGGAAAGATCCAGCTACTTGTCGGAGATGTCTCAGATGCCGGGTCATGGATGCGTGAACTCGAAAAGGAAATGGTAAGCAACCTCGTCTATATTAACTAAGCTCCCCTCCTAACTATCTTCCAGGGAAATGTAGACATCCTAGTCAACGCAGCAGGAATTTCGATATCAAACATTCTGCCCAGATCCGAGCTGGAAGATATCTCCACCATCCTGCGTACTAATCTCGAAGGCGCAATGCTCACTTCGCGCGCATTGATGCGCGCCTCTATCCGGAGTCGGATACGGTATCGGAGTGACCCAGCTGCGGGGACCAAACCCCCCTCGAAATGCATTATTAATGTCTCCTCTTTACTGGCGCTAAAGGGCGGAACTGGCGCAGTTCCATACGCTGCCTCCAAGGCTGGCCTTCTCGGTCTGACACGATCATTGGCTGTTGAGGCATCGGCTTCGATGAAAGATATTGTCATTCGGTCAAATGCTATCGTGCCGGGTATATTGAAACACCCATGGTTGCAGGTATGTTGGTTTATGCATGTATTTATTCGTGCGTTGGCTGATCTCGATGGTAGACTTCACACCAGGGGAGACAAGTAGGCTGAAGGATCTCATTCCTCTTCATCGATTTGGAGATCCACGCGAGATTGCTGATGCAGCCGTGTTCTTGGCGCAGAATGAATATGCCAACAACTGTGTGCTGAATCTCGATGGTGGATTGAGTGCCGTTTGATTCAATCCAAGTGAGACGTGTAATACCAACAAAGCAAGTGTACTTGTAAAGAACCCCTACACTACAATATCAGGACATGATTAAACACACTAAGAAGGATATCAGTAGTGTTCTCTAGGAAATAGCGAGCTAAACAGATAAAATCCCAATCCTTTTCTGGTGTGTCGCTTCGAGTCCTAAGCGAGCCCACTGGAAGTGGCAAAACGCCATATACTTGGGTATCTCACATCAACTACCGATTACTTGCCCTTGCCAGTCTACATCCCTTCGACTACTACTGAGGTACTTCATCAATTCCCGCAGGATCCAACCTCAGACATAATTTTAATACTTTGCCCAGGCCGTACTGCTATTCTCAGGTCTTATTCTAGTAATCTATCAACCCGGGAAACGCCATTGAGCAGTTGAGACACAAAAACCCCATAATGCATTATCATGTCCATATCCAGCATGCCCGCCAACCTGGGATTTTGAACCTTCTCTGCTTGACTGAAATCAGGTTCTCCTTTATGCCATATGATACAGAAGGGTCTGGAGGGGTAGATAGTAAGCAAATAGCAAAGGGGAATACCGAAAGTACGAAAGAGAATGATATCAAGATGAACACCTGTAATGGCTGCTAGTATTACCTTGAGATGCCACGCGAAACATTGTTTTCAGCATTCAATCATCGATCATGATGGCACCTTCCTCATCATCGTCAAGAACGATAGCTTCAATGCCATTTGAGTCAGGAACGGTTGCACTGGCGAGACGCTTCGCATCGTGGCTGCTGGGCTCCACCTCATCATTCGAGCCCTCACGCTTGCGCTTCCCCGTCACAGTTGCATCGTCAGTAGAAGGATGCGCAGGCTGCTCAGGCTTCTGCGCGTCATCGGTGGGGGGCTGGGCAGGCTGCTTGGGCTTCAAGGGTATCTCGACCATCTTCTGCAGCGTTGCCGGCTTGGAGTCCTCGGAAGATGGCTCACTTCTGCAAACCAATCAGTCAATGCTGCCAAGTATTCTTGAAAAAACGAAGCATACCTTGTCTTGATCACCACATCAAGGTCGATTCGTGCAGGTTCATTATCATCTTTTACCGTGATAAAGCTGCCATTCTTGATGCCAATGTCAAACAACTTTTCCGGCAGATCATCGTCAAATTCTTGGTCATAGATCAGTCTATCACCAATAGCAAGGGAGATATTTCTGCCATAAGCCAGTTCCATCTGAAGAACGTCATGGACGAGATGTTCAAGGGTCGCTAGCTCAGGGTCAATTTCGACCGGAGCCATCAGACGGGAACAGACAGGGCAATCGGGATTCGGGGGTTTCAATGAGTCTGAATTAATCGCACGAGCACCGGATCTCTCCAGGAAAACCTTTCAGTGATTGCTTCGTTAGCTTTGGTAGTAGATGGAGGGAATCCTTGTTCGGTCCTTACCATTTTGGCCTGCATCAAGTTGTCTTGGAACACCTTCAATGACTGAAGAACACATAGTCCAGCTGTCATGGCATTGGTGGTTGCAATAGCAGGGATGATATTGCCCGCCATCTCTGTAAAAGTTTTGTCAGTGATGATCGTCTTGAAATGTGCACCCTTATTGGATAGACTTACGCTTGACGTCGAACTTGGATTTAAGTTCAAGGTGGAAGATAGCAGCTCGTAGATTAGCTGTTGCGGTAACGAAGTCCAAAGTGTCCACGTCGTCTTTATCGAATGTCAGGATCGGGGAATCTTGGTCTGGAAGCTTCTTTTCTTGAAGTTGCTTCAGACGATGTGCTAACCGGTTCAGGCTGTAGAGGTTAGCTTATCGAACGTATGCTTTCGGCGACAGACAGTTCCTACCTATCCCTAAAGACGCTGAAGTTCTCCCCCAATGTCCACACTCTCTGGTCCTGTGTAGAGACCGTCGAGGCAATTGAATCGGACTCTGCTTGAAGTTGAGCAAGGTCAAGGAGCTTTGGCGGCTTCTTTTCCTTCCACAAATCCGCCATGCCTTGTAATCGTATTATATCCTTTCCAAAAACCTTATCAAAGACCTTCTGGTGGGCTTCCTCGGTGCCAATCGATTGTCGCAACTCTTTGAGCTCCAGTGCTTCCCTGCGCAGGTCTGCAATTTCGTTCGCTAGCGGGAGGTCAGCCTCAGAGCCGAGTTGTAGATGAAATTGAACCAACCGTTATCAGCGTTTTCTGTGTTGTCCACCTCCGGTGCCTCCTCGTCGCTATTGCCGAAAAGTTCCCTACTCAAAGATGAGTATTCAAATCGGAAATATTAGGAGCTGGATCTTACGGCAAGAGGTAGCTCTTCGCCCAAACGATGCAATGAATCGGCTCCTTGGGGTTGCTGCGGATCGTACACACGGGGAAGGATTTGGGGGTTTCTTTCACGTTGCAATCGTAGCACTCGGTTTCCGACTGGTGCAACGCGCAAGTCAGTATAGGTCCAATCTGCAGAACCAGACATCACTTTTTCCCATACCTTCTGAATAACTTGGACCTGGCCATTGAAGCCTGTAGTTCCACTTTCGATCAAGGGCACATTGGCTACAAGGCACATCTTGTTCACATGACGTCTTGCGGCGATGTTATCTAGCGCATTAAACACGACGTTGAAGGATTCGAACCACGAGACGTCGAACTGGGCATCCATAATGTTCGCATGGTAGGCCTCGAGCTTTGCGTCAGACCGGAACTTTTGCGCAACTTCCTTGGCAACCTAGATGAAAGTATCCATATCTCAGTATTCCATATCTGCCATCGCTGAACCGTTGACGCAATGCGAATGCGCGGCGCTTAACTCGGGGGAATTCGCAAGGGAGCGGCGCAAGTGCGCGGGGTCGGTTGAACGTACCAAGGCTTTTGGTTTCTTGATATGCTCATGTCGAAAAAGGAACTGACGATTGAGATTGCTCAGATCTATGGTATCGAGGTCGATGATGTGGATTTCGCCGAACCCGGTAAGGACGAGGTTTTTCAGTAGCTCGCAGCCGATGCCGCCTGCGCCGACAAGAAGAACGCGTGACTATACGTGATGAGAGCACTGTCAGAATGTATTTTCAGGCCAGCGTCACTTGGACGCCAGGATTGCACGACAGCAGGGCGGTACTTACCTCTTTGAGAGAGCGAGTGAGGTCCACCCCGAGGGAGCGCTTGATGGAGCTATCCCGCATGGCGGGCAGTCGATAATGATCGCGATCAGGTGGTTGTGTAGTTTTGTAGTGGTGCAGTGGGTTAATGGTGTAAGTGTTGAAACGGTGTGTCTGTTAGAGATGAATCGCGAAGGGGGAAAGGTCAAAGAAGGAGCAAATAAAAGGAAGTGATGAGCCGGAAACAGTGACCGTTTGGCGATGACGGCACTGCTAAGATTCTAAGAGCCTCACACGTGGGTTTCCACTTACTTTTGCTCTACACCTTTTCTATATTTGTTTTTCTAGTGAATAGAAGAATAAAATGTACTTTTTAGACCGTAATTGACGTCGTTTCTCTTCATTTCTATAAGTGATCGTCTTTGCATTCCGGCAATGTACAGGGCGCATATACTCTGATCGCCTTCTTCTAGAATGAATGAGCCTGAGTTTAATTCCCATAAGACAATGTGCCTGTTTTATCCATGGATGGTCATGATGATGCTATCCAGATATTCTGCCAGGTACCAGGTAGTCTAGACCTGCAGACCCTGTGTGACTGTAAACTACAAGCTCCCTTGTGCTTATAGCGAATACTTTTAGATACAAGTTGATATAACTGGCATATACCACCACAGCACATATCTTCCAGCTTCCCAGATACATTATGGGCATCTTTGGGATATTTCACCTGCTTACATAACCGGTGACTCTATCCAGAGACCATCGGATCAAAATCTCGGTGTGGCGAGAAACAAAAAAAAAGAGTCAACTTGAAGCGTTTGTCGAATTCAAGTATTTTTATACCGAACGTTTGCTTGTTCCAGCCTCAAAGGATTCGAATATCCAGGCGGGGTGGAATATCTGCCGGGTTTAGCGTCTCACCGCAAGAGACCTTTTGAGGCGATATCAAAGGAGATACCCCTGACTCGATATCTCCCCATTTGTTTTCAATCAAGATTGAGCACGAAGAAAAAATACCATGCCATCATTGGACCCAATTCCGGCTCAAAAAAATCGCCAAGTCGAGGCCAATTCCGACGATGAAGCCGATCCTGAGTTGGTAGAGCTTCTTCGCCAGCATTTTGGACTGGGCCAAAAGCCAAAGGATGCCCCACCAGAGACCAAAGTGCTTGAGGGTGCTCAATATGTTTTCGACAATGCAATTGATGTTGCTGTCAGCCTTACTCACACCAAAGACGCTGCCAAAACTATATGGCGGATGATGCAGAAGAAAGAGTATTCCACACACACCTGGTCGGAGCACGAATTACACCCAAAGACCAAAGATGAAAGTACAGTCGATTTCATCTTCACAATGGATTTGCTGAACTTTAGTTTCTGGTCTGAGGAGGAAGAGGAACCTAAGCGTTTCTGTATTGAGTACCGTGGCAAGTTGTGGACTGGTTATTGGAGTCTAGTTGCTGCACTACAAAGAGCTCTCGATGAAGGTCAGTTCCTCGATTGGACTCTACTTCTGGAATGACCGCTTACCCAATTCCAGATATTCCAATCACAACCCCCGACTTCTGGGTGGATGAAGAGAGGTGTACAGACGAGCTACTCAGACATGTATTCCGGTCCGCAACAGAGGGAGAGATTCCTATGTTCCAAGAACGAGTGCAGTGTCTACGTGAGGCAGGAGAAGTCCTTTGCGAGGTACTATCTCATGCAGCCTTACATATATGAGCTATACTAACCGATATAGGAATTCGGCGGGAGCTTCGTCAACTGCATTGACAGTGCCAACCTTTCCGCCGCAGGACTAGTCAATCTATTGACTGAGAGCTTTTCCTGCTTCCGGGACGAGACAATCTTCCACGGAAAGAGGGTCCGGCTCTATAAACGTGCTCAAATCCTAGTCGCCGATCTCTGGGCTTGTTTTAACGGGGAAGACTTTGGTGAATTCCACGACATTGACAAGATCACCATGTTTGCAGGTACGGCTCTTCCAAGCAATCCTACTCCCTCAAACTCATTCTAACCATATATCCCAGACTACCGCATTCCGCAGATGCTGCACCAGCTGAACTGTCTTCGCTACGCACCTAAATTGGAAAGCCATATCCGCGACCTGAAGCCCATCGAGCCAGGCTCAAACTGGGAGATCGAGCTTCGTGGGACGAGTATCTGGTGTGTTGAGTTGATCAAAAGAGAGATCGAAAAACAACACCCTGAGGTCAAAATCAACCGCCAAAAGCCCCCTTCCAAGGGCATTTCTGACAACAAGTATGAAACCGAGAACTCGGATGAGTCGGATGAGATATTGGAGATTCCTGAGGAGCCGCGAAAGACATGTGGCATCAATGCGATTCTCATCGACTTCTTCTTGTACGACACGATGAAGAGCCTAGAGGCAGAGAAAAATGAGTCCATCCCTCATCACCGGACGAGGAGCATTTGGTACTAAGGTGAGTGGTTATTGGTTTTGGCGTCTTTGGCGGCGCATGGAGTTGGATTGCCACAATGATAACTTGGGACATTGGGTTGCTCTAGAGCAAAAGGAGCGTACAATCGAAACATAAACATGGCGAAGCCGACTTCTTTGCTTATCGAGGATGAATATAGAAATTACATGTTGATCATATATTAGGGTATCAATTAAACTAGCAGGCTGCGTCCCCTCTTGAATAACCTCTCAATGCATGGCGGCGATTAAGCAGCTGCACCTTCAATGCGAGCCATGATATCCGCTTTCCAATTCACATAATCCTCTTGACGATCATCACTCAGCCAGTCAATTCGATCCTGCATCATTGTCCCAAGGCCAGGCAATAGACCGCCCCGGGGAGTATCATCTGACTGCGAGGCACGAGTCCCACTCCCGGCCGCCGAACGTTTAGGCGGCCTAACGCCCCCTGAGTGTCGCATCCTCTTCGTCCAGGTCTTGGTAGGACCTGCCTTCCTCATCTTCACCAAAGAGTTGTCCAGCATAGGGGATATTCTCGAACCATTCCTGGCCGTTGGCCCACCCTTGCTCCATGATAAGAGTGATCCATTGGTCAACATCATCACGATGCCTCCGGTCATTAGCCTTCAGCCCAAGGCTATTCAACGCCGTCTGGCGCATTTCAATAAAAGTCTTCTTGTCCATCTTCTGCGCTTCGATATCCTCATCTGCATCTGGCCTGGGGTTACGACGACGGGCAAGCACAAGGAAGTATACAGCCACAGCCATGGCGTAGACCAGTTCTTTGAAATCATCATCCTTATCGGAGCCATTGATAGACACAATAGGCTCCAGGAAATCCAAGCTCTCCCGGTCCCATCCCGGTTCGTCGTTGGACATGCTCGACGTAAGATATAGGACGGACGACACCCCAGCAAAGATATGGGGAGGCAGCGTCCTCGAGATTGGAGGCCTAGACCAGGTATTTGTACGCGGGGCAGGCGTCGACAGGATCTTGCATACAGTCCGGATAGCTGTCATCACCCAAGCGGGGGCATCTGGAATGATGGTTGACCCATGTGTATCCTTCGGTTGGGGGGCTGTAGCCTTCTTTGCCGATTTCGAGGGGCTCTCGAGCCGGTTTGCCGTGCTCATACTTCGTTTCAAGGGTGTAGACTTCGAGGGTGTATTTTGTAGTCCTCGTGGTGTTGGTGCTACTGCCTTGGAAGGGGTGTTCCTGGCTGTCGCGCCCTTCGTCGGCGTCGTCTGCGCTGAGCCGGCGCGTGAGGGTGTTCCCGGAACCGATCCACTTGCTGAGCGTTTGAGGCCAGTAGAGCTTGATATGAGAGATCGGTCAAGGTATGAATAAAGCTTCTTGTATACTCGCGGAGGACATGGCGGATGTCCAAGCAGCGGAGGGAGTTTGAGAGACCGGGTCAGCCTATAGAAGTCAGACACGAGCAATTAGCATTTTAGCAACAAGCCGGCCATAGAAAGACCTCATTCGGGATCCGTGGCATACCTTCTGCAAGCGATTTCCGCGCAGGCATATGGTCGAGCGATTTCCTCTTCTGGCTTTAGACTGCTCGAGAAGCTCCGCGACTGTGCCACAAGTGACATGGCATAACTTAGTAGTTCTTGCGGGAGGTCATTGGCATGAGTCGGCACCAGTGTGCTCAATGCCTGTTCTACCGGTCGATTGTTCATTGTTCTTGAAATGTTTTGGATCAATTGAGGAAAGGGCCGAGTAGGATGTGGCCGTGCCCAGGCAGGACAGGATCGTTAAGAAGAGAAAAAGCAATATGTAGTTTCCGAGAACCTTTCAGCGTGTTTAGATTGCAAATTGAGCCAACTGTGTCTGAACTGAAGGGATCCAAACATCTGCAATTGCCTGGCGCATCGATAAGAAAATGATGACTAAGCACTCTATCGGGCCATGGGGCACAGGGATCAATGCCGCATCTCGCCTTCTTGCACTTCATATTACCTCACAGAGCCCCATCAATATGTCTGTCACAGTAAGTTCGCATATAATTAAAGCGCTATAATATTTCTACAGCTCTAGTTTCTATGAAATGGTGCTAATTACAGCTTCAACAGTTACATACCACCCAAGGCGACCTCAAGGTCGAGCTTTTCTGCGAAGCAGTACCCCAAACCGCAGAGAACTTCCTCGCCCTCTGCGCATGCGGTGCATACAATAACACCCCATTCCATCGCCTCATTCCAGGATTCATGGTGCAGGGTGGAGACATCTCTCTCGGACCGGCCGCGCATCAAACAAGTACGAAGCCAATGCTCGATTTCGAGATCCCGAAAGGCGGCACATCGATCTACCACCCGGCAGCAATGAACCAAGAAATCCACCTCCCGTCGCTGCGACATAACGCGCGGGGCATTCTGTCTATGGCATCTCGTCCGGTGAAGGACAGGACGGCGCCTGGGTCTCAGGGCGCAACGGGCGCAACAATCAACGGGAGTCAATTCTTCATTACGTTCGTGCCGGCGCCGCATCTTGATGGCGCTAGTACTGTGTTTGGGAAGGTGCTGAATTTGACTGCCCAGGATGAAGGGGGCGATGTTCTTACCAAACTTGAAAAGGCGAATGTCAAGGTCGACAAGAAGGGGAAAGTCTCTCAGCCCAAGGAGGGTGATGATTTTGAAGCATTCAAGATCAATAACATTACTATCCACGCGAACCCATTTGCGAAGTGAAACCTTCACGCTCGAATTCTGTCATGAAAGCTGGATGATGCCCCAGGGTCGAGCTCCGAGAGCCACGCTCAGCATGAACACAACCACTAGCTTAACCTGGAGACGCTCCTGCAATCCTGTCATGTGAAGCCCAAAATTACTCACTCCCCAGTCATCTGAGTCTAGCTGCTTACCGATGCCTCTCTGCTGGCTTTCTCGATCTGTCTTGCCAGCAACGTTAAGTGGTACCGCGAAGTACGGCACACTCCGTTGGAATTACTGCCAGACATTGGGTCATGAAGATTGGTCGGCACATTTTCTCTGGCGATGTACACTTGCTGGCAAATGCTGGGCGCGATTAGATCTACTCGAGGGATCAAGATACCACAGAGACGGAAGGTGAAACTATATCGAGGTATCGAACATATCGAACAGTGTCAATTATTACCATAACTCCCGAATTAGACCACGAGATCCGAAAGAATATCTAAGTACAAAGCAACCACTGGTCCCTATTTATAAACCTTGCATTCCATCCAATTGCGTCCAACCCTCTCCAAGGCAAAATAAATCCTGCAAAATTTTAACCTGCATCTCTACTTTTGTCTGATCTGACTGTGCCGCATAAGTCAAGAATGACAGAGCCGAACACGACATCAAGAACCGAATAATTTGAACGTTTGCTGGCGCCGCTGCATTTCCAAGATACGCCTCCACAAAATCGGATGTGCTCTCCTGCATCTCCTGTCGCGTAAGGCCATACTGTTCGCCCGTTCGTCGCAGCATATGCATGAAATGACCAAGATCTCGTTCTGGTACCCCAACCGGCTCACCATTCTCGTCTAGAGAACAGTGTAGCGTCGTCGTGTCGATCATAGTGACATGCCCCGTCGCGCTGTCATAGAAGAAATTTCCAGGATGGGCATCTCCGTGCACGACAGTGGTGCGCGGACGACTAGCAATGTCACGCTTGCAGTCGGCAACAAGTTGATTCATTTTCCCAGGGAGCTGGTCCACTTCAAGTCCAGCGGAACGAATAATGTCTTTGTACACCAATGCCTGCTTGACTCGTTTCGTTGCGGCGTTAAAATACCACTCGAGATACTCTGTGCCTGGTCGCCCTTCGACGCTATGGGTGTGTAATCTGGCCAGGGTACGTGCGACTGCCTGCACGCCAGCGTTGAAGACGGATAACATGTCTCTTTTCGCAGGTCCCGACGGTAGGCGGCCTATCTGCATCATAAGCTGGTAAAGGGATACCCCGGGGGCAACTTGATACGTGACCACACCGGCTGGTTTGGTATCCCACGTCATGCGCCCAACTGCCAACGGAGCAGCAGTCTTGATGTCACCCTTGGTCTGCAGAAGAAGCCATTCAAGGCTTGACAACTCTTCCGTGATCCCATTGTCCAAGCCGTGGACGAACAGTTTAATTACAGCAACCACACGACCTTTGGATGGATCATTGGATGCTAACGATGTCTCTCCGTTCGCAAATTCATCGTTGGCGTAAGCAAAGAAAATGATAGCACCAGAAAAGCCTCCCGGGTGAGTGGGGTCCAGACTCCGCAAGTTGACAGCACAGCCCACGGCAGCAGAGACATGCTCTTCTAGCGCCGAAATAGTAGGGGCTATCTCTGGAAGACTTTGCATGACATCGTCGACCTGTTTCAAGGTCGGCTTTCCACTGCGATTTCGCGTCCGTGCGGCTCGACGCATTGACGATACCATGCTCATCCCAAGCGATGGACGAGGCCATGATGAATATGCTGGTGCAACGCTGCCATGTGCCATCTGGACTGTGTCTCCCTCACCCTCCATCGCTGAACGAAGCAGAGCCTTGGCGGCGTGCCTCCACGAATAACCTCGCATGATTCGCTGCAGAGAACGAGCATGCCGTCTCGTTTGTTCCGGGTAACATCTCACCTGGTCGATCCGATGAGCCCAGACGGCTACACGCTGGCTCGTCGGCGAGGGCACGATTCCATATGTGCTCTCGTCCATCACCACACAGGCCTGACCAAGTTCCGGTGGAATGCGACTGCGATCAAGCGCGAGCTGGCCCGCACCACTTTCCTGCGTTACTCAGGATGGGAACGCCCAGCCCGGCCACTTCGGTAAAGATCATCCCGAACCCCTCGTGCATTGAGGGCATGATTACCAGGTCCGCGTTACAGTAAAACCGCGAGACCGCGTTAGGGTCATCGGAGAAAGGGTGCATCCTGGCGAGCTCTGGCATGCCTGTCATCTCATCGACTACCTGCTGCCAGCGCCCCACGTCTTCTGCCGGGACACCCAGTACGTCCAGGGAGATATCATTGCCAGAGAGTGCAATCTTGCGCACAGCGTATACAGCATCATCTAAACCTTTGGCGGGGTCGTCTGCTCGGCCAGCGAGGAGGACCCGAAATGGGTCATTCGGCTGTCGTTGTTGCGTGCAAGCATCACCCGTGCGCACACCCGGAACTAGTTCATGGAAGCGTGGTCCCATCATGTTTGATCGTGGCCGATTGCATTGGCCCATCCACTCGCGTTCCCGTGCTTCGGTCGTGAGCACAGGCCCGACTCCAACAGCCAAATCTGCTTTAGGGAGAATCCTCTCGTCGAGCATTGCCAGCCGAGCAGCTTCAACATAGCCTAGCTCGCGTGTTTGTCCGTACCACTTCCACGCGACGTCGGACTTTCGCAGGGCGCTGGTATGTGTGATGAGTGCGAGCTTGGCTGTGGGATACCATCTCTCGCGGATCAAGGAAGCTGCGGTGCTGGAGTATCGCGAGTGGCCAATGATGAGATTGAATGGGGACGGATGCTGGTCGTCTGGAATTGGCAGACCATAATCTCCTGGCTGGTGTACCTTCGCCACATGGTAGAGCAAGGCACTGGGATCGATTCCTCTAGAGGGAATGCAGACAACTTTAGCCCAACCATGGCCCGACGATGCCAATGTGTTTTTGACTTCATTGTCAGGCTCTATCATAAACAGAGTCACTGATGCATTGGGAATTTCCGACATGGCTTTGACTAGTTCTTGATTCAACAGAGGCAGACCTCCTTTACCTGGCCCGCTGGCGTTGGCAACAACAAGCACTCTCCAGGGTTGGATCCTTTCGGGCGAGATACTGAGAAGACGTTCCCACTCAAATTTAACCTTTTCGCTGAGCTGGACAGCTTTATGTTCATCGCGTGATGTATCTTGCTTGTCCACAGCAGACCATAGTCGAGATAGCTGCGTGCGTGTTTTGAACAACCGGGCAAGACCTTCGTTGATTGGTATACCCTGCGCCTGGTATGCTTTCCAGAACTCCACCTGAACCTCGCCAATATCAGCTTCACTCATTCCGAAATCCCCGGCGTACTTGCGCAGCCGCTCATGAAACCCAGCCGCATCCATTTCTGCCGGTCCAATAGGCCGGCCGCTCGCATCCATTGAGCGAGTCAGTCCCCCGTAGTCGATCATGGTGATTCCATGAACGGGGTCCCAGAAGAAATTTCCTGGTGAGGCGTCGCCATGCAGTAGCGACGCTACACCTTCTTCCTGGAGTAATCGATCGCCCGGTCGACCAACGAGGCCAGTTGCTGTATTTGATCAGATCCAATCGCGCGCTCATACTGCCCTCGCGATGGACCCTGGATCTCTTGTACCCATCCTTGTAGCTTGTTGCGGAGCCTGTCGACAACAGACTCACTGGTGCTGCTCCATTCAGCTTTTTCCCGGTGCAGCTTGGCCAGTGTTAATGCCACTCCTCGGACGGCGGAGATCAAGTCGCCCATCAGTTCATTGAATTGACAGTCCAAAAACTCGGCGGTGGGCATATTGGATGATTGGGCCTGATGTGATTTATTATTGATTGAGATGCCATGGAGCGCGCCGCGAACAATATCATTCATCATTTCCCTTGTTTCGTCCGGGCAAGGCTGCTTCGCAATCAGTTGGAGAGTGGAGAGCCGACCAATGTCACGGATTATTGTGTTGATTGCCTTACCTGCTGCGAGCTGGTAGACAATCACACCCATAGGCTCTGCGGTGTTTTCATCGCGCGTCCTTCCCACTCCAAGGGGTCGAGCAGCAGACGGTGGATCGGAAAGAGATAACAACCTCCGGTAAGCAACGAGCTCTTCGAAGAAGTCCTTATGACATGCTGGTGGATATACTTTTGTGACGGCGACGGTCCTTTCTGGGTGGGTACTGTCCCGAACGAAGTAGATCGAACAGCCGGATTGGCCTTCTGCGCCGGATGCTTGAAGACGGTGTAGCTCGACGGAGTGGCCGAGGACGGATTCAACGATTGCGGTGACGGAGCTGGTCTCAGGTAATGCAGTCAATGTGAAGTTACCGTCGTCTTCTTTTCGAATGGTGAGCTTGTCGAGGGTGGTTGGCAAGACGCCCTCCTCCAGTCTAGCGCACTCCAAGGCGGCCATTCTATTGGGTTAGGAGGTTTTAATGGAAGAACGGATTATAGAGGGAAAAGGAGGATACCAATATATTATTCAGCTCATTCGACTGTAATCGGCAAAAAAGGTGCTCTCTTAACTCAAGCTCAAAATACGGGGATGAGACAGCGACGATCAACACAATACCATACCAGGATATTTCTTCAGCCGTGCCACCTTATGCAACATACGGTGGATCTCGGTGTGACCAGGTCGATCGGCAACAGAAAGGATGTGCTCTCCAAATCGCGCCTTCGCGGTCGTGTGGGGAGCATCGCATAGCTAGCGTTCTATTACTCCGTATGGATATGGAGCCACCGACATGCGCAACCTCATTTGTGGCTAAATAGTAGGCCGAAGCGTGTACGTCCGCATCTCCATAGCTCCTGCAGAGGCTATGTGTCTCAATCTATGGTTTAGTGGCTGAAGGGCGTAAGGAGCTACAGATCACACATCAGGTACTTGGATGTGACGTTACTGGAAGCCCAGATGGTCAATTTGCAAGGATTGATCTGAACAGCAGGTAGGGGTTATCAAGTACGTAATATCCATCTTCTCTGAGTACAGCTATACCATCAAATCAGCGCCAATCAAGCCCGCCACAAAATGACACAGGACATTTTGGCACGCACTTAGGCTGCGAGCTTGCCCTAATCAAGCCGAGGTGCCAACTCTACTCCGTACCAGAAACCGGATATTTTGATTAATAGTGGAGAGCTTACAAGTTACTATCGTATTACAGCTGAAGATCTATGGAGTCGATCCCAGAGAGCAAATCAGCATCGAACTGTCCGAGGATGAACCTGTCCGATATGGTTAGAGCCAAAGAACTTGGTCGACCCACCTTCAAACCATGGTTTCCCCGGTGCTCTTTTCCAAGGTTACGAATAAGGTTCGAGTTATGTTTAAATGTACCTAGTACTACCTTACGTAGACAGGTACATACAGTGCAGGTCGTATGGACCAATTGGCTTGTTCTCAAATTTAAATAGCACAAATACAAGAATGACAGGCTATACGCACTCTATAAGCACTAAGCCAAAACAAGATCGCCAAAGCGGTACTCCGTATGGTATACAGCCAATCTGCTGGGTCGCTAAGTTCTAGGCACTTTGTACTCCGTTCTTGTCCACATATGATGAAAGTCCTGAATATCAATAGTTTGAGCCAATATGCACACATAAACAAGGTGTGGGGCGTTTCTATGTCAGGACCATGCAAAAAACTCTAAACTGTCAGGTCACATCATGTCAAATAATATATGTCCACCATTTGGGCAATTTATCACGCGAGCTGCCCATCGAATAATAATTAGACATTCCAACCTTAAGATATGCATTGCTGTGACAAATAATCCTTCTAGACATATACGCAGTACATAGGCAGACAAATTAAAGCAAAAATCAATGGAGGATCGAAGTGCCTGGACATGGAACAGGGTATTTGCAACTCGGCGACAGGTCCACAATGAGGTAATAGGTCAAGTATTTTAATCCGTACAGACAAAAGACAAGGCGTTAATAAAGTGCTCCTTCAATTCGACCAGAGCTAGATCATCCCATGGACCAAGACCGTACTCCGTGCGGAGTACAAATTGTACTATTAAAAGGTAGCAAAATTATTCGTATAAAGCTGAACTTAATGACAAAATAGGATAGGCTTTTTGAAGCCATTGGTCCAAATAGAACGAGTGTATTTTACTGGCGGCATTGAACCCAATTAAGTAAATCCGCTTCTTTTTTCATTCCCTCTCCCTCTGGGTTTATTGGACCTATTACTATTTCAGCTTCCTTCCTGTTCCTCATGTACATACTTGTTCAAGATTAAAAATAGAGTTGGACGCCTGAGCCAAACCACCAAACCACTGGGTCCTGATATGTACGGAGTACGGAGTACAACAACAGACCTACATCATTGGGCACAAAGATCTACAATATTGAGATTGAGAGCAAGGTATTATTAACATTCAATACCAGAACTTCAATCCACACTTAAGTACAAGTAATATTTCGTATACCCAAAATACCAACCATTTGTACAAAGTGTTTGCAAGTTCCGAGGCTAGTGACCTTAGCGCTGTCTTTAGGTCGAACATGCATCGATGTGCGACAGGATCTTGGAAGCAAAATTACTAGCCAATACAGTGGCGATACTAGTCTCCATCCGAGGCTCCACTGATTGACAGCACCGTCACGATTGAAATGTGAGCACACGACAGCTCAATTGCGAACTTCCAGCTTCCAATCTCACAGACCATACCCATGCGAAGACCACATCCCTTCCCGGGCAATTCCCACTCTTCCTGTCTCAATTGCCTGGTTAGAGCCCACTTTGACATCTGGAGTCTCAGATTATCGAGAGCTCGTAGCCATGGATTCGGCTATCGCTGCTCATGAATTGCTGAAATACCTTCGCTTTGGATATCCTCCGGTTTTGCTGGCGATTCTGTTCGTCGTCTTTTTGGTCCATTCCTCCCAGGTAGCCAAAAATGCTGGTCGGAATACCAAAGTCCAATATGGCCCCGGTGGGAAACCACTGCCCAGGCGAACCCGAATTATGATGGCAGTAGCAAGGGACTTACCCGCGGAGCTTGCGCGGAATAAATCCAAAGGCTGGTTTGTTTGGTTGAATCTTTTTGTATTGGCGACCTATATTGCGGAGGCAGCAATTCATATGAGCCATACCATAATCTCAAAGTCAGAGCAGTGGTGGTGTGGCCAAGCAGTAGTGGTAAGACTCCTGCCTCCAGAATTGAAACCAAAGCTAACAAGAAACCAGGTCTTTGTCGTTGGATCTTTCTTCACTCATACCGTCATTCTCATCTCTTTACTTGATACGAACCCTGCACCATCAATCGCGCAATTTATCCCATGGCTTTCGGCCATTCCTTTTGAGATAGCAATCCTCTCGACTTCCGCCTCAATCTATTCTCACGTCCACCGTGAACCTACAATCGGAGATCCATTTGGTGGAAGGCTGCGCAGGAAAGTCACACTTTGGGAGGCATTGGAGATTTCCGCAGGCTCTGTGAGGATCTTTGTTCTCGCACTGCTTGTCGCATCCTACATTTTCAAATCTGCCCGAAAACTTCGCGTCTTTAAGGAGGCCGAAGATGCCAATGTCGGAGAGACGACCAGCCTGCTAGACTCAAGAGGCAATGCCAACTCGGATGACAGTGATGGCTTGACCGATGGCCAACAGACCCCTGAGGTAGAGGCGTGGGTACGCCCTTTGACGACTCCTTCCACCAACTGGATGGAATATCTGAGTGGCTATTCCCTATTCTTTCCATACCTATGGCCCTACAAATCCATCCGGTTGCAATTTGTCGTTGTCGTTTGCTTTGCTATATTAGTTTTGCAGCGAGCGGTAAATATCCTAGTCCCATATCAAGTGGGAGTGATCGCAGACTCGTTGTCCACCAGTGATGGAACTCTGAAAGTGCCCTGGATGCCTATCTGTCTGTACATCGTCTACCGTTGGCTTCAAGGCAGTCAAGGTTTCCTTGAGTCAGTTCGTTCAAATCTGTGGATTTCAGTCAGCCAGTATGCATACATGGAGTTGTCCACCGCTGCGTTCGAGCATGTTCATAACCTAGGACTGGACTTCCACCTGGGTAAGAAGATGGGCGAGGTTCTCTCTGCTCTCACCAAAGGCAGCTCAATTAACACTTTCCTTGAGCAAGTGACATTCCAAATGTTGCCCATGTTCATTGATTTGGCCATCGCCATCGGATATTTCCTCGTCGTATTTGACGTGTACTATGCGTTGGCTATTGCTATCATGACATTCTTTTACCTTTATTCAACGGTCAAAATTGCCTCTTGGAGAGCCAATATGCGACGCCAAATGGTGAACGCCTCTAGGCAGGAAGATGCTGTCAAGTAAGCTGCCTTTCCCATCTCTCGTCTCTGTTTGTCCAGTTAGGCTTTACTAACATATATAGGAATGACTCTCTCGTGTCCTACGAGACTGTCAAATACTTCAACGCAGAGGAATACGAGTTCAATCGCTATCGAGGAGCGGTATCAGACTACCTGCGCGCGGAATGGCATTCCCTCTTCGCACAGAATCTGATGAATATTTTCCAAAACGTCATATTTATGCTTGGCCTTCTAATCACCTGCTTCATTTGTGCCTACCAAGTTGCTCGCGGTCAACGTGCAGTCGGCCAGTTCGTGACACTCCTTACCTACATGGCCCAACTCCAGGCCCCACTGAACATCTTCGGGACCTTCTACCGATACATCCAATCTGCATTAATCAACGCAGAGCGTCTTCTCGAGCTGTTCCGCGTCCAGCCGTCGGTGGTGGATGCACCATCTGCAACACCGCTAGCAGTCTGTCACGGCCGAATCACATTTAACGACATCAAATTCTCGTACGACACACGACGACCTGCTCTTGACGGATTGACCTTTGACTGTAAACCAGGTACAACCACTGCTCTGGTAGGAGAATCCGGTGGCGGAAAATCAACAATTTTCCGCTTGCTATATAGGTTCTACAATCCGAATGGCGGAAGCCTTCTTATTGACGGACACGACACCCAAACCTTAACAATTGACTCCGTGCGAAGACACATTGGCATTGTCCCACAAGACACAGTTCTATTCAACGAGACACTCATGTACAACCTCAAATACGCCAACCAGGATGCCACAGATGAGGAAGTCTACGACGCCTGCCGCGCAGCCAGTGTACACGACAAAATCATGGCCTTCCCGGATGGTTACCAGACTAAAGTCGGAGACCGTGGACTGCGACTAAGTGGTGGTGAGAAACAGCGTGTTGCCATTGCCCGAACCATTATCAAGAAACCTCAGATTATCCTGCTTGACGAGGCAACGGCCGCATTAGATTCTGAGACGGAGCAGAACATCCAGGAAGCACTATCTGTCTTATCGCGTGGGCGGACTGTGCTAGTTATTGCCCATCGACTAAGTACAATCACCACAGCTGATAATATTGTTGTATTGCACGAGGGTCGTGTCGCGGAGAGTGGCACCCATGAGCAGCTTCTGGCTTCTCACGGTCGATATACAACTATGTGGCAGAAGCAGATTCGTGCGCAGACTGAGTCTGTGGGCTTGGGGACCTTGTCGGGGAAGATATAGATTTGTATATTTGGAAATGTTCCAGGGAGTATGCGTATAGAGTTGCCTTGCCTTTGAAGGGAAATTTCGATACTTTAACAAGGTGAAAGTATCTCAGTCAATGGTTAATCCTAATGCCTAATTTATGTATTTCTTTGCTTGGGAACAAAGTGGACGATTCGAATGTGAAATCCGCCCAGTAGGTCTAAAGCCGAACAGGTCCGAGTAAAGATCAACCAGGAAATGAAAGAACACCTACGGAGTACTTCGGAGCTGAATTGTGTATCCCATGTGGCCAATGAACTTATCCCAGAATGGCCTGGCGTAGGCGTAAGTTAGCTCTGGAGGACACCTCAGCGCCGATATGCAGGGGTGTGCTACATTTGGGGGTCACGGGGGAATACTATTCGGCCTACGGAATACTCATTGCTTTTTATTGCATTATAGGGGCTCATCTGCGTTGTGATGTGTCTCATGGCGTGTATGTACTATATATATGTATCATGCACCCTACAAAGGCCTACAGGATTTCAGCCAGCCCACTGCCTGTATTACGCAGTACAAGACAACGTTGAAATGTGCAATACATGTAATTCCCGTGACTCGATCTCGATCTGCATCATCTCGATTTCTTTACTAGTGTCACTAGTATTGAAACTGAGTTCATACTAGGCTATACGAGTATACCCTGATAAAGTACTGTTCTGTAATTTTACTCCATACACGCTTCCTAAATAATTCTAATCTGGCATTTCCACCTCGTTGACTTTGTTTCCTTACGAACCCATTACATTCTGGACATGGAGCGCATCCTTTGGCTCGATAGCCTCCGCGGCATAGCCTCAGCTTTGGTAGTGATACACCATTCCAAGAGCTCGGAACCCAAGAGTATCGTTGGGTTTTTGACCAGGTCCTACTGGGATGAACCGGCCGAAGAGAATCATCGTCTTATCCAGCTCCCGCCCTTCAGACTTCTCTTCAATGGCCCATCGATGGTGGCTTTGTTCATGGTGATTTCGGGGTATGCGATCTCTCTTCCGCTTCTGCGATGTCGAGAGGACATTGGGGCAAGTAATTCGGGGTTCTTTCGTCGATTATGCTCCGCTGCAACTCGCCGAATCTTTCGAATCTATCTGCCCTCCATCGCCATACTATTTCTCAGTCAATTTGTGTACTTTTGCAATGCGTTCCAGTGGAAAGCTGCAGATGACTGGCTAGGCGGGTTAAAGCCCTTGACAGCACCATGGGCCCATATCCAGTACGTGCTGTCAAGAATAGTGCATCTGCTGGATATCAGCAACCATCAAGTCGACATCAATTTTGATCACAATCGACCGGATATGAGAACCATAAATTACCAACTGTGGACTATGCCAGTTGAGTTCCGTGGCTCGTGTGCTGTCTACTTGTTGATCTTGACATTCTCATTTTGGAGACCGCAGCCTCGATATCTGGCATTGGCAGGTGTGGCGATGTATTGGTTTTACATGGGACATTGGGATCTCTTCGCTTTCGTCGCCGGGATTCTTCTTGCAGAGAGACACGCCGCATCAGAGTCCGAACCAGAAGGAGAAGTTGCATTATCATACTCGTGTTCACCTTTCGAGAGCCCAAAGCCCATTATCAAAGCCTGGAACAAATTCAGAGAGAACATCCATCTCCAACAGCTCCCAACATTAGTCTCTTTCATGCTAGGGATGTATTTCCTTTGCATGTGTGGCGCTGACCGGTTGGCACGGGAGTACCAATGGCTGGCCGTGGCTCGATCTCCCGAGTGGGATAATGCTGAGATGATGCCCCGGTGCTGGAGGAGCGTTGGAGCTGTTCTCACAATATATGCAATCAGCAAATCTGCGCTGCTTCAAAGACCGCTTAACTCACGGCCATTGCAATACTTGGGCAAAATCTCGTTCCCGCTTTACCTGGTCCACCCGACAGTCTATCTCCTTCTCAAATGGCCAGTTCGAGACTTCCTGTGGTGGGCAGTTGCAAAAACGTCTTATCCTGGCACTGTCGAGGCGAGCAAGCACGCTCTACCATTTTATATAGCATGGATTGGAACCATGCTCGTGTTGGGTGTTGTTATGGTGGTTGCATCTGAACTTTGGAATCGTTTCGTTGACTTGAAGTGCCTGGGACTTGCAAGGAGATTTGAGAAATGGGTTTCGTTTTAGCGGATACAGTTTCCAGAATGGACCCCCGAAATAATGAAGACTATGTATAGAAAGTACAGATATCGGGGTTCTGTCTACACTTTTATTAGGGCATAATATAGTAGACACAACAACTTTTATGACTTCATCCCTATGTATGACCAAATATTTTAATGACACCAACAAATAGTATATCACAGACGCCGTTATGCAAACCCAAAAAGAATCAGTTCATCCCCAGTATCGTGAAATGGATATACATCATGTATCTTTCGTTTACTCCTTCTGAGCAGCCTCGACCTCAGCGGCATCGGTCTCGTCCTGCTCATAACCTTCGGTCTTCATGTCTGTCAGACCGAGGTCATCTTCCTCCTCAGCCGAGCGGGTATACTCCTCAGTGGTGATCTGGTGGTCGATAGCTGGGCTGCAAAGATCTTGGACATAAGAGGAAGCCATCGGGTCTTGCAACGTGATAACGAATTTGAGCTCGCCGTTGATAGCCTGATCGAGACGACTGAAGAATCGTTGCCACTTCTCCTTATCAGAGGAGACCATGCTGTCACCTCCGGAGTGTGTGGAATCATCGACATCGAAAATGGCGCCCTTCAGCTGATCCCTGATCTCGACTATAAAAAGGGTTAGCTGGGTCAATATAGTTAAATAATAGAGGAACGAACCTAGTAATCCTTCAACTGTGGTGAAACGTCCACCGAGCGTTCCTGGCTGAACGTCCAGGTCAAGTTCGGGACTGTAAAGTCCTGCTGTATCACTCTTGAGAATATCGCGGGAGAGATCAACCTGGTTATTGACCTGGAGAGTGATACGCTTGCCCTTCTCGGGTACCTCGCCACCGGTCTTGATTGCAGAAGACTTGTAGCCGCAGTGTCCACAGTTCGTACCAAACAGTAGAACTTCCTTGAAGTAAGGAATGTTGACTTTCTTAATGTTCACCTCGGCTTCCTTATTACAGCCGGGACACTCGGCAGGAATACTGTAGACCTGGCCATCAACGATATCGAGATCATCTGGGTCGCCGGCATCGGGCTGAGCTGTGTCTTCTTGGCTGACAGCGTTGGCGTCAGCGGAAATTCCCAACTCCTCGTTCTGTTCGTGGGTACGCGGGTATTCATGGCGCTTGTATTTGTTGCCACGATCAGTGCTGTTAGGCGCAATCCAGGAGTTTCCAGTGAGATCATCCACGGAGACGGTGAAGGGGAAAGCGTCCTCGCGTGTCATGATCTTCTCAAGACTGGCGATGATAGGCACAAGGGCATTGTGAAGCTCGGGGGCTTGCTCCTTACGGAGATCTTGCTCTCCTGCCAAATTCTCATGAATGAGTTGAACCACTAGAAATAAGGAAGTTAGCGTCTTGAGATCAATCTATATAGCATGGGTCTTCACGTACTGCCTTCCACATTGGTCAGCTGGCCGGTTCCCTTCGGGACTTCAATCTCGTTGCCGAGCTTGGTCGTAAGTTTGAAACTTGAAACATCACTCCGGATGACTTGGCGCTAAAATATTGAGTTAGCTTTAGCGGTAGAAAATTCACTATAGCTGCAGCTAGGTACCTGAAGATCCTGCTCATTCTCGACCCTCAAAGTGTAAACAGTTCCTCGCTCCTGGATCTGGCCGGCCGATTTAATCGAGTTGTTTTTGAAGTGGCAATGTTCACATTCGAAACTCTCGAGGATGACGTCTCTGAAGTAAGGGACTCGGAGCAAAAGCAAGCGCGTCATTCTGATTGGAGTGAAAGTTAGCGACATGGCAAAACAGTAAGAATTGAATATGAGAAACGAACCCTTGCTCATGGCAGTTCATGCAAAGTGACTCTATTGCCATCGCGCCAGTGTCCTCATCGCGCTCCACAAGATCGCCGGGCTTTTGGAATTGCGACTCAAACTGTGCCTCGAGGGCATCATTGTCGGCTTTGCTGACCATTGTATTGGATTTGCGAGAAGAAAATTAAGGAGAAATGAGGAAGGATGTGCACTCCGATATCCACCAACAATGTATAAAGAGGGAGATGCGGGGGACGCTGTATTGAGGTGAGTCTAAAGCAAGAATTTCTTATCGCAAAAAAATTATCGGAGCCACAGGAACATTCCTTCCTGTTCTGCGCGGGGCAGGTGGGGGGGTGCTGACAAAGAGTGGGATGAGGTAATAAATTTCTGCCATACTATATGTCACCGCCCCTCATGGGCGGTGAGGTGGATCACTGTCGAGATCTACTCTACATAGATAGCTAGGTGCATGATTGCAGATCTCGATGGACAACGTGCGTTGTGCATTATGCATGAATCTAGCTAACCCACTTGTGTTCACGGTCCCCGATCTCCTTTTGTTGGATTTCCCGTTATATCCACTCAAACAACATGATCTGCAAATGTAGTTAGCATCATCTTGAAATAGAGAGTTCGGGTTGGGGGTACTTATAAGAAAAAAATGTGGCCGTTTCCACCACCAAGGTAGTAGAAACGGCAGTCCACCAGTTGTCGGCTGGCCAGAACATTCTGCTCCCATGTAAAGAACCATGTTGACGCAACGTCCAAGTCCCAATGACAACACAACGGTTCCTTAGCGGTACAGAGATCGCCCGATTTCACATTCGTCGCTTTTCAGTTCACTCCAATCAGACCCTAAGGACGAGCCTTAACCGGGAACGCATAGCAGCAGACGAGCATCGTAGACAAGCCAAAGCTTTGATCCTTACTCGAGAGAGGTCCCACAACACCCACTGCGTGGCGCATACACGTTAGCACCGACTAAGGACATCGCCCCCATGCCGACTAGAAATGGGCTGATAAGTCAAAGCGTTCGAACAATAGTAATCGCACGTTTCTCCGACCAGAACAATTGCGGTCATTCGAGAAATAAGAGGGCGAGTATCAAACGCAGGCGCAAACAGGAGTTGAGGAATGTCTGGGAGCAGACGACAACCGATGAACATATCCCTCGAACCCACAAAAGCCCACACAACCTTCACAAAGCCAAGCCCAACTTGGCCGAGACACAGTAATCTCAACCGAATCTGCTAAACGGCCATCCATCTCCGCAATTCCAGTCAACTCGCCATTGTTTCACCGACACCATCGCATGAGCATGAAGCCGAGACTCCTGTGTGTGGTACAGTACCCTTTGGGACAGGTTTTTGTTTCCTCTCCCGATTGACCCGAGGATCTTGCAGGAGGGCATGTTGTGAAGCGCACAAAGAACATCCGGAAAAATCGCTTCCTTCTTCCCAAGGGAAGGAACAATGATGGAAGTCATTGTTGAAGTCGGCGCCCATCGATCTATTCGCAAACTACTTTGCGAAGAGATGGTTAACACGGTCGGTCGGGATCTTCTGACGAAGTCGAGTCGGTGGCGGGTGCCGTGACACGAGGTGCCTAGCCGCCTGTGAGGCGTAGGAATAACAGAACCCAAGAAGTTGGAACGCAGGGGCAAGATCCCCAGGGATCCTGGAATAGGAAACATGCGCAGGAGCAGACAGTTGGTGCTAGCAGAATTGACGAGAGAATACAGGCGAATAAGTTCGAAAACACCAAATCGCTTGGGGGGAAATTTTTTGCCATCCGGAACGAGACAACAGTTCGCAATCTTCTATGTGCTCCTGAGACCAACATTGAAGAATCATAGGCAGCATAACCAAAGAACCTCGCGACAACTTCAACTGTGAAAATGCCTGGGCAATTTTCAGGGAGAGGAATGTTGATTCCGGCGAGTGGATCCTTTGGATATGCGGAGACTATGACTGTGTGTAAGGATACTGCTGTGTTCTAGGCGCGAAATCTCTGAGCCAATCAATTTGATGCCCTAGGGTATTCGAGACTTAAATGTCGCATTCAATCGCCATCTGGTCGCGCTGTCGTGGTTGCTCCTAAAGGTCACATCTGATACCGAAGTACCTGTCATGCTTCACCCGCGTTCTCTTCTCGCTGAACTGATATCCGAGGCATATGGCAACCATCCGTTTGTGACCGGTATGCAGCGTCCAGCATAGGTAAACCGACGCGGTCTCCATTTGGATAACGCATAGTAAACCGTCTTTTGTGCTCGAAAGCTCTGGCCAAGTCGGATATCTTTCACTTATTCGGACCATCACAGTCTGTTTCAGCTAATCGTATTATCCGGCATACGCAATCCGTGAAACTGTGTCCGTGAGGACATTGAACCGAGGAGTAGGCTTAGGGTTTGGCTCCAATATCTTCTGCACCGAAACGATTCGAGTCGCCGAGGGCGAGACATACGTGACGGTTCACCATTGAAGGCAGCAGACGAAAATGGAGATCTGAGAGGGTTGATCTGTACATGTGTGCCTTGGAAGGCAGGAGACTCGAGTGGCTCCACACTCAGGAAACGGTCGCGGTGCAACTCCGGCACGTCTGAACAGAAATTGGGTCCAATGAATGCCGTAAAAACAAGCAAGATTTGGAGTGGTTGAGAAACTGGTCACGGCAGTTTGAGTTGTCTGTAGAAAGGGTGTGTAATGAGCAGTGGATAGAGTAGACGGAGTTGGTGACAACAACAACACCATTTTGGGGTTGGCGCGACTCAATGCGGGCAAGCGCGACGGGCCACGAAACTGACGCGACTATCACGTGACCAGCACGTGATCACATTCCCGGCCAGTTATGACATAATCAGACACAAGCGCCAAGACCGCAATTGCTCGTGATTATTCATTCACTTGGAGGACCTGGACAAAGTTGATAAGGCCAATACCCTCATTGGCATGAATTCGGCATGATAGGATACTAAAGTCATTATGATGGGAGGTCCACAGCAAGTTCGCGAAGCGTTCGGCATTGCTCAGAACTTTCTGACCCCAGTCCTCGACCGAGGTATGCCCGTTTAGATGTCAAGCTACATTCATATCTCTGGCGCTGACTATCTTCAAGAGGAAATACAGAAGACCCAAGGCAAATCTTTGCTGCAGATTCTCAGTCAGAATTCAGGGCATGATGATGTTGCTGGTGATGATGCTTCGAGACCAACGGTGATCAATAGGGCTTTGGACATCTTAACCAGTATCCACAAATCATTTGTATCGCCCGAGGACCAATCTGGATCCCTTCAATTATGTGGGGAGGTTGACTCGCCAGCAGAAGATGCCAAGCGCCGTCGCATGCTACATGCATTGCTGGACCTGATTTCCCTGGAAGGAATATATCCTTCGCTATCATCCGGCGTTGGGATCCCCCTGCAGCAGCGGGTGATCTCGGTATTGCCAGCCGGCGTCATTGCAAAGCAGGCTCAAGCTGTTGCTAGCAGTGTACCGCACGACGAGCTTCTTTTGCGCCGTATAATCGACGTTTTGGTTGACGTTCTCTTCGACCCGAGACCAAGTCTCCAGCCGATCATTCGTGGTCGTATATTGAGTGACATAATCAGTGGCACATCCGATCTAGCTTTCAATCCAAATTCCACGGCATCATCTGAGCGGAACAGATATCAGAAAACATTGGTCAAGATAATCGATGAGTACGTTCTCATTGCATTTGCTATCTTCACGTAATATTAACGGCCTACAGTACCCCAACAACCGTCTTGCTGCCCACATTGTCCGCGTTCCTCCAGTCGGATACTGCGCAATGGTTCAAATCAACAATCTCCAGTCAGATATCGCAAGTTCCGCTACGGCCCGGCGGAGTAGTGCAAACCATCATGTTCATTGCTTCACAGTTTTCCCCAACGTTAGGCCAGGAAGCACAAGAACAATCAAACGGCCCTCATTTAACTGTCCAGGCCATCATGCAGATCTCACGGCTCCTTTCTTCTGTGCCATCTGATGTCGACCCAACTGTCTATTTTGAGACAATTGCTCCCCAACTGCTGGCATTAATAGACGGCGATGATCCAGATCTGAGGAAAACTGCGTCATACGTCGTCGGTAATGGAATTTTGGGGAAACGTGCTTATGGCGCTCCTGGTACTATTGGTCACTCCATCTTTGTGGAGCCGATATTCAATGCGCTTACCGCGAATCTCGATGCTAAATCGAGGCGATGGATCAGTCGCTTCACCGATATCGAAGGCTCCATGCCACAGCCCACGGAAGCAGATCCCGCATCTAATGTCTTGGTGGATGGCGCCACAGTGGACCTGGCTCTTGACAGACTAAGATGTCTGACGCTACAGCATCCGAACCCAGGTCTCGTGAAACGACTCGTGTATCCGATTATTCTTCCACTGTGGGGGTTGATCTGTTTCTCCCAGGAGGAAGAGCGGACCTCATTCCATGAAAGGGTTTTGTCCCTGCTCCAAACCTACTTTGGTATCTCCGTTGGAGTACAACCCCTCAAAAAGCTGGTTGATAATCTTCTTTGGGATGGAGGCGCGACGTGGACATACAATAAAGATTCCGACACTGGAATTGTGCTGCAGAAGCGAAGTGAGAAAACAAACGAGCACTCAAATCTGGTGCGACTGATCGATTCCCTTCAATCACGAGCAGAACTCTTTGTCAGCCTCATTGGCTCCGATCCTAGCAGCGAGGAACGAACCGGTGATATCTTCCTTTATGTCAGTCAAAACTGGCTAGTACAGCCCCGAGGTTCTTCAGTCTCTCACAATACACTGAATGGGGGCCCAGTTGGGGAAGGTGACAACATCATTCAGAAGCTTGTCAGTGCCAAGGTTGCGGAAAAGCTACTTGACAACTTCAAAGAAGCACTGACTCGACGCCCGCTCCGAGTTTTAGAGCTCATCAAGCAGGTCATTGATGGGGAGCTACATAGGCTTAGTGCTCACGGAACGGCGAAGCAAGGCAAAGTACATGGCAAGGTGTCGCTGTCGTCTTTAGCCAATATCGTGGAGACAAAAGACAAAGACAGGGAGGACTTAGAAAACGACTCTTCTGAGTCCGTCTCAACAGCGTTCAGTTTGATGTCTACACTGCTTGCATCTGCCGAGTTCTCTCCCACTGCTGAAATTCAACCCCTCCTTGGATCTCTTAAAAAGGACCTCGATCAACTCATTCCTTATCTCCCTTCCACCCTCTCCAAACCAGCAACGACCTCGTCTATGCTGCTAGAGATTCAGCTTGCCGCTGCAGACGAAACCACAGTCAAGGCAGTCCCCGCTCATATTCAGGACCTTGACACGCATCGTCAAGCACTTTCCAATCTCAACTCAGACCTACCACCCGTGCAGGCCGAAGGCCTATCGCTGATCTCGAAACTCATCATGAACTCGTCCCCGTTCTTGATGTGGGGTCAACTCTCACACTCCTGCTCTCACTCATCACCGACACATCTAAGACCGCCGCCAACGAGGAATACACATACCTCGGTGCAATCAAGATCGTTGGCACACTAGCATCACGCCATCCACGTACCGTGGTCAAAACCTTGGTCGAAGAGTACGCAGATAGACATGAACAACGAGGATTGGACGAAAGACTCAGGATTGGCGAGTCTCTCCTGCGCACAGTCCAGGAATTGGGGGATGCACTAGCCGGTGAGACGGCCAAAATTCTTGGCGAGGGTATGGTTGCCGTCGCAGGACGGCGTGGGAACAAGCAACAAGCACAAAAAGCCCGCAGAAAACAACTTGCCAAGGAGAGGCGGGAAAAGGAACGCGCGCAGCGCAAGGAAAAGAACCGGCCATGCCTGAAGGCTGGTCCATTTCATCTGGAGTAGCTAAGGCTGCTTCCGAACTTGACCTCACAGAACTTCATTCGGACGACGAATCCCCAGAGCAATCGGCGTACGCCACAAACGTCGTCGCTGCATGGGCTGCCGGTGCCTCTGCAGATGATGCCCCTGATGACCTTCGCATCCGGGCATCCGCTATTTCCATTCTTGGATCGGCCATCAACGTCAGCATCCTCGGTCTTGGCCCTGCCATTCTTTCTTCTGCTGTCGAACTCGCGCTTGCTACCCTAACCCTCGAGAGGGAACCGGAGAGTGCCATCCTCCGCCGGGCGAGTATTGTTCTGATCTTGGACATCCTCAAAGCTCTCGAGGCAGCGCGAGAGAGACGCAGAAACAAGGACATCGGGTTTGGCTTTTCGCTTTTAGAGGACTCCGGTCCCGACATGCAGGGACAGTCGACCATTGGTAATATACCTGCTATGCTACGCACGCTCCACTTCGTCGAGGGTAGTGAGGAGGACGGGCTCGCTCGTGGAAATCTACGCGCTTTGATCGAGAGTTTGGAGGCTTGGTCGGAGAAGTCTTTGATGTGGGGCATTGGTGCCCATGATGATCAAGATGCCTTCAATCCACAATTTGGACTGGGCGACAGGATCGCCGGTCTACAGATTGACCCCATGGCAGGGGAGAACACTGGACGTCCGCGCATCGAGGAGATTGAATGAAGCCAAGTTATAGATAAATGTGTCCAATAGATACCATTTCCCATAAACCAATATTGAATGTCTGTCAAATAAGATATAGTATGTCTGGCTGGTTATGCTAGTCATCCGACGTCTTGGCGCAGCGAAGTTCCCCTCAAATGTTCAATTGGGAACCAGCAAATATCACCAACGAATCAGCTCTCAGATTCACCTGGTCCTCCAGCATCATTGGTCTAGTGGTAGAATTCGTCGTTGCCATCGACGAGGCCCGTGTTCGATTCACGGATGATGCACTACCTTTTTGTTTTTGTCTATCCCATAGACTCCACTATTTTTCCTCCTTTGAGTCGTGTTGGGGAGAGACTCTAGCGAGTGAAATAGAAGACAGACTTGAGGCACATGACTGAAAGCATGAAGAAAATAACGGCAAAGTCCAGCTAGCCAGCTACTTACGGGGGTACAAGCAGAGGCGAACTATTCTATCGAGCAACTAACCCAAGTCGAAACAAGGGACACCAGACCTGCTGTATGGATTCATAACTGCATGTAGATACATGTGCAGAGTTAAACAAGAGAAATTGGTAAAACATATCTTCCTGATCACGAATGTCCTCACGTTATCTGATTCAACAGTGGCAAGCCACCAAAAGAAGCGCAAAAGCGCCTTAATCGGGAAAGCCCAGCGCAGGTCAATTACCAGGTATCGCTCTGGGCCGAGGGACCAGAGCTGCCACGGCCACCACGACCACCGTAGCCACCGCGCCCAGGACCACGTCCGCCACGACCACGTCCACGGCCCCCTCGCCCACCGCGACCACCACGGTTGCCCTGGAAGTGCTGACGAGGTCCTTCAGGGCGCGGGCCGGCTTCCATGCGAGCCTGACGTTCTTCCTCACTCAAGTCAAACTTGTTTTCAATGCCGACCAGATTGCAGAAGGCAGAGGTCTGAGGGTTGGTGTACTCCTTTGGTTGGTCCCGTGTGTCAATCGAAACCCAAGGATCATACACGGGTGCGGTCGTGACGAAGTCAGTGGGGATGTTCAACAACCCAGCTTCCACAACGTTCTTGACTACCCATTTCTCTTCTTCAGCAATCCGCTGCTGGTAGTATTCATGTCCCTTATGAGCAGGGACACTTCCTTTCGGGTCTCCGCCAAACTCGAGCTCATCAGCAAATGCACGAGTGATTGCCAGCCACTCCTGGTCGTACTTCAGTCGAAGGGGTGACTCCACCGCGGCAGCATCCTGCTTGGAGATTGGCTCAATCTCCAGCAGCTCAACAAAGTCATCATGGTTGTGAGGTTTGTCCAAGGTCAGGAACTGGGTGATTTCGTTCTTGATATCATCGGGGGGTGGAAGGCGCTCGAAATCCATACGATTTGGGGTAGCCTTGGGTTGAGAAGACTGTGCAAGGCTGCTCGGGAGTTCGGCCTCCACTTCCCCAACTCGATCATCGGCACCATCGGTCCACCAGGGATCAGTAGAGCGATCATGAGCCCAATTAAGAGAGATGTCGGCCTTCGGAAGAGCCTTCTCAGCCGGAGGAGACTTGACGCTTGCCGCGCTGCTAGGGCTGGTAGAAATACTGATCTTGTCAATATTGTCGGCAGCATCATTTTTGGCCTTCACATTCTTAGTCGTCTTGACCTCTTTTGCCGTCTCAATCAATGACGAATATCCCTCCTCGGTGGCCACCTCCTCGGAAGACGCATTTAAAATGCTGTTTTCCTGACTGACTTTGTCGGTGCTTCCGACCTTCTCACCATCGACTGCCGCGGATTCAATTCTTTCTCCATCGGCGCCACGTACGAACTTCTGAACAGGACCGCCGCCAATCTTGGCAGTTTCTTCGAACGTAATGTTCCGCGGAGGTTGCGGGATTCTCGCTCTGATCATACGCATGAATTCATCCTGGTCGCGTTTCTCTTTCTCAGCCCGCCGGGCGTGGACTCCGAAGTCATTCCATGCCTTGATACGACCCTGTTCATTTCCAGTGGCAGTACCAAGTAATTGGTGGCCAGCAAGGGCGCTGGTGTCGATGTTGCTTCGGGGAAGTGGAGCGGCATGATTTGTGTTGACAGCGACACGAGGACCGTTGGGACTCGATTCCTTGGACTTCGCAGGTGGGATATGGGGCACCTTTGCAGTGAATCGGACATGAAGATGGGCCGAAAGCCAATAGGCAGGGCGCAGATGATTGAGGGCTTCACGTGCAGCGACACTTCCGAGCTTTCCTGAATCGGAATCGGCTTTGAAGCCTGACTTTTTGCGAAACAGGGTTCCGTAATCTCCAAGTTTTTCAACCCCCTTCGGCCAATCATGGGACAGGCCGATGTCGATCTGGGTGCGCACTTGCAGCAACTTGCGGACATCCAGTTCCCGGATATGGTAGATGGAAGAAACATCATCTCTGTTGTAGGGCAAGCGTTCGTAGTGGGGCTTCCGGTAGTCGTAGCCCTTCCAGATGCCCGACATGCCCGAGATTCGGAGAGGTCCAAAGCGAACGATGTTCGCGGCACCCATGAAGTAGATGTTGGGGGCCACCCAGCCGCCATAGTAGAGCTCAGACAGATGATTACTCGCCTCATGATTGCCCCCAATGAACAGTGTCAAATAGGGAGCAGCACGATTGCCACTGTAGTACTCGTGAAAATCGCCGATTTGCTTGAACTTGTCGGGACAGAGAGACAAGTCGCATCATTGGCATTACGCAGAGCCTGGTTTGGTCAGAGTCAGCATTGAGCTTGTGTGTGATGGGACATGACAATGAGCCCACCTGGAAATCTCCACCGATGATAACAAGATCAACAGAGTCCCAGCCTTTCTCGGCGGCTTTGCGATCCACAGTCTCATAGATGTCATTCAGACTGCCATGGCCCTATATAAGATGATTAGCAACCAGCTGTAGAGTGGGTATGTCAAATGAAGTGTATCCATTCATGCAATGTTACTTACGCAGCCCTCCACGGCAATGCGTACTGGCGCCATTGTGGACGAATCCGACTGAGCTGTTGGATTTTGATAGCAAGGAAAAGACAAAAGACAAGACTCTGAATGAGACTGTCAGGAAAGAAATATGAAAGAAAACCTCTGCTACAAAGCCGAGCAGGAAATGAAAAAGGTAGGAAACAAGAGAAGAGTAGGAGGTGGAAAGTAGCAGAGAGATGTAGATGGGAAGAAGCCGCGGGTGGAGCTGGGCTTTAAGCTCCCGCGCGGCAAATCTCTGAATAGCAAACGAGCGATTGTCTTTTCTTTGTCTTTTTCTTTGTCCTCTTTGTTCTTTGTTTGTCCCCCATTTTCTTTGTTGTTGAATTGTTGAATTGGTTGTTTTGATTTCTATTGAGAAATCTATTTCTCCCAATTAGACAATATCGCGCAATGTCTCACATTGATTCCTTTCTCACTCAGGCTGCCTCGGCTGTCCCGTTCGGTTCATCGACATCGGCTCATCTGTTAGCAGTGCACACTCGGCTTCTCCACGAGGAGTCTAAGTCATTGAATGTCCCTCAGAAGAGAGATCACTGTGGAGCGTGTGGTAGTATTAGAAAGCCCCAGTGGAGTAAAGTTACTGAGGTCAAGCCGACAAAAAAGCAAATCCTTAACCTCTGGATCGGCATCTACGGGTGCCACAGTGTACAAGTGTTTACGCTGCTGCCAGCGGACAGTACTACCTCGAAGGAATTCAAAGAAACCTATCTCGAAACCTTCGTCTAGAGCAGCTACGGTTACGTCTACTCGAGGGTCAACTACAGTAGGGGTTGAAGTGGAAGGTGCGAGCCAGCCCTCAACAGATCCCAAGGCAGGTGACAATCAGAGCAGCAAAAAGAGAGCTAAGGCAAGGAAGCAAGGTGGTCTTCAAGCTCTTCTAGCCGCTAAACAACGTGCCCAACCCTCACTTGATCTGCTCGACTTTTTGCAGTAGAGGTCGCGCACGTGAGTTTGTTGCTAAATCGGGACTAGCGCGGGGCAGCTAGCTTGTCTGCGACTCCAGGTGACGGTGACCCCAACACCATATCTCCAGCGCGTGTGTCCGCAGAGTCGACTGCGATTTCACTTTCCTTTTACGAAACAGCCTCTCCCGTGATTCTATCATCGACACGATGTCGTCTTACTCAGACGACGACGAACATGACCCCCAGGTGGATGAGCTCCGCGAGACCGCCTTGGTCACGCTCGAGGCGTTGATCAGCTCCTGCAACAAACAGATGCAACCGTACCTAACGAACACCACTCGATCAGCTCTCCGATTTTTGAAATATGATCCAAACGTCGCCGAAGTGGAGGACGATGAGGAGATGGGAGGCACACAAGACGATGGGAGTGAGGATGATGCCACGGAGGAGCCTGACCTGGAAGACGACGAATTCGGGGACTTTGAAGAAGAAGGTGGCTACAGTGATATCGACGACATGAGCTGGAAGGTACGCCGATGTGCTGCCAAGCTTCTCTACACCGTCATCTCTACCTACGGACTTGGTCGCGCTTCGGACGCCTCAGCCCTGTTTCAGCAGATTGCCCCAGCTCTGATCTCCCAAATTAGCAGGGAAAGAGAAGAGAGTGTGAAACTTGAGGTGGTGTCCACATTGACGGCGCTTGTTCGTAAAACCGGCGAGGGCTCCATGATCGTCACATCCAATGACTTCTTGGAGGCCGTGGGTGGCTCGAAGAATTCTCGCAAGCGCAGACGCCAAGATAGTGATGCGTCAATGATTGACTTCGAGCCGAGTGCTGGAACCTCGTCAGCAATGGATTCTCCTGCTGTGCCATCGTCTCCCAAGTCTGGTTCCCAGGCTGATCTGGCTCGCTCCGTGCCTTTAATCGTACAGAACCTTGTGAAAGTTTGGAAGCAGGCTTCGATCCCTCTCAAACAAGCCGCAATTATTCTCCTCAAAAGCCTTTCGTTGGTTCGTTATGGTGGTCTCGCAGACCATCTCCAACAAATTGAAGACCTCATTGCGGATGCTCTGAAGACCTCATCTCTCTCAGGGAGCACAGCGGCCCATACCGGGGCCGCTGTCAGCGCAGGCACCCTCCAAATTGAAACCCTGGGTCTCATTGCAGTGATCGCCGAGACCCATTTGTCTGACGCGCTATTGCCATTCCTGATTGCCCTGGTGCCTGGAGTGGTCGCGGCCGTCAACGACCGCAACTACAAAGTCAGCAGTGAGGCTTTAGGTGCCGTGGAGCAAATTGTGAAAGCAATTACACCGCCACGCGTATCTGCTAATCCTTCCGATGTCGCTCTGCAGCTGCAGAAGCTCTATGATGTTGTCCACTCTCGAATCACTGACACAAGTGCCGATCTCGAAGTCCGCCAACGGGCAATTCATGTGTTTGGTGTGATTCTCGCACGCACGTCAGGAGAGCTGGGCTTAGAGTTCCTTTCATCCGAGAGGAGATCTAATGGTCTGGCTGTTTTGGTCGACCGGGTGAAGAACGAGACAACTCGTTTGTCCGCGGTTCGTGCGATTGATGATGTCGTCGTTCTCGCCAGTCGCAAGCAGGATGTTTCTAGTGATTGGGTCAACAATGTCGCCCTTGAGCTAGGGTCGAACTTGCGCAAGTCCGATCGTGCCTTGAGAGGCGCGTGTCTGGAAACTCTCCGCAGTCTTTCCATGAATTCCAACATAAGATCTCACCTCAACCCTGAGACGATCACAGCACTTGAGAATGCTGCTTTGCCTCTTCTCGCAGCAGCTGACTTCCACACCCTTACGCCTACGCTGATCATTATTGCCAAACTTGTCCCTGGCAACGGAAAACTAATGGTGAACAGCGGTTTGATCTCTTCTATCTGCTCAATCGTGACCAAACCACTAGTCGGAACTGTTCTCAAAGCATTGCTGCTGCTGGTCAAAGTTATTGGCGACGAAGGTGCAGGTGCTAGTTTGATGCAGAATCTTCTCCGTGACGTGGGAATTACAGGGGACTCATCAGTGGTCGGAAGAGCCGTTGGCACCCTCCTGGTCCACGGTGGACCGAATCTCGGAGTCACAATGGAAGATTTCTCAACTGAACTCAAGACTGCACGGGATGATAGTCGAAAGTGCCTTGCCCTTGCTATCCTAGGCGAAATCGGCCTGCGAATGGGACCCGAGTGCTCGCTGACCCCGAGTCTATTCATTCCCCATTTCGAATCCCAGTCAGATCATGTACGCTTGGCTGCCGCCACTGCTCTCGGAAACGCAGCCGCAGGTAGCGTCAAAGCCTATCTCCCAATCATCTTGAATGGTTTGGAAAAATCAAATCCTCAAAGCTATCTGCTTCTCCATTCGGTACGAGAATTACTTCAGCACCCGGAGGTCGTACGTCCGGATCTTGCACCATCTGCTCACAAATTGTGGCACGCACTCCTTGTCGTCTCTGAAGAGGAAGACAACCGGGCTGTCGGGGCAGAATGTGTCGGCCGCTTGGCACTCCTTGACCCCGTTGCTTACATTCCCCACTTCCAAGTAAGTCGTGATCATTCTTCTACGTTTTCAATACTAACCTCATGTCTATAGGAGTACCTGGCCAATGCCGACCCAGCTGTTCGTGGCGTGGTGATTTCGGCATTCCGCTACACGCTTGCTGATTCGACTGATGCTTACAACGATGTGCTGCGACCGTTGATGGTGCCCCTTTTAACCAACATGCTCAGCGACAGTGATCTGGGCAACCACCGGCTTGCATTGACCACCCTTAACTCCGCAATCCATAATAAGATGGATCTTCTGCTCCCTCACCTGGACGAGCTGCTGCCGGCTGTTCTTGGTGACACCAAAATCAAGCCAGAGCTCATTCGTGAGGTGCAAATGGGTCCATTCAAACACAAAGTGGATGATGGACTCGATTTACGGAAGGTCAGTATCTCCTATTGTCTGCTACAGATCCCCACTGACATCATTGCTTACAGAGTGCCTACGAAACCCTTTATGCCTCGCTCGACACTTCGTTCTCCCGCACTCATATGGCCGAACTCTTTGACCGTATCGTCGCCGGTATTGATGACGAACAGGACATCCGTGCCATCAGCAACCTCATGACGTCCAAACTGATTAAGATCGCACCGGAGGATACTGAGCGGCGGCTCAACGCTTTGTCAGAGCATTACACCTCTGTCCTTTCCTTCAAGCCAAAGGAGAATGCCGTCAAGCAAGAATTGGAGAAAGCCCATGAGGCGTCCCTTGGCATTCTGAAGATTACTAGAGAACTGAGCAAAGCGTTCCCCGGTGCGGAGGCATCAGGCGATCTCCACAAGTGGAAGACGTACATGGAGTGGGTTCGGCGGACCTTTTCACCGCAGTTGGCGAATTTGGAACTGGAATCCTGAGCTTGATACGTGGAGCTCGAATCAGTTTCAATGATTCTATGCCGATGAAAATTGCAGTTGCAGGCCATTTATCGCAATTATGCTAGCTTATGACATAGCTCAATGAAATACATGATAATATCGCTATGCTTTCAATATTCCTGGCTATGTAAATATCTCCAGGGAGCACGTCTTGACTCCTAGGGCAGGTCACTTGGGAGCATGATGGTAATGTGGTTAAGCTGCCTCAATTCCTCTAACCGGAGATTTATTCCAGTCAGTTCAGCGCCTTGCTCTAGCGTACATACACCCAATCGACAACTCAATTACTTGCTAAGACCAACATTTCTTTCACTCCTCGCTCTTAACCGGGGTCATCTCCGGCGTAATCTCTCCGGGAAAAGGCTTGCGCGCCCACACACGTCGTCTAAACAAGCATCAACATATCAACACCCCCAACCACGCCGTAGGGTTTAAAACAAACTCACGCTCTCTGATAAATATGATATTTCGGATTCTTAATCTCCGAACGAACCTTAGCCAAATAAACGGTAACCTCATCCTTCGACCAGGGATGCGGCAAACCGAACTGCGTAAGTAACCTCATGCACCATCCCTCCATACCCGAAAGCCAATGCTGGAAATTAACAACGCCGGCCTCTTTATATTTCTGATCACGAGCCCACGGCCCAATCGGCCAGTTGTATGCCTTCTCCTGGAGATCCACAAACCCAGCCTTTCGCATCATGTCATGCATGGTATCGATAGTATCAGGCAGAGTCCGGCGCGCGCACCGCACGCGTTCATGGTCGGACCCCAGGTTCGCAGGATGCTATCTGCTGGCAGACTGTCGTCGTCGCATTCGATGGTTGTACTGCCTTCGAGTTGTTCGATCCAGCCTCCTGGTCGGAGGTTTCTACGAGAGAGGCAATGTTAGTGCACAACGTTGGAGACAAGGGCTGGGATAAGTGGGTTATTTACTTAAAAGAGGTTGCGTAGACGTGATCCCATCCCGCAGAATCGAATGAACCAGTCATAATCCGCATGTGGATTAGGTCGAGGGGGCCTCTCCAGGTCCATTCTTCTAGGACGTTGTCGACTTCGAGGATGCAGTTGGGTGGCATCCATGTAATGGGAGGTGGGAAGAGGTCGACTCCTCGGACAGTCGCTGGATGGTGTTAGTTAACCATATCGTAGATCTCTGGGGATCGGCACTCACCAGATGGGAACATATCGGCAACATCGCTGTACAAGTGTTATACCGGTATAAGTTTTGTTTGTCCAGGGAAGAGGAGAGGTTCTCTTCTGACGTACACAGCCCAGTTACCCTTACCCGTCCCAATGTCGAGGATATGTTTAGGGTTCTTCCCGACAGGCGCTCTAAATAGCGGGTTCTCTCGCTCTGAATCTAAAACTAGAGCGAGCAAATGCCTGAGAGTGTTAAGAGTGATAATAAAGTGAAAGATTGGTCGTACGTACCCAGCTTCGTAGGACTCAAATGCCAGGTCATCGGACGGTACGCTGGTGACCATCGAGGATCAGTATGCATTTCTTTAGTGGTAGATAGTATGACATGCATACAGATATTGTTTGTCGCTCAGAGTTTGATACCTGCAGATAGTAGGTAAGCAATGGGCCGAGCCCTGGCGCTTCCGAGTGCGCCAAATATACGATGAAACCATACCGTCTGCCATTTTCCATCATTCCACGATAGATTGAAGAACCGATAGACGTAGTTTCTCTAATATCGTGTCAGAGATCGATGACGTGAGATAATGGGAGAAATGTGAGCATTTACGACTGCCAATCATTGCCATAGCCGGCTGACACATAGACATCCGCATCCTATAACTTGTTAGAATGGGGAGGAGACCGACTGATGGGTAAACATACTACAGCAATATGTTTTGATTTCGACATGGTTCGATATTTGGCCCCTCGAAATAAATAGGGAAGAGGGTAAAGGGGAGGCAAGGGGCTGTTGAAATGCCCATTGGTACTAATGTGCAACGGTTTTCGGCCGTTTGTCCCGCAATCCTGTCGCGGTTTCAATAGTTGGGATTGGGTGGTGGGAGAGAAGTGCGGCATCATGCTCCACCAGTGAAGCCTGAATGGGTTTGGTGCAGTGTTAGCCACGTTGTCCGGAGGTTCCCGTCGACGATCATTGGATTAACATTGACAGGGGTGTGGACCAAGGCTGCATGTGTGCCGAGATTCCTCGCCTTGTTCTATCTTATTCCGTGTGTCGAGGGAGAGTATTTTGTACACAGTACGAAATTCAACGCGAATAGAAATGAGTACTCTGATGATAGTGTAACTATTCTATATGGTCGACGGGCAGTGCGCATCTCGTCTCATATATTTCCCAAGTTAACAGAGTAGAGCGACCGCAGGTTTTCTGTTTCAAGAGAGAGTTTAAGAATTACAAAGGGAAGCGTTCATCATGCGAGTTTGGCGATTAGACCTCGAGGGATGTGCAATGCATGTGTACTCCGTATGTTGTACTCCGTGCTCCGCGGACTTTATTTATCAGGCCATATACTAGCCCAAATAGGTTAGTTTACTAGTCAGGTATCGCACTATATTCCATATCAAATAGCACTTTTCAAGGCTAAAATATATTGATTGTAGAATGGTAGGGATCTCTAAAGTTGGAACTACAGTAGAATCAGAGAGGAACAATATATAAATTAGGGGTTCCCATGTCAAACATTGGATTCGACGGTGGCCTGCATTTCCAGCCCAGTCTAGAATAGCCTCTAAGCTAATTGATACTCGGCTACCGACATGTTATACATGTTACATGATATTATAGGACCTGGCTTGTCCTTATGTATTCAATGTTTGGGGTTGGGTTCTTCTACCGAAGAATAATTAGGAAGATATTACGTTGTGGTGTATATTTCCATACACAACATTGAAAATTATTTTGCTATTACGAGACTAAGATACCTAAATGATGTCAGAACAGAATAGAACGGAATCTAGCCCCTCTGGGCCAAAAATAGTACTTAAGACCCTTTCGTGGTTGCCTGGTATTTTTCAAATGGCGCTTGTATTAGAAAATGGACGCTAAGAGAATTTAGCTCCAGATCTCGTTTCTGCAGTGGCTTTTTTGCTTTCCTGACAGGGGTTCACTTGGATTTCGACAAAAGAAGACATGGGGGCATTTATAACCCGGTTTGGGTCTAAAGCTATCTCTCCATCCTTTTGGTTCGATCATTGTTGGCCAAACTCGCGCAAGTTTTGGTTCTCTCTGTTGTTCATCGCTGTGATCTGCGCTAAGATTCTTCACATCTACTCCCATCTAAACTCATTACCTCTCGGACAATTGGTCATCTGGGGCCCGACATTCTTTTTACAAGATGTAGTGTGTATCTTACTCACTCACGGCCTGTGTGCTGATCACCAGCGCCGCTGGGCACGTGTCATAGCGGCCTCGTTGGTCGTTCCAGCGAGGTATGAGCATGGATTTGGAACCACGTGAGAGACATCACTAAGTGAAATGCTTGTGTAGTTTGACAATCTCCGGTCTGGCAGCCGCCAATATCTCTTTCTACGTCGCAACCGGAGCCGAGATCCACTGGAAACAAGCGCACAACTTCCACGGCGACACGGCTGCTGTCAAAACGCTGCTCACCGGCTTAACGGGTTTAATCATCGTCGAGATCGTCTTTCTTGCTGCGTCCTGGTTTTCAACCCCGCATATATATAGCTGGACCAAAGGAATTGTGTCAATCTTTGGGGGTATTCTGCCGTCCGCCTGTCGCAGGAAACGAACTTCTCCGATCTTGAAGAGCTATGAGCGAGTCGCACCCGAGGACTGGGATGAGGATCGAACTGGGTTGGAATTGGGCTCACAGAGAATGGAAGCGGCTCAAACAAATGTAGCAAAGGAATCTTGGCGGTCTTGTTGGCTGCGAGCCTTTGTTTTCACATTCACTGGCCTTGTGGTTATTTTGTGTTGCATTCGCCCTTCAAATGCTGCCTATAGCTTTTTATCTGAGACTGTCATCGTCACGCCGTTCGCCAAGGACCAGTCTCGCACTTCATCACCATTTGATCTACTTGGATTGACAGGTGATTACAGTTGGCTGGGCAATCATACAGCCCTCGTGGCGCCGCCCAAATTTGACTGGCTGCCACGCGATAAACTGGCTGGGTTCAGTGACTGGTATGAAAATGCCAATCACACTGCGCGCGTGCATTACAATCCAGCACATGATCCACTTCATATCTCCAATCTTGAAAATGAAGTCCTCGAGTCTCTCCGCGAGCCGCTTCAGAGCGGCAGTGTCAATATCAAGCACGTGTTACTTCTCAAGCTAGAAAGCACTCGTGCTGATGTTTTCCCACTTCGGAAGGAATCCTATTTTGGGGACGTAATTCGCGAAACGTTCAAGAATGGCCACCTCCCTGCTGAGGTTGAAGAAAGACTGGCCGATCTAACACCCACCGCAGAGAGACTTACAGCCACTTCTTCTGGGTTCAATGGGAACGCTAATGTAGCTAACCCCTATGGGGGATTCCATGCTACCAACGCTTACACGGGCGGTACCTTTACCCTGAAGAGTATCGTGGCGACTGTGTGCGGTATCGCTCCCTTGGTCGTAGACTTCAATCGCGAATACCTGCACCACATCTACCAACCGTGCATGCCGCATATTCTGGAGGCACTCAACTCTCAGGCCAGGACCAAGACGGAGGACTATACCTCTTGGCCATGGCGATCCACATGGATGCAGTCCATCACTGATGAATACGACAACCAAAACCTTCTCACGCCTGCTTTGGGCTTTAAACACCAAGTAACCGACATCAACATTGCCGAGGATCGTGCGAAGCAGGGTGGCCCTCTACCACAGAAGTTCAATTTCTGGGGTTACCCGGAAACAGAGCTTGCGGACTATTACCGCAATGCAATCAACACAGCAGAGAAGCGGAAGGAGCGACTGTTCATTTCGCACCTGACTGGCATTACCCATCAACCTTGGGATACCCCAAATCACAAGTACGAGGAAATGATCAGTCACGGCTGGGTAGGAAGGACCAATAAAGTAAATCACTACCTGAATACACTTGCGGTCGCAGACAAATGGCTCGCCGAGTTGTTGGACATCCTAGAGGAAACGGGTGTTGCGAACGAGACCCTGGTCGTGATGGTGGGCGATCAGTAAGTGCCAGACCCCAACATTCTCCTTCTCCTATCAATACAATCTAACACAGACAGTGGCGTTTCACTCCCTGAGAACAGCGGCGTCACCCCATATCTGAACCCCCACAGCTCCAGCTTCCACGTCCCTCTAGTCTTTGCCCATCCCCAACTGCCACCCATCGAGATAAACTCTCGAGTCGCCTCCATACAAATCCTCCCGACAATCCTTGATATTCTCTCAGAATCCGGATCCCTCGACAAACAATCCGAATCAGCGATCAAAGATCTTCTCCCTATGTACGAAGGCCAATCAATGATCCGACCCACATTCGCAGAAAAAGATGGAAAGCAAGACTGGCAGTTCTCAGTCATGAACACCGGAGGAACATGGCTTGCACTGCGATCCGCCGCAAAGCCTTACCGTCTCATCATCCCCGTCATCCCTGACCTCGAGTGGCGGTTCTCGAATGTAGAGACCGACCCCCAAGAACTTGAAGCACTGCAGGACTTCGATCTTGAGAATTTGATGAATATGGTCTTGGCTGAATACGGAGAAGATGCTGTGCAGTGGGTGAAGGACGCGGCTCACGTGGCGAAGTGGTGGGTTAAGGAAAATTGGCGGCGCTATGAATATGTGCCTTGATCGTTTCAGCCTTGACTCTGTGATTCTATATAATAAGGGATTGTGTCTGGGCTGTGAGCGTGCGCTCACTTGAAATGTCTACTGAGAAAGAGGTCATTGCTTGTCTAGGCGCCTCGGACACGGTACTCAGAGTGACCCGCTTGGCCCAATATAATGACCCGGTATCAGGGAAGGCGAGAAGAGCAAACCTGCTCTTAGGTGGTTTTATGCCATTTGAGCCCAGGACAGCGACATTACATTCCCTTAGAGGTTCCTCTTGATGATCATTCTCCAATATTGTTGCTAATAAGTACATATTTACCGAGCCCGATATCGTCCTACCTCGTTCACAGATAGTTTGCATTTACAAGCGAGCATGTACCATAATTTTACATCAAATTCCAATTCGCGACCATTTATTAGCACAAACATCCTTCAATGTCCTTTTAATACATAGTGGAGATAGTATACATAGTGGAGCGCTTCTCACCGTAGACAAACTACGAACAGCATAGTTAACATGGATCGAACAGGTCATCTTCTAAGACCGCCCCTCCAAGAAGTCCTTAGTAATATGTCCACCGAAATTGAGGAACGGATGGGCCGTCAGCTCACGAGCAGTTTTCCTCTCTGATGGAACCCACGTAAGCATATCCCTAGCAAATGACAAGAAAAGTTCCCTTTCCGAGTCATCAAGAGAAGGGATCGTATCCTCCAGTTTTCGACTTGGTATGAGTTCCTCGTGAAGGAATTTCCCTACCGCCAACAATCAGCCAAAATACCACACATGACGGAATTTAGAATCAAACTCACCTTCTTTATCGAAGAACGGACCACCAAAGACCTCCCGAGCATTTTTGCACGGCTTTCCCGCCCCAATGCTGATTGGAGAAGGATAGTCCAACTGTGACATATACTCTGCTCGCCCAATTACCTCCTTAGGTGGTGGACCAAGCAGAGCGATCATTTCTGCCAGATGGGATTTCGGATCATATCGACCGTTAGCATCTTGCACCTGAGTAAAGAGCTCTGTGCCTTCGATAATGTTCCAAACCTTGAAAAACAAAAGGTTAGTCTTGGCAGCATGGATAGGCACATGATATTCGGCTTACAAGGACACCAAAGTTCCATATATCTGCGCTGAAATCCCACCCATATCCAAGGACAACTTCTGGCGCTCGGTAGTAGTCTGGCTGTATAGGATACGTAACGACGGGTTGATGTTGTGACTTCGTTTCTGGGTCGACTTCGTCGAACTTCCATGCCGAGCCGAAATCGGTTATCTTTAGGGAGGACGTTTGCGATATCCTCAACGTCCATTGGCCCGAAACCGTTGTAGCTTTGGTAGGTGGTGCGGTTTGTTACTGGATCGGTCTTGTAATGCATGGGGAACTTGGTGACTTGTTCTTGTATGAACCTTGGGATAGCTTTCTCGTTCTCGAAGGTCATTAGGATATTTGCGAGCTTCAGATCTATAGCAACTTTTCTGGTTAGCAAATCCTTTTCTTTTTACAGCCTTACTACAAGTCAATGACTATTACTTGCCAGTATGAACGAGTCTGCACTCAGCGTGCAAATACTGCAACCCGAGAAGAAGCAATCCGATATACGCCTTCGCAACGGGAAGAGGCATTCTTCCGTTCTCGAATCGTTGATGAAACACTGTCATTGGCTCCCGCATTGCCTCATATACAAGGCCAATGTTCGTTCTATCTGGGCTTTCGAGCCCAAAGCTTTCCATAAACGTTCGTACAGACCCATAACCCTGATGTGAAGGATTCTTTTGTGCAACGGTCTCCTCGATACTGAGAAGATCATTCCCAGATTTACCATAACAGCTATTCAAAATCTTCACAGCAACTGTTCGCTCGGGCTGACATTGATACCTAGTGACTCAGCAGCTACAATTAGAATCGAACAAAATTGACGCAGAAACAAAACATACCTTGTGAGATCTCGCGCTAGCCATACGGTCGAACTCGTTCCCCAGCCGATCTTCGCTAGCAACTGGTAGCTATCGCCGAGTGTCTCGCCCGGTCTTGCGGGGTAGAAGTCTTGGAGGCCGTTGTTCAGGTATCTCTCCTCATCGACGACCTCGTGGCTGGGTATGGCGAAGGTAGGATCTGTAGGAGGGAGGTGGAGCGGTTTCGTGCAGAGGGAAGAAAATGTGCGTTTTGCCACGCGACTTGTAAGTCGTAAGTTAATCATGGGAGCATGTGGATTCCGTTCGATGTCGAACGTTGACTTTGAAGAGTTAACTGTGTGAAGCTTGGATGGGGATAGCTTCATCGTCCTACCTGTCCTTTTAAAGAGTATGACCACAATAGTGTCTGTTGGTGACTTTTGCGTGTCTTCTTCTGTCTCTTCTTTTGTATCTTCTTTTGTATCTTCTTTTGTATCTTCTTTTGTATCTTCTTTTGTATCTTCTTTTGTATCTTCTTTGGTGTCTTTACCAAGGTAGCTTCGATGTGGATATATTTGCCTTTTCGGGACGGTCCGATGCCCCACTCTGTGGATCGGAAGGAGCTTCCAATGGACGGGATACCTTTCCCAACTTGTTTATGAGTGAAGATCTAGACTTCTTTCTTGGAACGTGGGACGAAAAGGGGGGGTAGGTTTGAATCTGGAAATAGGAGGGTGCAGGTGCATTATCTGCATTACTAAGCTTTGTTTTGGTCGACCACAAAAACCAACTGTCTAATCTATCCCTAGTTTGTCTTCAACAGCCAGAATATGCTCTTCGCTCTCAGCGTCTTGAGATCATATTTGCCCTCTATTTGGAACAAACTATGGTCACATTCTGTCGATTCTGATGTACACAGAGGTGGTTCCATCATTCCAGTTGTCATCGTGTTCGCAGCGCCGACATCGGGGGTTGAATGGGGATGATCAGAGAAACCAATTCCATAATTGAGGTACGACGTAGTTGTTGCAGAACCTTTGAAGGAAACATAGGATTTCATGTTATTATTGCCTCGAAGAGATCACCAATTTTCCCATTTCCAATGACACAAAAGGGTACTCAGGCCCCGCCCACCTAGTATATAACCCGAGCACTGACAAGCTACAACATACAGCGTGTTTTTGCAGTGAATATTGTATTAAACCCCACGATTCTTCATAGCGCAAACATCATGTGTTTTAACCCCGCTGACACACAATGCACCTTTTTTTGTGCAGACCATCACCCCCAACCACCTTAAACCATCTCGGTACGAGCTCTTCCGAGCATCCCTCTCGAGCTGATCGAGCTGAGTTTGTCACAAATCAAACGCACTTTCTATCCAAAAATGGTTTGCTGCAGTTCATCTGAAAGTAGGATGAACCTTGTTCTCCACAAAAGGCGAAAAAAGAATTGAATTGGAATAGACGAACTATAAGGAAGAATCATATCGTACTTGTGAGCCACCTCAGCTATGACATAAATAGCTGTACATCCACCTACTTGACAAAGAAAGATCTGTCGTCTTCCCCGCAATTCAAACTCTTACAGTACCCACTTGAAGACGGAAACCCCTCTCGCAGATCCATCTCTGACACATCTGCACCAGTTGCCTTGTATGTATATGGCTGCACTTTGTACGTAAACCCATGGTTTGGCATCTCCACAGGGACATAGGCTTCGCCTAGGTGATGGTACCTACAACAACTCTCGTATGTTGTAGGTCCTCACGTGCTTTCAACGACCTCATACTATTCGCCGCGATTGTTATGCTCCAGGGCCGTTGCATTGCTGAAATACCAAACTGGTAATCCTGAATCAGAAAATTGACGTCTGTCTTCCACAAGTACTGAGTATGCAAACCAATATCATGCTCATGACGTAGTTAATCCCTAGCATGAAGTTGGAGTCAATGCCGATCTGCATCTGGCGTACCCCACTGGGTTCGTCCCGTCCCATTACGGAGGGCGAAGTGATCGACTGAGCTGATCGACACTCATCACGAACTATAATACTCTGCAGAGCCCGTGGGGCTGGCTACTGTAGACCAATAAAGTCTCTCGTACTTGAATCTGATGGTGTCTGTGTCCTGCAGATTACGAGAAAGAAAGAAAGAGGTGATCAACAGTATGAATGAATATGATGCTGGTGATGATCTATATCTGCTGCCATGGGCCCTATCTAAATAGCTTCGTAGGACAAAGGAAATGAAGGCATAACGCCTAGGAAGATCTAGCAAGAAGTAAAGGTCTGCCATAAACTGCATGAATCCACAGATGGTATGAATGCGTCCGAATCTTCAGGACCCTGCTTACTCAAGTGAGGGCAACTGATGTGCTCCACGAGTATGCAGCAGATCGTCTTCTCCTTCAAACTTAGATACTGACCTAGAGGAAGGAGATGCAGTACCGGGGCTTGAGTCATCTTCAAAAGAGGGATGGCACAGGGAGAGAAAGATATAAAGAGCCCATGAAGACCAGTCCATTGCTCTCATCATCACAAACCCTCAATCACTCTCAATTTCAATATACCAAAACCGACTATGAAAGGCTCTTCTCTCGGCATTCTCGCCATCCTCCTTCAGGCGTATGCTGCATACGGCAGGAAAGTCGAGCCAGACGAAGTCGGCGCACCGGGAAAAGAGCCCTATGTCGAGGGACATAGTGTCCGGTGGGGAACCGGCCGTTATCGCGGGAGCTATCACTGCGAAGAAAACGAGACCCCCTTTATCACTCCAGACAAAAAGCACGCCACTTGTTGTCTGGAGGGAGAAAGCCTCAAAGGGTCTGCGGACACTGAATGGCACTGCTGCGCGGAGGGCCATGACGTGACCGGCTCTGCGGATGTTGGATATGAGTGCTGTGTGAAAGGCTCCGTCTATGACGGCGAGATGTGCAAGAGAGCAGAGAAGTGTCCCAATGGCCAAGAGATGGTCGACGGAAAGTGCCAGTGCCCTAAGGGCCAGACCATGGCCGACGACGGCACCTGCAAGCCCGTCAAAGCTGCCAAGTGTGACTCTGGTTTGAAGACAGGTACATCATCCAATACACCTTTTACGCTGGACTAAAGCAGCTAATCTCATGCAGGCAAATGCTACTTCCTCACTGGAAGGTCGGAGAATTATTTGACTTTCAACGGCGGCCAGTACTCTGAAACCAAGCTGAGCAAGTATATCCGGCCTGCAAAATTCCAACTTTGCAAGGATGAAAAGTGCACGCCAGGCCTGCCGGTCAATCCAAGCGACGAAGTCAAAATCAAGGACCTTCATGGCAGTCTGCCTTACGCAACCGATGCCAACCAATGGGTGGACAATAAACAGAATGGTGCCCACATCGGCAAGACTCCTGACTATGAAAAGGCTGGGAACTTCTCGTTCACCAAGTGGCCCTGTGGCAAATATTGCCTTACAGGGTTCAACCAGGGTCTTTCACAAGCTTGTCCAGACGTCAGCCCGGGTATCTCCTTCGACAACAAGGCAACCGACTCGTGCATTGAATTCGAACTCCTTGAGGTTCCATGTGATATCCGCGCCGACAAGAACAATTGCATCTGGAAGAACAGCAAGAACCAATGCTGTGGCAAGATCGACTGTTCTGCCGAGGAAGAAACCGAGGAAGGTACGAAGCCCTATTGCCCGACGCAAGATGGCACGACTCGTGTCTTCAATGGGATTGAATTTGACGTTATTTGTGGAAAGGCATATAGCACAAACACGGACATGATCACGGTTCGAAAGGATGTGACCGATCCAGAGACATGCTATAAAGAGTGTGCTGCGAATCCGAAGTGTCAAGGTGCCAATTGGAGATTCAGCAAGAACTACTGCTCTCACCATCCTTATTACGAAGATCAACCGAAGACTCAAAATGCTGGAGAGGACTGGGTGACCTTCCGTCCCACGGAGAAGCGCTAGTTTACCCTGCGCTGTCTGATGAATATTATTACAGATTCTCTTTTTTTGTCACTGTTTTCCTTAGTTCCAAAGAGTCCCTCGGTCCGTGCCAACTACCTAGTTCTGTCATTGCCCTTTGCCTGTTGAAGTGATTCTGTTTGGAAAGACCTACACACCTGTCCACTCTTTGGCCAACATTCAATTATTTGTTATGATGGAAAAAAAAAACAAAGAACAAAAAAAAAACTTGTGCAGTTACATAGCTTACCAGATTGATCAACCATATACGAGTTATTGAGCCTCTACCATAATACATTAGAGAAAATGCATGGAATGTATTTCAATCGTGTCAACCGGGGTATAAGACTCAGCTACCAAATGGAAGGCAAATCTCCATTTGAAAGCCGGGAGAGCCTTTCGTTGGTAAGCTGGAAACATTCTGGCAGCCCCGTTTCATCCCAGGTCTTGCCAAGCACAAGTTGGGCGACAGCCGGAGCGCACGTAAATATCCGGGCCATGCCTGTCTCGAGTTAGCATGTCGTTCTAGGATATAATCTCGCAAAAGAAAAACTCACCATGGCCATTAAACCCGGCACAGATATACTGTCCAGGAAGGGAATCAATGGCCCCGACGAACGGGACAGAGTCCGTAGTCATGGCAATTATTCCAGTCCAGGCATGATCCAAACCCTCACCATGCATAGCAGCCTGAGATGAATAAGCAGGAAATATCTCACCAAACGTCTGCAGAGCATCCTGGACAATCTCTTCATTATACCGGGAATCGTCAGTGCTGAATCGACCAGCATTTGTCTCGGTGCTCATGTTTGGGTTTGATCGCGATACACCTAACACCAATGTACCATCTCCCTTACGCTGGATCAGGGAGTAGAAGTGGAGGAGGCTAAAGCGGAGCGAGAAAGTGTTCTGCAGAGCCTGCTGCCCTGAGAAAGCTGGAACAGGTACAAGAGAGTGAGCCTGTGCACGGTTTGGCCGAATATAAGCCTCCAACTGCGGCAGTAACAAGGCAGCATGGGCATTCGTGCAATGTATAATCTTCTCCGCTTTGATTACCCCCCGGGGCGTGTGCACCTTCCAGGTTTCTGAGGTCGCGCCACTTCGTTCAATTTCAGTGGCAGGACAAAACGTGAAGAGCCTCGCACCCTTGGAAATCACTGCTTGAAGAAGAAACTGTGCAAGCTTTGCCGGGTGGCTTGATCCTGCCGGCCACTCATATGCTGCTACAGCTCCCGGGACTCTCGTCTTCTGCTTGGCCTGGTCTCCTTCATAGAATATGATGTGCGAAGTGTCGCCGCCTGCTTTCTTAAACGCTTCCAGGCTCTCTGCCTCGTAAGCCGCAAATTCCGGGGTCATGCAAACATCAAATGTTGTTGTCAAGTTGAAATCGCATTCGACATTATGTTCCTTGACAAATGCGTCGACTCTTTCTAGGACCAGTCGCTCATCCTGGATGATCTTCAATGCTTGTTGCTCTCCATGCACTTTGGCATATGCACTGAAACCCCTGAAAGCATCTATTTTACGAATCAGAAATGCTCGCCATATTCCCATGGAAGTCTGACAGACCTGGTCGCACATGTCCGGCATTTCGCGAGCTTGCGCCACTTGCTGCCTCTCGTGCCTCGAGAATCACGATATCCTCGGCTTTGGCGCCTCCTTCGACCAGCTTGAAGGCCGTTAAACCGCCAGAAATACCGGATCCCACAATGACATATTTTGAGTTGGATGGAACGGTTGTATCGATATTTGCATGCAAATTGGGGTATGCCCGAGTTGTTCGTTGCCAGTAACTCAAGCAAGGGGTGGGATTTGGCAGGCTTCTGCTTGTCTCAATATTTGAAGTTGACATTTCAGAGGATATACAATTAGTCAAGGTTACCACAAATATTCAAGAAATATATATATATAACTCGGAGAGAGAGTGTGTCTCGTATTCTCCGTTGTCGCATGCGGGGAAGCCTGGGGTTCTCCTATCGCGGACTTCCCCCTCAAATCCTTCAACCCCAAAGTTCCCCCTTCAAGGCTTTCAAACTGATAGGATTCGACCTATCTCCAGATCCACTCGTTAAGCCGACCTTGGCAGTGGAGTTGGGTGGACTTGACTAAACGCCAAAATGCCTCCAGGCTGGTCTCTATCAGCGACCTCGGCATTCCTCCGACGTTACAAGGACAACCATTGGTGCTTTAAAGGCTTATCACGCGTGCACCTTACAGAAACATCCTAGTCGGATCTCAAGCCAAAGACTACCCCAGACGCGCTATTTTATCTGTGAGGGGTTCACAGGGGCCTTATCATACCTCGGGCCTGCTTGGGTATATGAATGGCTAAGGTACCCAGAATGCTGGCTTTTTCTCTCCCCCCTGCCACACCACTATAATTATGGTGTCCTTCAAACCGTTTCGACGCAATGCGTCGAACGTCGATGTCCGATCTCCGGAGGAGAAGGCCTGGTCCGGCGCCTTGACATCTTCCTGATGACCTTCGGCTGTATTTCACAGGGTGCGTTGGGCTACCCCTCTAACAGCTCGAGATCGGCCGAACTGACTTCTGTCAGTTATCAAATATCTCGACCAACAAAATATCAACAATGCCTACGTATCTGGCATGAAAGAGGATTTACACTTGTTCGGAAATGAGCTTAATCTGTGAGTTGTCCGAGACATTTACGTACCGCAAGTTGACAGCTAATACTGTCTAGATTCACAACATATTTTAACGCCGCCTACTGCGTAATGCTAATTCCCTCCCAAATCATCCTCACCTACGTACGCCCAAGCTATTGGCTCCCAGGCTTGGAGATCGCATGGGGTGTTCTGACCGGATTGATCGCGATGACAACGAACGCGAAACAAGTCTACGCCCTCCGGGTCTTCCTCGGTCTATGCGAAAGTAGCGCATGGCCAGGAATGATGACACTATTCAGTATGTCATTCGAAATTCCTTCCCTTGACCCGAATTAACCAAACCTCCAGTGTACTGGTATACCCCTACCGAACTCGCCAAAAGAATGGGATTCTACCACTCCTGCCAAGCAGTCGGCCAAATGCTCTCGGGCGCCATGCAAGCCGCAATAACCGACACTCTCGACGGACGTAACGGCCTAGCCGGATGGCGCTGGCTATTCGTGATCAACGCAATCATCACGGTAATCTGGGGATTCGCAGGATTCATCATGCTCCCCGATCTACCGAACCGACCTAACCCGCGCGCATTCTGGTTCAAGAAAGTCCACGGCGAGCTGTCGCTAGAACGGCTCGCGCGCAACGGCCGCGCCGAGCCAAAGAAGATGACCTGGGCCGGCGTGAAACGCACGTTCTCCGGATGGGTTGTTTACTTCATTGCGATTCTGTATATCGCAACGGTTCTTGGAACATACGGATATGTTTATTTCGGACTGTTTCTGAAATCGCTGAAGAATCCAGACGGGAGCGCGAGATGGACTGTCTCGCAGGTCAATGCTATCCCCATCGGAGGGTCTGCGATTAATGTCGTGTTCGTGTGGATCTGGGCTCTGTTATCAGATTATTTTGAAACCCGTTGGACGCTCATCGTTCTTCAAGCGGTTATTGGAATCGTCCCGTGTATCATCATGAGTGTTTGGACTACACACCCGTTGTCGGTGGATTTATCTGCTGCTTATGCGTCATACTTCATCTCGTATATTTGTCTCGGCACGGCGCCGTTGATCTTCGCCTGGCTCTCTGATCTTATTCCGCAGGATCCAGAGGCTCGGTCACTTGTTGTCGGCGTTGCGGTTGCTGGGTACTACGCCATTTCTTCGTGGTCGCAGGTTCTTGTCTGGCCTGCGAGTCAAGCTCCATTTTATAAATATGGGTGGCAGTCTGCATTGGCCTTGTTGGTTCTTGTGATTATTATGACGAGCATTTTGAGATTTGTGGATGTGCGGTACCTCCTTCCAAAGCGCGAGGAATTCCGCGCTGCATTGGAAGAAGATATCGTTGCGAGTAAAGGAGCTGGTCCGTCAGTGTCTGCTGATCAGATCGAAGATCGGCGTCGGATAGATGGAAGTTCGAAGGCGCCTCCCACATCAAATGCGCATGAAGTTTAGCCACTGAGGCTCTAATTGAGCTTATGTTTATGTCGATTGATTTGTGCCCTTGACGATATTGCAGTCTAGTTTCTCCTTTTATTCATTTTCGATACCCAGTGAACTGTCCTTATGATATTAAATAAAATTTCTTTTTCTCATGAAGGGAGCCCAGGTGATGTACATTGATAATTGATAGGGAATCAAAATAGTCGGCTGTGGTCTTCTTCGTCGTTTTCTCAGGTAGCCTTCTTCGACGTCTTATTATATGTCTTTAGTGGCGTTTTTTGGCAGTGTCAGGTAGACTTTCGGATGTCTGATTATATGGATGTGTTGTCTCCTTCTTAATTTGTTTGGTAGGAGAGGATTCTCTATGTCATGCCACCAGGGCGATGGAAGAGGAAGAAGCGCTTAGTATTCGAACTAATAAAGCAGGGCATTTATAAAGGCCTGAACAAAGGACTAGCAAACTGGCAAAGAAAGGCCTCAGTCTGCACAAAAAAACATCCCATCTAGGGGGGATTCTCCAACATTATGTATAAACTTTGACTAAAGAATGGCCGTAGTATATCCACAGTAAAAACATGACCCGACGGCACATGTCAGGCTCAAAAGAGTAAAATTATATTCCCGTCCTCATCGCCTCCCATTTCACATTGACAGTGTTACTATTGAGCCACCAAAGCAGTAACCTAGTAGTAGAGAGGGTTTTCAGGATCAGTAAGATCAAAGACCACACTAGAGTGAGGCTTAGCACCACCACGGTTGGCGAACTCCTTGGGGAAGTCAATAGTGCGGTTAAAAGAAAGACTGCCGTCTTCGTTGAGGTCGATATAGAGCGCCTTGAAGTCAGCCGGAGTGTTGATGATACCAATATCTCCAGTCTGGACGAAATAGTCGGTGACGACCAAGTGCTTTTGGTCAGGTGTGACCTTGAGATAGTGAGGTCCAACGGTAGGCTGGTCCTCATCGGGGTCGTCCAAGCGCTTGATGTTGCTGAGATCACTGATATCTAGCGCAGCAATGTGGTTGGCCGTGGTAAGAGTTGCGTAGAAGTATTTACCGTCTTGGCTGATGTCGGAGCTGGGGGGGATAGTGTTAGCAATGATGTTATTCGTGTACACAGCAGATAAAGAGTATTTACTAGATAGCAATTGTGTCACGGGCTTTGGGACCAAGATCATATAGTTCCTCGATCACACCCTGGTTGCCGTTGGCGTCCTTTCGCAGAGGGTAAATGACCCAAAGCTGACCCAGGTGCACGGCAGTGGCGATAGCAGCGGATTCTGGATGTCCAGGGATGAACTTAACATCTTGGATACCACCACCCTGATTTCAGTTAGAAAGTCCAAGCTAATTAAATATTAAGGTTGGCTCACGTTAGGAATGGTAAGAGTACTGAGAATCTTTCTAGAGTCTAGATCCCAGAGACGCAGTGTATCGGCATGGCGCACTCCAAGACTCGGCTTCAAGATAGAAATCGGCTCGACGAAGTCCGAAGTTAGAATAAGCTTTTTCTCCCAATCAATACTGAGTCCGTGAGGAGAGAACTGCTGCTCGAGAATGTTGAGAGTGCCCTCCACATCCTCAGGCCATTCGTGGATGATGTTAAAATCGGCATCGGTTTCGACGAGACGACCAGGAGAAGTACCAACGGCCGAGCCCATGTAGGTGATGAAAAATCCACCGTCTGGCTTTGCCCGGACCTCATCCGCAATGGATGAAAGGATACCGCGGTTACTCTTCAGGAACTTGGGACGGTAAGGGTTGGAGGTATCGAAATAGAAGCCAGTATCCTAATGAAGGATTAAATCTTCTGTGGAAAGTGTAATGAATAAAGTATACATACTTGTGTTTTCAATAGAGATAGCAACCCACCACCCCAGATAGTCTTTCCATCCAGCGACGGTCCCAGGTGGTGGGGGTCATTGCCACTGCTAGGCACGTCTGTGACCCATAAAAGGGTTCCAAAGGTGTCCTAAGATCAAATTAGTAAATAGGTTCAAGCCAGTCTTTACCGGCGTAGGATTGGCCTACATCATCCAAACTGTAGGTAGCGAGGAAGTCTACCAATGATAATTAGCATTGTCTCCCCTCGACAATCCGCCATTTGTAGATCCCTACCTTTATGGAACTTGTCCGCCGAGCCAGTCCAGAAATAACCAATCTTCTTGGGCTTGATATCACTCGGTGTAAAGGGAGGACTATCCAGCGGAGGTGTAGGGACTTGCAAAATCGGCAATGGAGGAGCGTTGGTCGTCAAAGGCTCGGTCACTCCAGGAATGCTGGGGATGAGAGGAGGCAAAGAAAGGCACTCCCCAATTGCAACCAGGGACGCAATAGAAGCAATAGAATACTTCATCTTGTTGATGAGAAATATCGAGCAGGATTGCGTTGGTTTGATGAGCGTATTTGCGAGAATTTTCAAGAGCTTATATACCTGAGTTCACCTTCATCTCGTCCCAAATGAGACGCCGTCTTGCACCCCTGAGCTACCTCAACGATAACACAACCGAGCACGCAAGAGGGGAGTTACATTTTAGATTGGTGTGATATTCCAAATTCCTCGACGAGAGGCTGATCTGCGAAATGGCGAATTTCATCCCTCAAAGTCGAGAATCCAAGCAATCCCCGACTCGGGGTCTGATGCTGGACCAGCTGTCCTCGTATTCAGCCCTCTCTGTAAAGCCAAATCTTAGAGATTCTTCCTAGACTTGAGGAGATGTCGTGCTTGAAGTTAATCTGAAGTCTCGAGAGAGGGATTACAAGTTCGTGAAATCAATAGCTCGAACCCAAAAAGTGTCTCTAGCAAGAGCCAGTCTACACTAGCACGTGGTCTTGCCCTCGCTATCAGCGCCACAGATATGATGTGGACGAACTGGTGTTGGAACTACGGCTAAGAGAACCCATAATTTCCGGAATAGGTAAGGTCCAAGAACCGCCCCCGGAGATCGCTATATCTCACATTCAACAATTCAATACCCAAACAAGGCACGGTAATGAAGTCCGGAGGTCAAAGCAAAGGTTCAAGTGTTGTTTTTTGAGTGAGCTTGCAACAAAGACGTGAAAGTAGAGGAATGATTTGCGCATGCCAAGAAATGGGAGATCTATGTACTCATCGAAAGTACCGATGAGGTGATGCAGGGTCGGACTTCAACTTCAACTTTTTAAATCCCGAGACAACAATTTACCGAGAATACTTGTCAGGTCCCTGGATCGACATTTTCAATTTCCCCATGGAGACGATGAGCACGGGTGACCCTGCCCTGATTTCGACATGATGCCAAGAATGTTGTTATATCTTCACCATGCTTAGCCTTGCCCGAGTACTTCGTACCTTTCGATTTCAATTTATTATATCGCGTGTGGCTTCTTTTACGAGGTCTTCCGCGGGAGGCGGGATGGATAGGCCTTCCTGAATTGCATCATCTCTTTGGACTCTGTTTATACTTTTTAACTCGATGTGCTCTTGTCAATTTCATTGGGATCAGCACCACAAAGCCGAGAAACTAGGGAGCGGCACAATGAAGCTAGCTGGATTCCTGGGGTCTATTCGTCTCGGGATTTGAACGGTGTGGGCTACTGGGAAATGTCATATATAACTGGGAGGAATCCAGGCTTTTTGGCTTGAGGGACCCAAGTCCAAATTCCATTCCTGTGCACAATATTGTCCTTCATTCAAGATGAAATCCCAAAGTCTCGCACTCTTTGGCCTATTTGTTTCCTCTGCCTTTGCAGTGCCCCGGACTAAAAGGCACGACGGTGGCAATGACCAGCCGATTAGCGGTGCCAAAGGAGCCCCAATTTTAGGTAAGCCCAAGAAAATCTCTGAAGTTTCCAAGACTGGATGTTCTCTCTATGGCCTCTCGCCGAGATGGTGCATGCTTACAGCTCTCTGTGAATAGGTGGAACAAACAAAGCTCTCGACCTCCAAAACCCAGACCAATTCCGCACTGCTAGTACAGATAATGGCTTTGTGCCCAATGTGAAGTGGAGTTTTTCCCAGTCGCAGACTCGACTGTTCCCAGGCGGCTGGTCTCGGGAGCAAGTCATTCAGGACTTGCCTCAGAGCCATGATATTGCAGGTGCCCAGCAACACCTGAAGAAGGGCGCTGTCCGCGAACTGCACTGGCACCGCACGGTTAGTGGCCGCAACTATACACTTTCTACCGCAAAAATCACTTACTCTAGTACTTAGGCCGAGTGGGGATTTGTATACAACGGCTCCCTCCTGTTGTCCGGTGTTGATGAAAACGGTGGCTTCACTACCGAGGTCCTCGAAACGGGTGATATATGGTATTTCCCAAAGGGCGTAGCGCATAATGTCCAAGGCCTGGATGATGAGAACGAGTACCTCCTCGCTTTTGATGACGGTGACTTTGAGAAGATTGGGTATGTTCCATTTACATCTTTACAAGCTCAATATACTAACTTAGAAGAACTACTTTCATGGTCGACGACTGGATTGCCCACACCCCCAGAGATATTCTCGCCAAGAACTTTGGTGTTGACCCTAGTATCTTCGACTCGGTTCCATCAAAGTTCCCTTATATTCTCAACGGCACTGTCAGCAAAGACCTTGACAAGGCTCCTGTGGGTACGCTGAGAGGTGATGATTCCTACGTCTACCACACCTACAAACACCCCTCGGAGCCTGTCCCTGGTCACGGTGGAACATTCCGCAAGATTGACTCTACCAACTTTCCCATTTCAAAGACTCTTGCTGCTGCGATTGTAGAACTGGAACCCAAGGGTCTTCGTGAGCTTCACTGGCATCCTAACGTAAGCTTACGAACAACTGCCTGAAAGGAGAAACCATATGCTGATTACCGTATAGGCCGAGGAATGGCTCTACTTCCATCAGGGTCACGCTCGTGCCACTGTCTTTATTGGTGACTCCAAGGCTCGCACCTTTGACTTCCAAGCGGGTGACACCGCTGCTTTCCCCGACAATAGTGGCAAGTATACTTCTTCCAAGACCAAGAAAGGGTGCTAACCCTTAATTAAAGGACATTATATCGAGAACACCTCCGAGACAGAGAAACTTGTTTGGATCGAGCTCTACAAGAGCGACCGCGTCGCTGATATCTCCCTGGCACAGTGGCTGGCTTTGACTCCTGCTGATACTGTTGCCAATGTCTTGAAGGTCGATATCGAAGTGGTCAAGCAGATCAAGAAGGAGAAGCAAATTCTTGTTCATGGCAAGAAATAATCTGTCATCGTCGTATTGTCGTGTCTGTCGCCTGGCCTGGCAGCTATATAGCAGGACTTCTGCCCGTATGCTACATTACATACGTGGGCTATATACGTATATACTTTCCATTCTCCAATACTGCATTTCGAACCTAATTATAGCAATACGTGACACCCACCAAAGAAGATAGCCCGTCTTATCAACAAAGTGCAGTCTACCAAGTATTGTAAGTAGTGTCCAATCGGACGTGGTGAGACTCAATATCCCAACATGGCAAACTGCTTCAAGTCGTCGAGCATTTAGCCCTTGTCGGTCTCGCAAGATGAAGAGCATGAATCTAAGATGCAGCCCCTTTACAATTCTCTGTCCGAGACAATCAGTCCCAGATCGAGGGCCAACCTGGTCAGAACAGGCTCTATCTCATACTATCATGACACACTACAAAGGGCAAAGACATACAAGAACAACAAGACAAATAAAGCCCGAATAGGCTAGAGACAGTAGAAGATGCCAAAATGCCAGAATTGATTCGATATCCAACTCCGGTAATATGCTGATGCTGTGCAAACACGAAAGACCAAGCGTGGCCAACTCCATACACGCCGCCGACAATGCTCAAATCACGCGCGCTCCTCGCGTGATTGGAAAAAGAAATGGCAGAAAAGAATAAAAAAAGAATATAGCCTAATTTTTGATCGCCTTCCTCCGCAATACACCAAGATGCTCCAGTCTGTCCCACGCTTTGTTCATGTCAGAGCACTCGTCGCCCAGTGAGGGCCGAAGGTCTAGTCCGTCGAGGGTGTGGAGAGAGCCACTCGTGCCGGCGTAGAGCAGAGTTCCAGTACCCTCCGGCGTAGGCGTGTGGCTTGATCGAGGTGCCTTAAGTACTTCACATCCGCTTGCGGGTCGGCGAGCGGAAGTGTGTATGGGTCGTCTACTTCGATGTCTCTGTCTGTCTTCGGCTCATCACCCATGGTAGCACGGTGAGAGACATGGTCATCGTTTCCGAGCTCAGCCAGAGCATCAGAAAGGTCCCGGTGGGTTCCTTGGTGCCGGATGACCGCTTGTTCTGGAGACTTCAATTTCATGCGATCGGCATTGCCACTCCCAGTCACTGCTGGGGGGGTAAAAGCCAATAGTCAACGGGTTCCCACGGAGATCAAGCTTGCGTAAGGAACACGCAGTTCCTTTCCCGGTTTTTCCTAGTCGACTGAGGATCTGACAGACCCTTCTCATCCTTGAGAGACGGTTGCCGACAACCATCAGTCTGGCAAGACAGTTCATTCCAACCAGCGGCTCAACATCATCAACCGAGTTGAAATTAAGGTTTAGAACCTTGAGATTCGGGAAGCTCAAAGCAAAATCACTCGGGAGACTTTTCAACGTGCACGCAGCTAGATCAAGAAGCTGAAGTCGTAGTAGCGGGGCCGAAGGGCAGACACTTTGGCGGGAAAGCTTGTTTGAGGACAAAAAGACTTTGCGAACATCCTTGACAAGTCCCAAATCGAGATCCAGCCTGTGTTCAATGTCCTTTTCTTTGGATGGTGTCTGCTCCCGGAGAGACAGTACCTCGAGATTGTGACAATTCTCAAGGCCGGTAACGGTAGAAAGGTGGTTCTGATCGAGGTAAAGAAGGCTCACAGAAGGGAAAGCCCGTGCATCTAAGGCCTCCAGTTTATTTTCGGAGAGCTTGAGGGCGCGGAGACTGATAAGGGAAGCAGAGGTGTCAAAACGACTGATCTGGTTGGCGCTGACATCGAGAGTGGCAAGTGACGGAAGCCATTCGACATTTCGAACAGATGTCAGACAGTTGTGGCTCAAGTCAAGATCACGAAGGCGTGTCAACTCGGACCCTTCAAAATCCACTGCAGTGATAGAGTTGTTGCTCAGCTTCAGGCTTAGCAAGCCATTCAGATCAAGAATCCCGTCTATGTTACGGATCTGATTGTCATTGGCCTTCAATTCCCGGAGATGAATCAAGCTCGCGAAGCCATCCAATGTCTCGATATCGTTTCCTGAAACGTCCAAGTACTGCAAATTGACCATGTGACCCCAGGGAGTCAGGTTGGAGAGGCAGTTTCTAGGAATCTTGAGGGTTCGCAGGGTTGGGGGAATGCCGCTCAATTGACCAATGTCGTTGTCGGAAACATCCAACTCCTCTAGTCGGGGCAGAATTCGTTCAGCTTGTGTAGCGTAATCAATCCCTTCTGGCGCAGGACAAGGCGGCGCACGTGTTCCCAATAAGGCTCATATGGTTCCACGTCGGTAATATGCTTGATCAAATCTTCAGTTGCCAGTGCGAACGTTCCGTGCACCTGTCGCAAAGAGGACGGGTTTGTACGTTGAGCCACGTAGCTCATTTCAAGGTTCAGAGGTTTATCGCCTTGGTTGACAGTAAAGTCCGCAAGTGGGCTGAGGTGGAAGCTGTAGGTTGTGTCCGGCCCGACGCTCCGGATCGGCATCAAAGAATGCTCTGCCTCGTTTTTCGCAGGTGTCTCTTGAACATGAAGTGAGTCATTTCTGCGGATGAGACTTTGGTCATCAATAGTCTCCTCGTTCCTCTCCTCAATCCTCGAGATGGGACGTCGAATGAACGGCTGTCCACCGACTGAAGTTTGACGCCCCGTGGGAGGAAGGGATGACCGTATTGAGCCATTTTCTTGGTCTGCTGGGCCTGCACCTTCGTCTGGCACAATCCCATGGTAGGTGTGATTCGTGTCCGAGTCAGACTTGGTGTTATCAGGCTCGCCACGAGAAGAGGGGCGTGAAACAAGGGGTGATGAGAGATTCACTGTCGCGACACGTGCTTGTTTTCCGAGAGATCGGGGGGGTCTTCGAAGACAACGGGTCCTCACGCTGGGCTTCAAGTTTCCGTTGCGCAGAGATTCTCCTTTCTGCGGCCTCGTCCGTGCCCCATGATGTAGCTCTAGTCCCAGTGTTAGGAACACTGGACGTGAAGCGAGTGAATCTTGATTGAACCGAGCTTGCGCCGAGAGATGGGTCCCCGTCTCTCGTGTGTGGTCGAACATCAGGTTTCTTGGGGATGCGTTCGCAGCCAAAGAACCACGGGCCTTGAATTGCTCTCGATCAGCTGGAGCGTCGCTCTTTGCGGGAGAACTGAGACCATGAACTCGCATCATCTCTTGGAGCTCGTCTACACTAAGATCCGGAATATCCTTGAATGGATCATCAGTCTCCTCGGTGGGTTCTGAGATTGGCGCCTGTGGTTCTTCCACCTCATCCTTCACCCATTGATTCTTCGAACGGTCATACTTGAAGCCATTGACCTCATTCGGGATCAGGTGGGCTACAAGGTCAGAAGCCAGCATACCCTTGACTTGGGAGCTGTGTGAAGAGCCTGTGGGTAGGGAGTTGACACTGAAGCCAGACATTTGTGTGTTGATAGTCATCAGATCCTGGGCGATGTTTTCCGCTGTGTCATCAGTCATGCCACTAGTCTTTCGTTTCCTCGGACCGTGAATTCGGATATTCTGTGAGTTTGATTCACCAAACTCGGTTTGGCCCTCGCCCTGGCTATGACGAGCATGCAGGGACATTTCGCGGTCATCCGGATCATCTTGCTCCTGGTATTTCTTCAGGTGACTCAAAATCTGGGGATTCAACTCCTTCACCTCTCTCAACTTGCGAAGATCCGTTCCATCACGGCTCGGAGGGCGAGAAAAGGCTTCGCGTGTGGATTCGTCGTCGTCGCTGAACTCGTCGCCTTCACTTTCCACGTCAGACTCATGTACGCTTGTCAATCCAGCTGCACCTCGTCCTTTCGATCTGATGAGATCCATGATCTTGGTGGCCTCGTTTAAATAATCCTGGGTGGTTATGGATCCTTTTCGCGAGGTATCACTAGCCCCAGTAATCTTAACTAGTGGAACGTCACCATCAATGGAAAAGGAATCAGAATAATCGTTATTATCGAAATTGGATTCGGAGAAGTCTCTGTGCGGTGCAACATTACTTTCCCCGTCTGTTCGTATTTGGCTTGGTGTGGGTGTTCGAGGTCGCTGCATCGATTGAGAAAGGCCCGGCGGAGCAAGATAGTCACTATTCTCGACCTGAACGCCGTGTTGCATAAGACTCCGTTGCAACAGTGACATGCTGTCACCGTACTTCTGAGGCGAACCGCCGTTGGCATTGTGATAGGGGTCGGTGCTGCTGTTTCTCATAATTGTTCGGCGCCGTTTCGGGGTGGGGTCCATGCCGGGGGCCCGGGGTACTCGCTTCACATCAGGGGCCATATTTTCTTTATTATTCGGACGAGTCCCATGCCGCATATCATCAAAGAAATCCTGGCGCATCCAGGCAGAGGGCTTCCTGGTGAATCCCGAACTTGCCGATCTGGTGTAATGATACAGCCCTTGCTGTGAGGGGCCACGGAAATATTTTTGCCGAGTTGACGATCGCTTGCGTGAAGACGGGCGGGACCCAAACCCTCTGGCCTCATCGTACATCAACTTGGGCTCGTAGGGGCTGGTGTCTGAGAAATCGAATTTGTCCAACTCGCCACCCCCAAACTGGCTGATCTGATGTACAGCATTTCGAGACCCAAGGCGTTCATTTCGCCTAGGGGAGATCTCCTGCAATGGTTCGTGTCTAGCATTTAGAAGGCTGCGGTTTTCGCCTTTTCTTCGCGCTTCTTCTGAGGGCGAAGGGGGTTCCTCCCCTTCTGACGTGTCGCTGAAATTGTCTTCAAACTGACTCATGCGCCGAAGAAGTCTGTTGTTAGTAAATGTGTCATGGTCACCAAACAGCTTCAATGGACTTCCTGAAGACGGCATCTTGGCCTCATTCTCCGCTCCAGAGGTGGATGGCCGCACATGAGACGAAGAAGGACGCGGTAGACCAGGTGACGCGGTCTTGTGGGGGTTGAACAAGGGAGAACTTCGGATTTTAGAGTTGGCGAGGGTTGTGGGGGACAAACGGTGCGAAGGAAAGGGCGAAGGGGAAAATCGCCGAGGGAAGGAGCGGTTTCCTCGCCGACTGTTAAAGTCCACCGTCCCCATAGACAGATCCTGGGGTAGAGAATGACTGGTCGCGTCCAGCAAGCTGTCTTCTCGCGGAGACCCCTCCACGTGAGGTTCACTGTGGTTGTAGAAGAGGAAGCTATCGCTTGCGGGGGAGTCCGGGCGACTATCATTTTTAATAGACAGGCTTTCCAACTTGTTGGTGACCTGCTTCAGCGCAGACTTGATGACTTCTGAAGTCCCATTGCCATCGACGGTGTTGTTACGGGTGAAGGTTATGGGAGTGATTCCCTCGTTGCGCAGATCCTCCAGCCCACTAGCTGTCCGTAGCTGGGAATTCCCCGCTTGGGAGAACCCTTCCTGGTCCCAATCCACGTCCAGGCCCCCATTATTCTCCCAAGGAGCGCGATTGACGGTTCCTTCCGGCGATCGGTCGCCATTATCCCTTCCCTCCTCATCATCGACGCGTTCGGGGTCATTATCGCGACTGTTCTGCTCGTCTCTATCCTGTCGCGAAGGTGTGTCGGCGAAATCCCACAGATTGTCATCCTGCTTCGTAAACGGGGTGGACCCTTGCTGCGCCGTCGCAGCACCAGGTGTAGGCGGCTTGAACACGCTTTCAAGTCCCATCGGCGCGAACAGATCACGTTGCTCGCCAGCGGCGATTTCCCCGCGCACTAGTCGCCGGCGCCATTCTGGTGTACCTTCTCTTGTGTCCTTGCCCTTCGGTTTGATCTGAACCGTACCATCGCATTCGGATTGTGTGGAGGCTTTAGAGACGTTTGACACTGATCGTAGAGGGGAGCGCATATCCATTGAGGGCTGCCTGCGAGCCGCACCCGGGGTGGGCTTGGGGCTGACCTTGGGACTTGGCCTGGAATTGATCTTTGGGTCGGCCTTGGGTGTATTGAATTTCAAACTATTAGGGTGAGGCGATCGTGGTTTGCGTGTTTTGGGTGTTCGTGGGGTTTTCGGAGTCGGAGGTTCTCTTCTATGGAAATGACATGGTCGGGTAACCTTATCCTTTTTGTTGCTCCCCGGCGATTGTTGTTCCAAGGGACGCCGCGCGGGTAGAGGAATGCGACTAGGGGTGCCTTGCTGACTGGTTTTAGGCGATTCTGATCGAACAGGTAGAACGGGTACCGGGCTGGTGGGCGAAGCTGGAGATGGCCAGTCGTCAGACAGACTGTCAAGCCATGGTTGGTTGCTCATTTTCCTTTGTTATGATGCCGGTACGCGTTCCGGGTCAAAACAAAACAACTTCACATCAACATCAACATCAACATCAACATGAAAAGGCATAGATCGGAGCTAATAAAAGAGAAGGAAGAACGGGTAACAGTGCGGAGATGCGGTGTCCAGTGTATCTCCACTTAAGGAAAGCTCCCCTTGTTTATTATCTTTTGTTTACCTTTTTGTTCCCCGTCCAGATCAATATCCTATATATTGTACTCTGTAGAATTCTTAATATATTATAAGATATTATATACAATTTGGGATCTATCAATTATATATTTGACCCTACTTTCTAGTATTGCCCTTTCTTTATTTTATTTTTGGGGAAAAGCTGCTAAATAGCTCCAAACACCCGAGATTCAAGCTACAGCTATTGAATCCCTTCGAAGCCTAATATGTTGGCTAGTCCCACTTAGTCCTTTGTTCATTCAAGATAAGTCCTTGAATTGACCTGATATCATGTCTTGCGTAGTATTTAGCGATGTCTTAATGTTTTGAGCATTGATCGCGTATATCGAAAATATTTTCAGCGTCCGCGGTCCCACTTATATATATCTGCAAGGTTTGATCGTCACTAAAAAAGCAAATCATATTGATCCAAAATCCCTTGGGCTCGAATATCGATATATTTAGCACGCGCAAGGGCGAGAGCTGGTTATTCGCACAGAAATAAATAATTGAAATACTGTATAGGAACCCAAATATGTATTGTTCGTCTCTAACTCCTAGGATATTGTCTCCCTCAATAATGAATGTTACAGTATAAAACATCAAATGCACATCAATGATCTTAAATAATCAGTCTCTCGAATGAGTACTTGCCAACCGCTTTGCGGCGCAAGTAACCAATCTCACGGCTGCTGCGGTTCTTGACCTCGCCCGTCGACTTCTTGGTCTTGGTGCGGGACACGTCAGTAGAGGCAGCCTTGAGTGACAGCGGTAGCATCTTGCCACCAGCATCGCCATCGTAGCCATCCTCTCCCTCACCGGGACGAGTGAAGACCATCAAGTCGGCACCATTGAGTTTCTCGTAGCGGACCAGGTGGGACGGAGCCGCCTCGGCATCCATCTTGGCCAGGGCATCTTCGGAGGTGGTAGCTGGAGTGCTGACTTGGTCCGCAAAGCGGAGGTACTCGCACAAAACACCCTTGAGATAGGTTGCCTCTTCAACTCCTGCAAGCGCGGCGGAGACTTCGGACTTCATGTCCGCAATCAATTCCATTTCACGACTAGCAGCGGCAGTGACCGAGTCCGAGTCCTCAAAGTCAGCCGCTGCGGGGATGGCCGAGATCCAACCGGACGGGCCCACGGCATCCACGGAGGCAGTGATGAGATCAACGATAACGTTGAGAGAGAGGGTGGGGGTAATTTGGTCAAGAGTAATAGGTGTTGGGGGGTTTTCAGTGAATCGAGAAGTGTAACCCCCGGTAGCAAGGGAAAGGCGGAGATGGTGAACCATAGAAATGAGTTCTGTTCGGGAGAGGTTGGAGCAGGAGGGAATGAACGATCACTGACGCGGGCTGTGAGTGAATCTTTTGGAGCGAGGTGTTTAGACCAGCGAAGATATCCTTCAGGGTTGCCGTTTCGGCCCCCAGCTGTTTTGAAAGTTCTTGGGTAGGAGTGGCAATATCACCATTTGTGATCGCACGAGCTGTTTCCTCGAGCGTTCCAGAGTGGGAACGTGCCTGGTTCAAGAAGGTCTTGAGCGCGTAGGCCAACTCATCGGAGGAAATCAGAGTGGGACCCTCAAGCACTTGGTTGACCTGCTTCAATGAGGGATCCGAATCGAGGAGGGCCTGAATGAACGATCCGGTGGGGAATGGCTGCAAAATGCGTGGCTTGCATGCACGACGGAGCGCAATCTCAACGTTGTCGAGTGACAGATGTCCCAAGCGAATCAGCCAGTCGCAGGTAGTCGGGGGCCACATAGCAACACGTAGTTGAGATAAAGGGGAGGCCGACACGGTGTCATCTGAGGCAGACTCCTCCACAGCGAATATTTTTGACAGCAAGAAAAGAGTTGCTTCGGAGTTAACATACTGCCCACGGACCGGGAGCGTTGTCGAGGCATCGGAGGTGCTGAAGTATGTCAGAACGGCATTATCGAACAAGTCAATATTCTTTGTCTTGGTTGCCTCCTCCACTGTTTTTGTGAGCTGAGTCCATTTCTCAACTTGCTCTGGTGAAGTAAGTCGAAGGGAGGCCATGTTGTCAGATCGGTGTTTCTTCGATGCGATATCCCACTGCGCACCAGATGAACCAATACCTCTGCCGATGGCGTCAATGAGCAGGCTATCTCTGGTCCGCTTCAGCGAAGAGCTGGGCGCACTAGGGAGAGAGCTCAAGTCAAAGGCAATAAGAGTGTTGCCCTTGGTTGCGACAGCAATCCCAAGTTTGGCGAAGTAGCTGATGAAGTTTGTGGGGAGTCTCTGGGGTCGATCCAGTGCTTGACAAAAGATCACCGGCCGGAATGCTGCGTTGCACAGAATGGTATTGGGTATCATACACCGCCACAAGAGATTGTTGCGCTCCAATCACGGATTGTGGAGAAATGCGCATGACCGAGGAGAATTCCTCCTCATCAAGGACGAATTGCGATGTGACGCAGGGAGAGTACTGAGAGAGGTCAACGTTGATGAAACCCCTTTCAAAAGAAAGGTTCAACCCCGCCGAGCCAGAATGGAAGCTCCATTGCATAGCATTGCCATTGGTGGTTTCCAGGCCGTTCACGTCCGGGATGTGGAAAGTTTGTAGATGGCGTAGGCGCTGGCTTTCGTCCAACCGTGACTCCGACTTCGCATGAGCGGGGACTGAGAACATTTGCACAATGATGTCCTTGAGGGAGACTCGATCGGTATTCTTCGGTTGAGATACCAGAAGCAAGATAGATGGCTCGGTGGTTCCTGAAGTTGTCAGATCGCCCAGCGCCAGCAAAGCCAAATCCTGTCGTCTTTTGAACAAAGCCTTCTTCGCATCATCGAATTCGACCAAAAAGCTGGATTGGACATTGTGAGTAGAGCAAATCTTTGCAATCTCACTGTGTTGAATACTCCATCGTTGGGTCTTCAGATCCGAAGACAGTCTACGCACACGACCATCTTCGTGAACTGCCAGAATATCGAATGGGTCCGTCTCTCCTTCGGCAACGGTACTAGAGGGCACTATTCCCACAAAAGTCGTCGGGCTGGTCGAGTCGGTCACGGTGGTAGCCGAAGAAGAAATGACCGGAGCACTCGAGCCGCTGCTACCAATCTCCTCCACAAAGCACTTGATCTGATGTTCTGGCTTAGTTACAGCCGTGTAGGTTTGCCTTCGAACTGTCGATTTCTTTGACAACTTCCTGCGAACTGAGCATGGGCGGCAAGAGAAAGTTGATTGCGGTGGGACGGCGTAAGAAGTAACGAGCTTAGGTGTTTGAACCTGATGAAGATTAGTGTCAGATGCAACCAAGGGAACACCAGAGAAGTAGAAAACATACATTGTAAATGTTCACAGCCTCGCCATCCACGGCAACTGCGACTTCATAGCGCTTGCGTTTTTTCGCATCGGCGAGACTGAAGACATCCCCGATACGGGTCTTTCCGGTAGACGCATGAAGGGGGCGAGGCAATTGCGCCAGGACAGATGGGGACTGCAAGTCCATGACGAACTGAATACCAAGAATAAAAAATGGCTTGAGTTCCTGTCCCTTCAAAGCGTGTGATCTTTTTGATGCGGACCCATCCAATTTGGAAATCTGAAAAATTTTCGGGATTATGTCGGGCCGGTCAATGCACCCCTAGGCCATATCAGGACTAGCGTTAGTCTATGGAGCAATCAGCCTGACATAAGCCATTAACGCGCCTTTCGCGTCGGACGTGTTTGAAGCTATGGAGATTGACCTTGATTTGGTTCTTGCTTTATAAAATCGCTCCACAGTTACCACCAATATCCCGTCATTTCAATGCTACATCTGAGATACTGTTTGCTCCCTGATCTCTCCCCAGGGATCAACTGATTGTCTTCACATGGGCATCGTATCCAACCTACCAATGGCTATGGGAACCGACGGACAGCAAGTCATACATCCCTTCTTCCGACAAGGTCAGAATGTGTCCCATAGCCGCAGGTGAATCCGAGCTTACAATGTCTAGAATTTGGTGTCTCGGTTAAATCTAAACCCTCAAACGAGCCAATATCCCCCGTGAATACCCATGTACACGAGCTTCCACCGATAAGCAGCCAAAGCTCCACGCATGAGCAGGGGCTACATACCCTGGAGAACTGCGGTTTAAATGTCCCCAAGATAAACAATGAGAGTTCTGTGAATCTTGAGGAAGACCTGAACGAGGATCGGAGGAAGAGGCGAAGAATGGACACAACCCAACCCACTGAACCCACGCCTACTTCCAGTGCAGGTCTGTCAGAATGGCTCGGCTACAGCGTGATGAACAATAACCCTTCTTCAACCGATCGTTCTCTCGAGACCGAAATCAAATTGCCTATACCTCAGCCCGAGCTTCCACCGGCGGAGACTCAACTTCATGCAGATGAAACCCGATTATTGACACCTGCCGAGAAGGAGAAGCCGGAGGGTCGAGTTGCAAGAACATCGGCAAGACAGAAAACCCTCAGACTGAATTCGAAGGGAGGGTTCCTGTCGTCACCCGCCTCTAGTCCTCCCCGAGAGACAAGAAAAGGAGCGCCAGGGAAGCGGGGGAGGCCACGAAAGGCTAGGAGCAAGGTGGCGACGATCAAGTATAGTGTTGCCACAGAAAGGAACCTCGGGAAGTTGATCGATAATATCTTAGGTGGCCGAGTGGTTCAAAAACCCCCTGCCTCTATACCCTCTGTTCAACCGCGCAAGACGAAAAGCCAACCCGAAAAGCCCACACATCCGTTTTTCAGCAAGAAAACAGCACAAAAACTCGGGCCCGGGAGTCCAAATGGATCTCAATCGGACAATCCGGATATCAGCGCGAGCGTGCCTTCAAGCCGGACCACAGCTGGGGCGAAGCGGATAGTAGCAGCTTCGGGCAGCTCCTTTACTAGCTTTCCCCGCCGTGTATCCAAGTTTCCCGAACTGCTTGATCCCCTTTGGCCACCGCGAGATCTCGTGCATGTCAGAGACGTTCAGCCACCCCCAGATGTTAATAATCGTGTCTGGCATACTACGCAAGACCAAAAAAAATCGAAGATTGCAGCTATCTCAATTAGAGACGAAGAAAATGTTCTTCTAGCCGGAACAGCTGAAGCAAGGAGGATCGCCCGTCTGTCCAAACAGGACTATGATGCCCTAGCTATTCTTCGGCATCCCATCCGACACGTTGCAAGCAGCCAAGTCTTGCATACGGCAATGGAACGACAGATGTCGTGGTCCTCACCAAACCGCCAATTTCCTTGGGATTCTTCTAGTCCGCCTCTTGCGAGACTTCGATCTGCCCTACTCACGTCAGTTTCAGCTTTCGATTGTGCAACCTACGAACCGCAGCTTTGGACACACAAGTACGCCCCTCAGTCAGCTGATGACGTCCTTCAGCTTGGCCGCGAACCACAGATGCTTCGAGACTGGCTACGGCACCTCAAGATCACAGCGGTGGACACCGGGAAATCGTCGAAGGAGAATGCGAAATCCAAATCGAGGCGGGAGAAAAAGGCGAAAAAGCGCCAGAAAGCCGACAAACTCGATGGTTTCGTTGTGTCAAGCGAAGAGGAGGCCTCTGAGATGGACAATCTCTCTGGCTCAGATGATGAGCTAGCAGGCGGTGTGACCACAACGCCTCAACGGACAGTCGTCAGGTCGGGAGACATAGCACCTGGTTTACATGGAGTAGAAAGAAAGAGTCCGATGACCAATGTGATTCTTCTTAGCGGGCCGGCTGGCTCCGGCAAAACCGCTTCTGTCTATGCCGTTGCAAAAGAGCTTGATTTTGAAGTCTTTGAGATAAATGCTGGAAGCCGACGCAGTGCCCGAGATATGCTGGAGCGGGTCGGAGATATGACGCAGAATCACCTTGTTCATCTCCTCAACGAATCCGAGAACCCAACAAACAACGACAAGGATTCTGCCAAGCAAAACAAGCTGAAGAGCTTTTTCAAAGGCCCATCCTCGAAAACTAGCAACCCGGTCTCCCAGTCTGGCGAACCTAGCCCTAAGCCCGAAACTACGCCCAAACGACCTCGGGAGCAGAAGCAGTCTTTGATCCTGCTCGAAGAAGCCGATATCCTTTTTGATGAGGATCGGCAATTCTGGACTGGTGTCTTGACTCTCATCAGCCAATCTAAACGACCGATTGTCATCACCTGCAACGATGAGAGCTTAATCCCTACCCAGGATATGTCTCTTCATGCTATACTACGATACCGCAAGCCTGCTCCCGACTTCGGCGTGGATTACTTACTTTTGGTTGCCGCCAACGAGGGGCATATTTTAAAGAGAGAAGCCGTCACCAGACTTTATCAAGGATCCGGAATGGACCTTCGGAAGTCATTGATGGATCTGAACTTCTGGTGTCAGATGGGTGTTGGTAGCGAGAAAGCGGGCTTGGATTGGCTGCTTCCTAGTTGGCCACCTGGGTCGAACGTGGATCATGATGGGGACCGACTTCGGGTTCTAAGCCTCAACACCTACGAGCGATATATGGGTTGGTTCAATCGTGATATGATTGTGACCCAAGGCTTGGATGAAGAGACGGAAATCATCCACAACAGCTTTCAATCGTGGGGTCTCGGCTTGCAAGATTCCGAAGACATGGCTGGGAGGAATGAAATTGAACTTCTGGCCCCTGGTGAATTTCAGTCTACTCCCAAGACAGCGCAACTTGACATGCTGTGCCGGGAAGCGGATTATTATGACATGAGAAGTTCTCTCGATATCCTATGCTCCAATATTCCAATGGATGCGAGCAACGTGAGTGTGATCGAAACGTCCACAGAAACACCAGCTAATAGTTGAACAGGATGTTATTGATATATCCGCCCCACCGCCGCGAGAAGGCTATAAATCCAACTATCTTGACAATTACCCACTCCTGCACACAGAGCTACGAGCGGAGTATTCATCACTCAGTGAAGCTGTCGGCACTACCTTCGATGCCTTGATAAGCAGAACTTTCCGTCGCACAACCGCCGAAGACTTGGAATCTTTATACGCGAACCGCGCCTTGAGCAACGCCACCGGGTCTGCAATACCCCCGCCAACCCCTCCATCCACTCTCCCTCAATTCCAGCGCATCTTTGAACCCATCATGCGTGCCAACTACTCAAACCCCACACCAACCGCCCGGCACGCCCCTCATTCGAGAATGGAGTGGCACCTATCACGGAAGACTTGGCTCCATACATCCGCGCCATCATGGTCTTCGATGGTCGCCTCCAACAATACCGCGAGAGGCTGTTTGCACTCACGGCGCAGGAGCAAGGGCGCGGCGAGAAGCGCTCACGCACGACACGTGCTAGTCGTGCGGCCCTCGAAGGAGGCGACAAAGCCTCAACGCGTAAGGAGAGATGGTTCGCTCTAGACACGCCTTACTACAAAGTGCAAGGCACTGCAGGACCAGAGTGGCAGCATGTCTTGTTCCAGATGGGGTATTTCCATGTCCAACCTATGGTTGAGCCATCCCCTGAGCGCAGTGACCATGTCTTGGATGGCCGGGTCATGGAGAATGGCGAGTGATTGGTTTCGTGTTATGCACGATCCAATGTATTATTTATGAAAACGATCTTAAGACGAACGATATAGCTACCTGTTTCAGTATCTACGTATGTACTATTTATCTACTATTTATACCAGTCTTCGCTTTCGAACAAAGACATTTATCTACATCGCTCCAAACGCGGATATTGTGCAGAGGGAAAAAGAAAAGATAATTCGCTATTGTGCTATGGCTCAGATCGCTCGAAAGTCATAAAGTACATTGAAGAGGACAAGAACCTCAGAAACCAGCAGGCTCACCCATAAGAAGCGCCGCAGAATAAAACCGTCCCGACCAGCAGGCACCTAACGAAAGTCAGCATCCAACTTCCTTTTGGTCATATCGATCAAAACTTACGAGAAACATATCAACCCCGCACTGACTAGGAAACAACCCTAGTAGCCACGGGCTTCGGCACCTCAGGACCACTGAATTGGGCAAGGTGATAGGGTCCATGATCCTGCTTAAAGTCAAAGATCGAGTCTCCAGAGCTACGCCGCGACTCAGAAGCATAGGGCCGACCATTCGATGGCGGTGCCCCCTCCGTGCCGAATCGCTGTGTCGCGTAGCGAGCATAGAAGCCTGAGTCGCGTTGACGGTCTTCCAGGTCTTCGCGATTATCACGGCGCATGCGCTTATGGTAGAGGACTATCAGGACGATAATGGCGGTTAGGAGGAGACTGAGATATAATTAGTTCTGTTATTATGGGGATATAAGTTCTGGGGTATAGCCCTGGAAGTGTAGGTGGTGTCGGACTAGGGTGATGAAGGCGGTGATATGGACTTACACCCCTGATATCGCAGCGGGAATGCCGATCGTCACTGCCGCGCTGGTGGGCTTTGTGCAGCTGGACATGGTTTCGTCGCCATTGCAGTCGCGGCGGAAGACGGTAAGGAGTGTGGGGAGCATGATCCAAATGTTTCCTTTTTTTAAAAGAGTGTATTTTGATAAGAACCAGGAAATAAAAGAGTGAAGGGGTTCTGGGATCAGAAGGGATACAAGGGAGTGGAAGTGGAAGAAATATCCGAATAAGTGAACAACAGATTGTCTTAAGATGTCTTAGAGAAAAACAGAAATAAAATAGAAACAAACGGCACAAACGAGCTATGTTTAGGAGTGCATATCGCTTCTAATGACCCAAATGACTCTCGTGCGGAGTTCTCCAGGATTGAAGTTGATTCGTTGTATCAAACGATGAAAAAGGGGGTGGCTTATTTCGGTTTCTGGTTAGAATATGGGGTTACATTCCTTATTTTTTATGGGCATTTGCTTAACTGATTTCTTGAACGTTAAATTAATATAAAATTGATATAAAATTGTATACAATTACATAGAACCCTGGAAGATCTGTCTCCAATGATCTTCCTTACTGACATCTCCAGGGATTGTCAGTTCCACTATGGTGTGATTGGTCTTGAATACTTCGTTGGATCCGATTTCGAATATTGTACGGAGTATATCCCTACGAATTGAACATGGCTTTTATCTTGAGCAGGGAATATTCTTCACAATCCTCCAGGGCTGTCCACTAAATATAGTCGGCACCTGAGAAACAAGGCTAAAAATAGCACCTCAGGCACCAATAGGCACCAATATGTACAAGATTCTTTCTCATTTCTCTGGCGTACCAGCATCCAGCTTAGCCAAAATTTCACTCTTAGGCACCTCATCACTCCACTTCTTGCGCGGGTGCTCAAAAGTCGATGTAATCCGACCATAAGACATGCCACCAAGTTGACCAACCGGCCGCAACTTCTCCAAGTCAATATGACTATAATCCTCATTGGCAGTGCCCTCCTTGACCCAAAACCGGGTAGCCTTGATGAGCACAGTTGCAGCGAGACTCATCCCAGGCTGTTGGTGATCCGTGAACTCCTTGATATCAACCACCTTGCCTTCGATGTTAAACACGGACTCAGCGACGCGGGACGGCTTTACCGTCCTCGATGGTGCCTCATGTAGACCCGATACATCCCACTCTGAGACTCCGTACGGAGCATCAATAGAGCTCGCGTTCACTGCCTCGATCATGTCCTCCGATACTGTGTTGATCACACACTCCCCGGTCTCTCGGAGGTTGCGGTAGGTGTCTTTGACCCGACCGGGTCGAGATGAGAACCCAACAATGAACATTGGGGGATCGTGATCGATAACTTGGAAGTAGCTGAATGGGGAGAGATTCTTTTCGCCCTTGGAGTTGACGGTGCTTAGGAATCCTACCGGTCGAGGCGCGATCCCTGAGATAAGGAGGCGGTAGTTGTTGATCATCGGTCGATCTGAGGCGTAGGGATCGATTTCATGATGTTTTTGCGCTAGGCTGGCTCCATTATCGGGTACTCCTTGTCCATACTCCCAGTTGGGATTTGGGGATTTGGTTACTTCGATGGGCTTGGAATGATCGAAGTCTGGGCGTTTGGCTTGGATCTCATCGAAATTGCCAGTGTCTTGCACGATCTGATAGCTTTTCTGTGCCGCAGCAGTTTCAGCTTCCGATGCCACGGCTGTTGCAGTGGAACTCATTCTTAGTCGGTTCAGTGATGGAGATCCAATGCGAGGTATAGATATGGGGTTCGAATTCCAAGTCCTGGTTTCAGGTTAAACACTGGCTGCGCTTGCGAACAAAGGTCGACATACTGGGATATGAAGCGGCCAATTGTTCTCTTATGAGCCATGTTGGATCTAATAAAGTACTCGGTAGCTCGTCAAATTATTTTTGATCTCTTTTGAGACATCCAAAAAAAATTCCGGGTACGTCTTCCGATTTCGGGATCCCGATCCGACATGTTCACGATAACATCTTAACCTTGAAAGAGGGTCGACCACCATGATCACGACCACGACTACCATTGCCTCGTCATATTCAATCATGTTCAGCCGAAATGCACTTCCTGGTTAAGAAGTACTTGGAGCACCCAGAGGCTATGATGCTTGAGTTATAGATTTGGGAATATATTTGGCTTGTATTTGGGATTAATTAGACTAGAGCCCTTGCTCGTTTCTGAGCCCATACCAACAATGCTGCCATAGTGAAAAGCCCAGCCATTGTTACGGCAGTCGGTCTCTGAGTGACAAAGCTATTGAGACTCAGTAAGAATTCACCAACGAGCTGGTTCTGGGGTTCCTTTTCGGGCACATCGTGAATCGAATCCAATGCTTGTAGTAATGAATCCGCAGTATGGAACCCGCCTGTCCAACAAAGTTCAATCACAGAACCAAGCCATACATCCTTAGTGGATGGAAGAGTTTTCCCTCTGCGGCAAATGTGCCCGATCCTCTGCCTCCTGGTAGAGATCAATATCGCACTTTTCGCCAGTTACAACCTCATAGAATACAGCGCCAAGGAGATGCAGATCAATCTGAACTGTATATCCTAAGACTTTGGCGGTATTCATATCGGTTTCAATTGGAAATATCAAAGACTCGGTAAAGTCACAGAACTTGATGGAAAGGTCAGAGTCGACAAGGAAGTTTCGACTCGCAATATCGACAACAAGGACCCTCCGACTGTGGATGTATGCAAGACCAGATGCCATATCACGAAACCATAATAGCTTTTGCGATTGAGATGGTTGATGTTTCGTCAAGAAAGTGCGAAGATCACCATTTTTCATATTAGGCAAGCTGAGTGGCATTGGATAAAAGGCCGATACAACGGATAACAGCCTCGCTACACGGACCCTCATTAGGCTGTAAACGGCGGTAGACATCTTGCTCCCTTCTGATGACATGTAGATTAGATGCAAGGTCTACTTCGGATGTCCAAAAATATCCCAGAGGCATCTTCACGGCCAAGCCATCTTGAAGTGCAACAAGGGCCGTGCTTCCATTCCCTAAAATCCGCGATTGAGGAATTGGCTTGCCATTTGTATCAGCAAATGGGGAGGACATTGCCAAAAGGACGCTGGAGCATATAGGAGGAGGGAGAAGACAGAGAGTGATCAATCCAGCACATGAGCATTTTAACCTTGTAATTACCTACAAATGAAGTCTGGAGCCCTGCCTAGGTGGAGGTGGTCAGCGCTTGGGGTTGGAAACACCCGTCCATCCACTGAATATACGTGGATAGATGGATGTGCTACATGCATAGTTACATCCATGGATATATACGAAAATAGACCACACAAGAATGACGACATGAATTGGAGTACCAACAGTAACCTTCTAAATACTGATCTCGCAACTATACCATTTTTAGATGGAAGGCTTTCCCTCTGCGGCAAATGTGCCCGATCCTCTGCCATCCGTCCCACCTGAGCACTATTTTACTCTGACTAAGCGGTCGAAAAGGGGGACCAGATCTTTGTTGGCAGAGCCACCCACGAGTTCACTTGTAACGTCAGCCGTTGGCTGTTTCGAATCCAAACCTGATACACGTTTTTGTATGGGTCCCAGCTAATCAAAGGCTGAAGTGGGCCCTCCCCCTGACTAGGAATTCTCTAGAATTACCTATTCATCAATTTAGCTACTAGATCCAGGCCCTAATAGGCTTGTTTCGAAGGGCATGGCTTTGTGTCAGTTAAGCTCCATTAACTTCCGGGTCGTATGTTCCAAGGTTTCAGGGGATCGAAATGTGGGCTTGATGGGCATATATATACCTAGGTAAATACATCTCAACTCTTTTATGCTTCAAGGTATTTCTGTAATCATCCTCTTCCAAGGCTAAAAACAACTATCACTCAAAATGCATTTGATCAAGTCCATCTTCTTCCTTGCCGCACCCGCTATTGTAGCGGCGACACTCGACCCAGCTTCGTCAAACACCAAGGGCTACAAACCCAGTAGCCTGAACTGCGATGGTGCGTGGTGAGGAGAACGAACGACATGTTCTTGTACTGACTTGAAATAGCCGCCAAGGTTTCCACTGCCATCCAAGCAGCCGAGTGCTCCCACAACACTCGCACATCCGAAACCCAAACTTTCGCCGTCTTCGAGACCGACCACCAATACGACGCAAACAACGGTGCTCCCTACGGCACATGCAGTGCTTACACCTGCACTGCCCCTACCAGTGATGAATTGGAGGAGGATTCGGACTACTGGGTATTCTACTGGAGCGATGCCGGAAACAGCACTGGATACGGCACTACTTGTATTAAAGACCCCCAGACGGGAGAGTGTGGCTGTGAGAACTCGGATGGCACCTTTGTTGCTGGCAGTGATAGCTGCACTTAAGTGTGTTTGTGGTCATTTTTCTTTTTTGGCTTCTTTGGCAATTCGTGGTTTAGATCTTGTATCTATGTGATAGCTGATCCCAAAGCTAATAGCCTTGGAAAACCTTGGCAAGACAGCGACCTATTTGTTTTAGAATATCGAAAGCCTAAGTCTCGAATGATAAGAAAATAGGTCCAAAGCCGATGCCAACTGTAATTGCGACACATATATTTCATGAAATTTACACCAACACTTGACGTGATTTGACGATAATACACTCATGGTTACAGTGATAGCTAAAGAGCACAGAGTACAGAGTACAATGTGTAAGGTGGACTGTGTACTCTATCTGTACTTATACTTAAATAACCCGATATGAATGAAATGCACCAACTATGCGAGACGACGAACATTCCCATCTATGTAAGGTTGAACCACACTGCCCACGAACTACAGTCTGCGGTCGTATACTCTGTAACCCTACAATCTGCAACCCTGCAATGTGTAGCCCTACTTGTGAGATTGAACTGAAACATAAACTATGCAGCGAGGATTATAGTAGGTGTGGTGTGAATAAATCCCTGGCTTTTTAGATTGACCAAATATTACCTAGCACATTTAGGTGGTTCTACATGTGAGGCTCTAATTTCGACGTCTTCAAACCTTTCCACCCCTGGAACCGAAACTAACTGGCACGCTCGGGCAATGTCAGATTCCAAAATATAAGCTTTTCAATTTGAAGATGTGAAAAATGGTATGGCACAAGCTTGGGCAGAAGCCTCTTCATTTTATTGAACATTTGCCAGTTCCAAGTCGACTCCCATTTGCACGGTCCTTCCCAACCGATGCATGCACCATACCTGTAGAAAGGCGCATATCGGAGTACTGTAGGTTATCTTTGTCTCCGCACAATCCTAGTCACTTCTAACCCTTTGAGCTCGCTCGTATTGGACAAGAAATGCGTCCAGCGGACGTCAAGCATGCCAACTTCCTGGCCATCTACCCTGAATGTCTTGGGTATGGTTTCTGCGGAAGGCCCTGCAGGCACCTGCTGGCTCAGCTTTCAAAACTGGAGAAATTGTAGGTGGTTATGCCCCAACAGGGTTCATGAATTCCGTAGAAGATCGTATAGTTTGTTTAAATAGTTGCAAGATATCAAACCCCAACAGATTGCATGATCCCCTCCACATCTAATTGATCTGCAAGATCCAATAATTCCCGCGGAGGAAGGCTGACGGATGAATTGAGCCCCAGTAGATCCCACTCAAACTCCTCGTGATCGAAGCCATAATGATCTTCGTGAATTTCGTTACCTTCGTCCAGATTGACTTGCGGCAAATTGTGATTTGCCAATTTCGGCGTCAAGGGTGCGAGTATTTGCTCCAATTGCCTGAGTTCAAGCCTGCGAAGCGGCGCGGCCAGGTTACCCTTTGAAATTAGTTTATCGAGCACTAGCGTCAGGTTGTCGCACCAAGCATCGTTTGAGATCGCCGATGGGGCAATTGCACGGATCAGGTAAAGTACAAATGCAGAGGACGATGCGTCTTCGATTTGGAATGGTAAAAATGCATCTGTAGCTCGGAATTAGTATTAATGTATTCAACACAGCTAGTAAACCATACCCATCAAGTCATCATCAGCTAGAGTACGAAGGGTCTGGAGGATAGTCTGGGCGGAATCGGCGCAGCATTGTAGCAGGGATGCAACAGGCGGGGATAACCCGATTGTTTGGGATTTTTGCCTCTCTGTACGTTCAATATGCATGTGGAGTGCGCACATCACTAGCGGTCTCGTTGTAAGTACCACGCACTGCTGTTGTTAGTTTATGACGAGAGATCAATGGTCCGGGGACAACCCACATGATGATGAGCTAGCATCAACCGAATAGCCATTTTCGAAGCACGACTGACTAGCCCGTGGAAATGAGCGTTTAAAAATTCTGTTAGATCGTATGAAAGTTCGGCAATGCTGTGGAGAATGGACTGTGTACTTCGAACGAGCGTGTCATCGAAATCGTTTCCAACCCCGTAAACGGCTAGGTTTTGTTAGCATCCCATCTAATGTCAACTAGACAAAGACCCACTTGTTAGAATCGTGGCCATAAGCCGGGAAAGCCGAACGTGTAATGTCAAATTGACTTGTTCAACTGAATCATCCATCTCTGCTGGCAATTTAACCGTGATATCCTCATCTCTAATCGAGCTTGGAGCACCAATTAAAGCAGAGAATTCTCGGTCCAACATATAAACCACCCAAAAGATTGTTCTGCATCGTTTGGACAACTCCGGTCCACATATCTCCTCTGGCACATGTCTGTGTATTCCTTCGATGATACAGCCCCGCAAGGCATGCCCTATCTGTTCACATAATTAGACGAATCAGTACTAGTGAGGGATGATGAAACCCACATGCTGAAAGGCTGCTCTTCTCATATCTATTGACTGGAGATACACTGCCCCTAGGCTGAGTGCTTGGATACAAGCCAAAGGATCTTCGTCAACTCCCGACAAATCAGGCAACAGAGCCATCGCCCGCGATGCGTATTGATGACCAGGCGGTGTCCCAGAAGGATTCCTCTGTGTCAGGAACGCCTTTCCAAAGGCAAGAACAAGTAAGTATTGACAATACCAAGGTCTTTTGGAGGCGGCTTTCGCTGGTGGGTCCCGGTAGAATTCATGCAGATCCTGCAAATAAGCATGTTCGTCAATCATAAAAGAAAGGAATCCAAAATAGAACTTGACTGTGTTGAATAAGAAGAGTGCATAGTCCAACGGTGGCAGATTGGTGACATCAGGTATTTCGTCTGGAGGATATGGTCGCCAGGTCAACTTGAATGCCACGCCATCAATGTGAAATGGATCTGGTGGACAATTTGATTCGGGTACTTTTCTTCCTATCAGAGCAAGGACACGACGACAAAAGGACCATGACGATGTTGGCCCCATGTACCCTTCGATATTCAAGTTAGTAATAAGTTGGCGCAAGACGATAGATTAAACACCCACAAAATCGGCCATCTGGTGTCTGGGCAAATGATGGATCCCGGTCAACCAAAGGATTCTGAGAGAATCTTGATTGGTGATTGTCTTGTTCTGCGCCACTTTCTGTCTCATGCTCTCTTTGAGAGGCCCGTGGAGTATGCAGGGGTGCCGCAATCCCTGAAAGCAAACGACGATCAGCACATCAAACGCAAACACACATACAGAAAAAGGGTGCAGCATACCGATTGACATTGAACGCCATCCAATATCCGCTTGGTTGTCTAGCAGTGTGCTAGATGCTTGAGGGGTGGGAGGAACGTCAACATTCTGATCGCCTGTAAACAGTGTATCTCCTTAAGGGACTGTGATCAAGAGGTGCTGGGGGCCCATGTCGCCCGGAGTTTCCGCTTCTGGATATGTGTTCCTCTAGCTCTCGCAGGTACCTCGTACGCATTAGTAAGGATAGTGTAGCCAGTTGGAGGTATTCACCGTTCCGACACGGAGACCCGAACCTCCTCCACGGGAAAGTGACAGTGCTTCTTCTTTCGTGCACATCTCGTGCAAGGGCTAACCCCCGAGCATTTGACCTTCATTGATCGACATCGCTCACACCTTGTTATAATATAAGTTTGGTATTCTGCTTTTTGGGCCAATCGATTAACTCACGCCTTCTGGCATTTTTTTGTTCTTGTCTGCCTAGGTGTTGGTGGCATATCGGATTGGCACGCCGGGATGATGTATAGAACAATTGTGAAGATAGTCTGTGCTTCCGGGGCGAGTCTCCGATATCAAATGCTGCAGAGTGCGGGGTAAAAGTCGGGATTGGGTTCCGACTTCCCTTATCAGAGATAACAGTGTCACCGTCTATCTCAATCCATCACATGATTGGTGAGACCCTAACGGCATTGATTTTGCCTTGATTTATTTGGCGTCGTGCATGAACTGTGCATACTTAGTGGGATCTAAAGGCTGATTGGCTATGTTTTGCATTGGGTATCTAACCACTAAAACATCTTCGGGACTCAACCGACGATCCTTCGCCACAACTCACGGCGCAATGCGGTCACCATGTGTCGTGTTCGTTCCACCGCCCCACGATTCTCGATTGCTCGGCGGTGCAGATATCCCATGCACTCAGCAACTGAGCCCCAAGGCAGGCACTTGAAAGCTTTTGGCATAGTCAAGCTCGCAGCAGAGGATTGTTCGAGAGCACGTTCGTAGTTTTGCACCAGTTCACAGCTGAGCTCGTCGGCCATGCCTTGGATTTGTCCACATTCCAGCATGACTGTAGGTTTATTGGCGAGAAGCCTATCCTGGTGTGTAGAAATCGCTTTGGTTGCACTAGCGGCGTTGTGGGTTGCGAGGAAAAGAGCGGCGTTAGGGAATGGGAGGTCCTCCTTCCCATCGGGCATTCGTTGACAAAGCAAGGTGTCGGCGATGAGGTCGTAGGACCGGTCTGTATCCGCCTGGGTGTCATGAATGAGAGAACGTGTTTCATGCTCAATATATGCCCCTCGAACCAACTTGATACCCAGGCTCCAGCCCTCTTGTGCAGCCAAGGTGAGGTGGTGGTCAAGGTTCGCCTTCGATCCCTTGAGGTAGCCCTGGATAGTGTTGTAGACAATTGGTGTCCGTGATTTGTTATGTTTGCGCATCATTTCAATTGCCCAGTCATCGAGACCTTTTTGCAAGACTTGTTGCTCTGCATCCAGCCACAGACGTGAGCCTTGCTTTTCTGTCTCGATGCAAATCTCATCCACGGCTTTGACCATAGCCTCTGGCATAGGCTTGCGTGCTGCCATCGCATCCACTGCAATAGGGCCCGCGCCAGTCAATCTGGCAAAGGATCAGATTACATGCATAGGACGAGAGTACAGAGCTTCATACTTACTTCACGCCAAGGAAGTCACCAGGCCCAATCATATGCAGTGTCTCCAATGTTCCCTCTTTCCAGTCCTCAACTACCTGATAGCATTTGTCGCTGTATTGGGATGTGCCAGACTCATCGGTCGAAAGCATTTCGTCGTGATCCAACACTATCTCCTTCGAATATCCCAAGATGATGCCCTGAAATCCCATCTTCTTAACCTCTGTCACAGTTTTCAAGACTTCTTCTCTGTTTACTCCAGCACAAAAGTGGTTGTAGACCGTCCATCGAAGAATCTTGTTCAAGGGTAGGTTCCGATCTGGGTTCAATAGCGGGGATTTCGATGTCGCAATGACGCCCATCAATGCTAGCGCAGGTCGTAAGAATAGCTTGGATGTCATTAACGAAGTCAAAAGCAAAGACCGTAGCAGGAGCTTCGTCGGCATTCGGGCCATGGATGAGACCTCGACGGGTGGTTTGATAGCTGGCATCGCGGCGTCATGAAAATGAGATTTTGTCGAATGAAGTCGGCAAACCAAGGTCGGTAAGATTTTGACGGGGAAGCCATGAGGGGGTCTCATAAGAGTAGAACGAGGTAACATATTGGCTTGAGTAAAGAGCACAAACAAACAGGTATAAGGTTGCACTTGTGCTTTGTATAAAAGAATTCAAGATAGCAATCACTTTCACCCAACTCAGGTCGCTCCCACGGAATACTATTCTAAGTAGATACTTCTTCTAGTCTGTATATTACTTTATCAGACCGCTACTAGCTACCCAACTATGGGGTTACCGATAGTCAGCTGGTCTTCCATCGGAGCACGACTCCGATGGAAGGAGGGGTTGCCGGACCAAGAATCCTGTCCCGCGATGCCAACTAATCATCTCCTTCACGGGACTTTGCTATCATTGTACTGCCCAGGAAAGCAGTTCCGCACGATACCATTGCCCGAGTTCAAGTACCGATCCAGTTCGAGGTTGCAGGGTTGGTTTCCATTACGTTTCCAGGGTAGGTGGGGTTGATCAGCGACGGTCTTGGTGTGCTTTTTGGCCTTTAGTATTTCCAGGGACTCGTTTATCTTTTGCTTCGGTGATTCAGTCTAGATGTTAATCTTTAGTACTATCTAGTGATATCTGAAGTTGCGTTCATACTGCGGGGCCACAACCTTAGAAGTCCCATCGCTACTAGTATGGTATCGGTATCGGAATGCACCTATTCTCACTACCACAGGGGAGAAGGAAACCATATGTAAGCATGTAGCAAAAATAATATCCAAAACCATTAAAGTATTATCTCGGATGTTGAACCTTTAATATCAAATTCAGATAATCCCTACGAATTTGTTCCGACAAACACAACCAGGACTGCAGCATACGCAGACACACCTGCTAGCACTTCCTGACCTTTAAGGTTCGTTCCAAGGTAAGCCAATCCCAAAGCAAACAGCATAGTAGCTATACTAGCCGTCGCCAGAGTTGTAGCTTGATCTTTGTGTAGAACCATAAGTAACATAGGTGCAATAAGAGCCAATCCACCACAAAGTCCCATCCAAAGCCGGTTCCACAACTGCGACGCGCTCGACCTTCGGCGGTGGATATTACGAGAAGACCCAGGGAGAATATTCAGCCCACGCTTGTAACGGTTATGGTCTTCCGCGTAGAGTCGCATACCCCTTGGAGTAAGAGAAGCGTCTTTCATAACATACTTGCCCAGAGTATCTCTCGTGGTAATCAAGAATGGATCTCTCTCACCAATTACATCCGTTGCGGTAAGCTTTTCGGTCATGAAATCATAGTCACGGATTGCGTTAGCTAATATTTAGAGTCGTTAGAATGTAGCCCATTGTCTGTAGAAACCTTGGTAGGGAGCATACTGTATTGTGTCAGCAAATCTTGAGCAGTTGCCATCGAAGCTTCCGTTACTTCGTGTGCTCTGACAATATCTTTCACATTCGATACAAGTTTGCGTTGTAGTTCGTGTATCACCATTCGCTGCAACGTGCTCAGTGCAATATTGTAGGACTTATTATTTCGAGTCCCACTGGTCCAATACAGACCAGGCAACCCGGTGTTAAGCAACCGATCATAGAAGCCCAAACTGGACAATTTGGCCTTTCCAAGCTCTTTTTGTCGGGTCTTGGCATCTTCGAGTGATCTGATAGGAGCTCCAGAGATAGTTGTGTTTGCATTATGTTCCTGGATATGGGGCTTGGCATCTTCGATTGTCCTGGTGAAAGCTTCAGGTGTTGTCGTGTTTGGATCATGCTCCTGGCTATGGGCGTCGGCATTTTCGAGCGTGCCGGTCGAAGCGCCAGAGGTTGCTGTGTTTGCACTATGTTCCTGGATATCGGCCTGATCTTTGAGATGAACATGCAGTGACGGAAGAGAGTTTTCCGCGATTGATTCTGGAATAGACAAGGAAATCAAGTCACTCAGATTGATTATATTTGCGATATCCCCACGCTCTGTTGCATGAGATTCTCCGGCTTCTAGGTCGCTGTTGCGTCGCCGCATTTTTCGATGAGCGGCCGACATTCGGGGACACTACGTGAGGGCTCCGTAGAGCAATATAGCTTCGAAAAAAATCAGGCGTGCGATAAAGGTAATCAGCAAATTATAGTGAGATATGATCAAAATAAAGTAGAGGATTCATCCGGGGCTGGGACCAAGGGTTTGCAATTTGGAGAACCTTCCACGGGAGATGGACAAAACCTGCTTAGCCGATTGATTCCGGTAAGCATCAGCTTTGCTGCCAATGATTACTTGCCACGATGTTGTGGCTTTGTGGTTGTGGTTGTGATTGTGGTTGTGGTTGTTGCTGCTTACTGCTGCATTAGCGTCAATAGTATTGTCCATTCAATACAGTGTGGCGCTGTGCCTTCCATGAAGATATAGAAATTCAATTATTCCTTATATTGTTCCCAGACCATAAGCTATATCTAAAAATTTCCCGCTTTCCTAAACCTCGTTGGAAGGATATGTTACCTTTTCCAGAGGCACAAACTCTTCCTTGATTGTGCGAGCGCTAACGAATCGCTGCAGGTGCGCCATAGTGCCAGTCTTATCGTTTGTACCCGAGTCGCGGCTACCACCAAATGGCTGCTGGGCCACAGTAGAGCCGGTGCACTTTGTATTCAAATAAAGCATTCCAGCCGCGTGTTTGAGAGTAGTCTGCGCTTGGCGGCTGACATAGGGGTCCTTGGCGAAGATGCTTCCAGTCAATGCATAGCGAGAGGTTGTGTCAACCAGCTTCAGTGTTTGCTCCCATTCAGCATCTGGGTAAACATAGATGCCAAGAATAGGTCCAAACAGCTCCTCGGACAAAATCCTGTGGTGAGGGTTGGAGGTCCGATAGACGGTGGGATGCACGTAGTAACCCTCCGCCTTAGAAGCCTTTCCACCAACGATAAGTTCCAGCTCCGAGTCACTCTTTGCTTCCTCGATGAACTTGTCGAGCTTGTCGAATGAACGTTCGTGAATAACCGGGTTGACGAAATTGCTATAGTCTTCGACATCTCCCACCTTAAGAGCTGCGGTCTCTTCTGCCAGGACCTTTTGGAACTCAGGCCAGACGGACTCTGCGACGTAAACGCGCGAGTTGGCAGAACACTTTTGACCCTGGTATTCAAATGCCGCTCGAATGGTGTTCAAGGCCGCGCTCCTCACGTCTGCGGATGGATGGACGACGCCCCAGTTTTTGCCGCCGGTCTCGCCGACCACTCGAGGGTAGGAGTTGTAGATACCGGCGCCAATGCCATCGCCGATCTTCTTCTGAATACCCTTGAATGTAGCCGTGGCCCCGATGAATGTTAAGGCCCCAAACTCAGGTCTCTTGAGGATAGTGTTGGTGACTTGCTCGGCATCTCCAGGCAAAAACTGGATAACATCCTTAGGCAGACCGGCCTCGAGCAGGATTTGATGAAGCAGCCAGCTAGCATGAAGTGCCGAGTCCGAAGGCTTCCAGACAACAACATTACCAAGCAATGCAGCAGGTCCGATAAGCGTTGCACCCAGTGCGGTGAAGTTGAAGGGGGCAATGGCGTATGTGAATCCCTCGAGTGGGCGGTACTCCATCTTGTTCCAGTTTCCATCGAGTTGGACCCTTGGTTGCTGGGCGAACAATGCCCATGCTTCTTGGATGTAGTGGCGGAAGAAATCGGCGGTCTCGGCAGCGGCATCAATCTCTGCTTGCCAGATGTTCTTTCCTTGGCCAAGCATTGTGGCTGCAACTATTTCTGAACGGTATTTGCCGGTGATGAGCTCGGAGGCTCGAAGGAAGATGGCAGCACGGTCTTCGAAGGGAGTAGCTTCCCAGGCGGGCTTTGCCTTGAGGGCTGCGTCGATGGAGGCATTGACTTGCTCTGGGGTGGCAGAGGCGTAGTTTGCGACAATCTCGCTGTGCTTTGAGGGGTTTGGCTGGGAGCGGGATTCCTTAGTAGTGACCTAGTTGGTTATACGTCAGTTGGATCCCAAATTGGTATTCAATACTCTCACGCACCTCTGAGCCGTTAATAGTGATAGGAATTGTGAAAGGAAATTGTCCCTTGAGTTTCTTGATAGTCTTGGTCAACTCGGCTCTTTCTGGAGAGCCTTTGGCGTAATTGAGCTGATCCGCTGTTAGTCAAAGTCCACCTGAGCGGTTATATAGTTTGGTATCACTGACCATCTTTTCATTTTCGAACTTGGGAGGGCTCAGCATGGTCAGGTATCGCCTTGAGGGTCCATTTAGAGCGCGAGGCCTGAGACAGTTAAGCCTCACTCCTCGAGTAATGGTAACAGGACGCATATTGGAAAAGAAACAGAGGTACACAGATTTCAGCTAATGCTAAAGCAAGAAAATTTTGCCAACACCCCGGCAGATACGCTGCTAAATATGATATTCATGCATGAGCTAAGTATACTAGTCATCGGGAGGTCGTTCCGAGCGGGGAGCTCCTTGGGCTTACAATACGGGGAATGTCTTGCGACGAAGCTCCAATATCGGAGCAACCGTCCGATGCTCGATGTTCGATAAGAAGTCACTCCGACAGGCATATCTTTGGGGTATAGAAGTATCGGCATTCTTTGCGAGCGCAGGTCATAGAAAACTGGTTCTCTCTTTCTCTCTCTTGGCGGAGATCTCTGAACTTGCTTTCAATTGGAAGTTCGTAGTCCGTGGTTGAAATGCGCAAGTTCGAGATTATCCCATATCATCAACCGAAGGTTATGTATACATAGAAATCCTTTTTTGATCCCTTTCTGGTCTACCCAATACACTGAGAGGGGGCAGGAAATATCTATATGACCAGGCATCTAAAAAGACTACCTGAGAAAACCAGTAAGACTATACTCTGAATATTCTTCTACTCCTATATATAGTAACTTATAGTTCGCCAGTGCTCCAGTGCTGTTGATCTCCGATAACGCCGCCCCAAAATATATACCAGAGAGTATCACTAGCAGATATTCTGCTCATTTGAAGGGAACGAGAATGGGAACAATAGTAACCAGCAGAATTCCAACCAAAATTCAACCGTCATAATGTGCATATGTATGTGGCCTCGAGGGGATATATATAGTTGTCCAGGGGTAGCTGGTACAATTCGCTTGGCCTGACTAACCCGGTTGGGCGCAGTACTAGTGACATTGGAGTTTGCTATCTCTTACCTCCTCGAACCCGAATTGTTAGGGAACTTTTTACACTACCTATTGCGTCCCATCGGTTCGAAAATCGAAGCGTCTCCAGGGCTGTTTTTGAAGGTGGAGAGTGGTGCTCGTATAATTCGTGCGACCAGCCCCCCTCGGGAGCTCCGCTTGATCGTCAACATCGTCATTGCCATCACCTCCACACCTGACCCCGACAGCTCTCCCGGCGCAAACATCACCCCGTCGGTTTCCTGATGTCCTTATTCGGCACATCTCCGGAGGATCCCTCTGCGGGTGATCCTGCCAGATCCAAGTCCTCGCTGTTTGCCGACGAACCGGCTACGGGCGGCTCCTCGCTGTTCGCCGATGACGACGGCGACGACAGCTCCTCTCCTTGGAACGCCCAACATAACACCGCCAAGAGAACGGCCCGGCGCGACCTGGTTCGGACCTTGCTTCCCAATACTGACGTGCCTGAGAGCTACATCGACGCATACGACCTGATTCTGAACAGTGGGGACAGAGTTGGCTCCGGCATTGGGTTGACCTCTGTTCGGGAGATCCTTTCAAGCAGCGAGCTCACTGCGACCGACCAAAGCAAAATCCTAAACCTTGTTGCTTCTGGCGACCATGAGAGCTTTGGTGGACTCGGTCGTGGCGAGTTCAATGTGTTGTTGGCGCTGGTCGGCCTAGCGCAAGAAGGCGAGGACCTCTCCTTTGATGCAGTGGACGATCGCCGCAAAAGTAAGTTGATTTGCGCCGTTCGGTATTTCTTTATTTCTTTATTTCTTACTCGGGATAATCCCTCTAACGCGGAGTCAATATAGAATTACCCCAGCCAAAGTCTGGCTACCTCGACCGACTACGAACGGCCGGCGACGCGAGCTCTGAACAGCCATACCAGCGACCTGCTACCCCGCCTTCCCAACCTCCTCCCTTGCAAACCCCCGGCTCCACACAATCGCAAAGGTTACGACGACCGTCATTAGGTGGATTAGAGTCAGACCCGTGGGGCAGTCCAGAATTACACCGCGGCCACAACCATGAGGTAGGAAGCGCCGAACCACGGATATTGAATGGATTCGGTAGTGTGAAGTCCACGACAAACGCATGGTCTAGCAAGCCAATCGTAGACACCACACAAAGCAACGCGGTTCAACGGGAGCATTCCAATGGTCAGACGGAGGTTGCGCCGCCTAGCAGTTCTGGATCTGGATGGGGAAACAATAACTTCAGCGGAGCGGGTCCGAGCGACGAAAGCAGCTTTGGGGGCACAGCGCCTCAATCACTAGGTGGCTTTGGTCCTGCAATGGAAGAGCCCAGCAATATTACACCACGGCGCCGGTCCCTTGGTCTTGGCGGATCGACAAACCCACAGGTAGAGGAGACCGTCACGGTCACGTTGCTCCCCGAGAAAGAAGGCTTGTTCATGTTTCAACACCGAAATTATGAGGTCAAGTCTGCGCGGAGAGGTAGCACGGTTATTCGGCGTTATAGCGATTTTGTCTGGCTGTTGGACTGTCTCCAAAAGCGATTTCCTTTCCGGCAATTGCCTCTTCTCCCCCCAAACGGGTTTCAGGTATGCACAACGCTGGTTTAGCGCACCTAATCGCTTACTCACAATTATGAAGTCAATGGCACTCACCTTTCAGCGGATTCATCTTCCTTCCTCGAAAAGCGCCGGCACGGACTCGTTCGATTCACCAACGCCCTCGTTCGCCACCCCGTTCTTGGCCAAGAGCAGCTAGTGATCATGTTCTTGACAGTTCCAACAGTAAGCCCCCCCCCTTTGGCTTTTTAGGTATTCTAGTCGAGGCAGATAATAACTGTGAAATCAGGAACTTTCTGTGTGGCGAAAACAGGCCACAATATCAGTGCAAGACGAGTTT